ATTTGTCGAAGAAATTTTTAAATAAATTAAATTCTTTCAATTTAATTTTTATGAATTTTAATTTAATATGTAAAATATTTTTAAATAAATATTAGGATTGTTCATTACCTGGTTATTAACCGGTTAATCCAAATTTTAAAAACTGTTTTCGTTTTGAGTATTTGTTATAAAACGGTTATATTTTGGGAGTTTTTTTAGAAATCACTTATTTTCAAAAATTTGGTGTCCTTTAACTTTTATAAGAACGGTTAATTTTTGACAAGAAATACCAAAATTTTCGATTAAAAATAATCCCCATCAACCTGTTAAAAACCAAAAAATGAGGAGAAATCCGTACATATCGGAACCCTGGTAATAAAGCTTTATAAATTTATTAATTACTAAAAATTTTATGAGATTTAAGTTACAATATTTATTACATTTGAAGAAATTGTTGGATTATTATTTATATAGAATTGTAAAAATTTCGTTTAACCAATGGAATTATTATCCATTATTATTTTTGTAAACTTGTCGAGGGATGGGGCCTTTCTTTTGTTAGAGATGTACATATTTACATACATAGATGATAAAATAAATATATACTTATTCTTCATCCTTTAATTTTTCATTTTTTCAAAAATATATATTGCCTAAAATGCTTCCGGTGCGCAAATTTTTCTTTTAATTTTTAACATTATTTCGGAAACATACAAAAATATTTTTGAAAAATTTCTTCATCGAGATTGTTATATAATTTTTGTATAGAGTTTTTTTGAGCATTTTAATATGCCTGTTTCAAGTTTTTACATAAAAATGTACACCAAAAGGCATGGATTTATACAAAAATAAGTGCCGCAGCAGAAAAATAGATGGACAACCAAAACTTTGTTTTTTAACTTTTTTTTGTTTGTAAATATTATAAAAATAATTCTATACTAAATTAACTTATTTTTATTTTTTGTATTTTTTAAAGGAATTAGTATTTACGTTAATTCTTTCAAATGATGCGTATTAAATTTATTCGATTTTACTTGGGTGAGTAGTTTTATAATTTCTATCTAGATGTACTAGTAACTAAATAATTACTATACAAAACTAATAAATTTAATCATTCTTTGCAAACATAATCACTTTCTAAAATATATTTTAGTTTATTTTTATGTAATTTCTTCAAATTTTTAAACAATATAGAGTAATATAGAGGGTAGTGATTTCATAACACCAAAATAGAGCAAGGCTATAAAATGGGCAAATATCGCGAAAGTTTTTGGATTTTCAGAAAATATGGCAAAGTAAAGCAACAAAGAAAAAATCAGGAAATGATCCACTCTGATTCAAGTCTGAATTTAATTCATTAATTCATAACCACTCTTATCTCTCCGTTTTATTAACTATCTGATTCAACGATTTAAATTTAAAGCCTTAGGGCAGCATTAATTTAAATTAAAATCGAAAAATAAAAATTCATCATTTAATTTTCTCTTAATTTAATTTTTTAACAAAAAAATTTAATTTTCCTCTTATTTTCCCTTCTATTTAATACATTTAAATAACAATAAACTTTCTAACATTAATAATATAAACTTTTCTTTTCAATCTCCTAATTAGATATAAAAACATTCCAATAAGGTAAATATTATTATTATTTAATGCCAGTTTTGCCATTTTATTAGTTTATGTAAAAATAAATATTTATTATAAATTAATTAATTCTCCCCCCTTTTCTCTCCTTTAATTTACCCTTTCTTTAACTTTCCCAAAGAAAATAAAATTTTATTTTCCCTCAAAAGGATTTAAGAAATAAAAAAAGTAAAGGAAATGCTCAAAGAAAAGATTGGCACAAATAAGAAAGGAGGTAATCCAGCTAATAAGTAAAGAAAGTAAAAATATTTAATAATCAAAAATAACGCTAAAAGGGCACACAAATTATAAAGGACAAATTTTTAAATATTTATACATAAAATTAAGTATTTAAGTGCTAAATAGTATTTAAGGGCATTAAAAACAAGGCGATTTGTTTCAATTGCGTGACTTATTTTTATTAAAATATTTAGTATATTTAGGGGAGATATTTATATACTAAATGTGTTAATGAAAGAAAAGAAAGTATAAATATGTCCGCAAAAAACTGTTTTGGGATAACCCAAAAGTACCATTTTATAATCGGGAATTTTTAATATTTATTTTTAATTTTATAATTTTATGTTAATTTCAATTGAACTTTATTATGGATTCTGAATTTAGATTTAATAACGATACACTATGAAAATTCATATACATTCATAAATATACATCAAAAATACAAAACATATACATTCAAAATACATTCATAAAAACTTACATCTATCTTAAAACTAATTAATTTTTTGAAGAATTATTTCACAAACACTAAACAAAATTCTTTTTCCGGCTTTAATAAATTGTAATTTTATTATTCATCTACTGTAGTAGAGCTATCCCGGCCCCAAAATAAACTATGGAACTGTTAAATGTTTTTGGAACCATAACCTCCTAAAAACTAAATTTGTTCCTTCCATTAATTTTGTTACTCACCTTTTATTGTTTCCTGCCTCAAGCAAAAAATTAAAATATTAGGCAAAAATATCCATAAAGTCTAGGTATTACAAAGTACTTATTACTTCAATAAACTACTTAAAAAGTGCTTAGGGAAATAGTTCAAAAGAGTTTAAATATTGCCCAATCACTTAATTTAAAATAATCAAAAGAGAAGTAATTCCTGTCACTCAACTCCGCCCCTCCTCCTCAATTTTGCCTCTCTCTTTCATTTTTTATTTTGCCCTTCTTTTTCCCTATTCGACGATGTTTTTACCCTTTCTCATAGATTAACTCTTTATTTCCTTTCTCATCTTTCAATTTCTGATTATAATTTATTTTTAAAAAAGTTTTTCTTTATTTCAAAAATAAACTTTTAATCCCTTCAATATATTACTATATTAAAATAAATTTTTTAAAAGCTCATCCTTTATTTTTTTCTCACGATTACCATAATATTTATTATTAATCTACTATTTATTGTTTGCTTTTAAATTGCTCACACCTGCTCCCTTCCAGAATTTTTAAGAAAAAAATTTTATTCAGAAAAACACTTTTATTTCGAGCCGATATATTTTTTATTTATTTCTCACGCTTCGAAGAATTCGGCATTTGGCGCCTCAATTTCATCTTTTAATATTTTTAACTATTTCTCAGGAAATTGCTTAAAAATTAAATAATGTTTTTTTGGATAAATTTCTTCTTTTTATTTTTATAAAAGCAACAATTTTCAATTATTTGCCGAATGGTTTTTGGCAATTTTTGGAATTACAGAGGTTTTTGGCGGGATTTTTAGAAAGGAAAATATTGGTGAAAATAATATCTATCATCTGTTCATTTGGGGAAATTGATGATTATTATAAGGACAACATAAAAGGGAAAAAACACTTTATTTAACTATTCAATTAAAATATAATTGCCTATATTGCTTGTCTCTTTGACCCTAATAATAATTAATATATTTATTTATTTTTATTTATTTTATTTATTAGATATATTTAATATTGGACCTCGAATTTAAAAATGAACGAAATTTTAGGCATTTTTTCGAATTAAAAAGAACTTAAAAAATGTACTACATATTTGAAATACATATAGGTGCATCTAATTTTGTGATATTATTTCTCCTTAAACACCTCTAAATTCGAAATATAAAACTCTTCTTACATCTCAATACTTTTAAATATGATTTTAAATTTTAACTTAAAAAATGCAAAATTAAAAAAATTGGGCATTTCTCCAAAAAATTTAAATGAATCTAAATTTATAGGTATATTTAGTACATTCTGATTCATATTAATAAAAGTTCATTATTTATAATTTTAAAAATCTTGTTAATTTCAACACTCTTAACACTTCCCATAATCATATTTCTTTTAACAATTTCTACAATTTTCTTTACTACAATAAATAAATAAAGAAGATTGGCCTTAAAATAAATAGGAAGCAACCGCCCAAAAATATATTTATTAATCCTCTTCCTTCCTTTTATTCAAAAAAAGCAATGCGCGTCTAAATCCAAATTATATTTTACTTCTTTTATTTCTTCAATATTGTCGGCGAATTTTAGTGGGCCAAAAAATTTATTTAATTTTTACTTCTTCACTACAGTAATATCTTTTCTTTTTATTTTTTCATTTTTTCTTCTTTTTTTAAATTTTTTTTTACTAAACAAAAATTTACAAAAATAATTTTAAAACATTTTTAACCAAAAATCCTACAATCATTGTATAATTTATTAAATTAAATTTTTATCTCTAATCTCATTATCCGATTGATAATACTATTTAGTTTAAATGTACACTAAATAAAAATCGTATTAATATTTTTCTGATTTTTCTTGCAAATTTACATTTTTCGAGTTAATCTTCTTTCATGGATAATTAATTTTATTAATGTTAATAGTATAGTTAATAGTGGCCAATTGCAAATGAGGTGCGTAATCATATTTTTTCTCCTTCCTTTCTCAAGTTAAAAATGGGGAACTTTTTCCTTAGTTTTTAATGTATGCTGATTTTGCCGTATAGAAAAATGATGAAAGAGGATTAATTTTTTACATTTTGTTTTTTGTTCATGTTTTGACTGACCGTGTTTTCACAGTCAAAACAGGGACAATTTTGACTGAAAAACAGTCAAAACACAGTTTTGAGACACGGTCAGTCAAAACCGGGTAGAAAAGAAAATGAAAAAATTAATCCTCTTACATTATTTCTCCTTACTAAGGAAAAATACTAAGGAAAAAGTTCCCCATTTTTAACTTGAGGAAGGAAGGAGAAAAAATATGATTACGCACCTCATTTGCGATAGAGCCGTTAATAGTTATAGCAATTTTTTAAATATTGTTTTAACCTTCTGCTGATAAATTTTGATTTACTGTGGCTTTAGGATAAAGCTTCAATTTAATATTTTCGAAACCTTTATTAACTTTTAATTTTTTAGAACTTCTTTTATTCTCTTAATTATACATAAATTCACTTCCAAGAATGACCAGCAAAAATAATCAAAACAATTTTTCAATTGACAATCTTCTATCGAGTATGGTTGCAACTCCCCAACCCCATTTCCCAATTTGTTGGCCAGCAATTCCAAATCCTTCCCCTATTCAATTACCTCCTTGTTTCCCTTTTGCTCCTTGGCCACCACCTCCACCAGCTCCAATGGCTTTAATTCCATTTTGGCCATCTCCAGGACAGCCACAAAATTTTGTTAGTCATAAATGGAAAATTAAAAGTAATTTTTTAAATTATTTCCAGCCATTCAATCACCAAAACAATGGAGGAGGAAATTCTTTACCATTATCTCCTTTAAATAGTCCATCTTTTGATAATTCTGTTACTGGAAGAAGACATACTACAGCAAACAGCAACAACAGTAATGTAAGGATTTATTTATTTTAATTATTTTTAAAAACAGTTAAAATTAATTTATATTTTTATTTAATAAATATATTTTTGTTTTTAAATGATAATTACCTATTTAGAAAATTACTATTTACCGTATTTTCTCGATTAATTCCCCTGGGGAATTATTTTTTCAACCCTTCCTTGGCATGGGGAATTAATCGGGGGAGAATTATTCAGTTTGGAATTTGAACGTGCAGTAGGGCATTTGGGGGTGGGGAATTATTGTTTCAACCCAACTCATGGGGAATTACTCGAGAGGGGGAATTATCCGAGAGAAGGGAATTAATCGAGAGAATACTCTTTCATAATATTTTTGTTTCAAACAGATAATACCAAAAAATTAAGCTTTCTTTAAAAATTTAAGGTATCAGAAAGTTCTCCAAAAATCGAAAATAAATCTAAAAATGAAGAAACACCGCCAAAGAAAAAGCTCAAAATGCAACAAAAACAACCAAATAACGACAAAATTACTGATATATTTAATAACCCAATTTGTCCATTATTTCCTGTTACAACAATGGGAGGAGATAATGCCAATTTCTTTGGTTTGTAAATATTTTGATTATTTAATTGATAATTTAAACAACCTAGAGGGAATACTCCTTTCATTTGGCCCAAATGCCCTCCAAAGAATAGCTATACTTCAACACTTAATTTTATCTCCTCTACTATTTTTTGATTGGATTTTCTTACAAACTATTATAAATATCTAATATTTTCACTCTTTTCTGCGTCCATTTTTCCTTTCATTCACATCTTCCGTTCAACTCCCAGCCAATCAACGGTGAATTCAGGCGTGACGAGCGATTAAAATTAAAAAGGAAACGAAAAGTTGAACCGCGCGATTGGTCACCGCGATAAACCCAAACTAGCGAATTAGCGGTATTTTGCAAGAAAATAAAGATTTATACTATAGAGGAGAAGTTAATCGGTCGAATATCTACTAAATATTAATAATTGGTAAATTAAAGAGGGTGAGAGAGAGATTTTATTAAAATATTAAGTTATATTTGGAATCCTGAATTCTACTTACATATTAGATTTTTATTCTTTATATATTATATAATTCCGAAGCCGATTATAATTCGAAGGTTCAAATTAAGTTTATTATTTTCTTAGTTATATCTCTAACAAATAAGTGTTACTTTAACTAGGTAGTTTTGCTAAAAATAGATACATATTAGTTTCACCGGAAGTTCCGGTTTTGGAAAGTTTGGTTCCGGTTCCGGTCAAAATTTCGGTTCCGGTAAAACACTAATACATACATATCCAAATTTATTTTATGAATGACTAATCTTCTTTACAATTTTTTAATTAACTTTTAATTATATTCAATATATAAATTTATCCACTGATCTCTTTATTCGCTTCATTAAGCCTAAAAATTTGTTTATAAATATTTGGAGGGCATTTGGGCGAAGCGGAAGGGCATTAGTAGTTTTTCTTTCTTTTAATTTTATTTATGAGTTTATATTTAAGATTTCTTAAAATAAGATAAATAAATAAAAATAAATATTAAACAAATTCCTTTGCTCCATAGAGGCAAATAAAAAGTTTAGCGTAAAATAAATTAAAATTTAGTGAATGAGTTTATAGTTAAAAGGATTTAGTGCAATTAGTCGACCTTTCCGCACGATTAAATTAAGAAGTATTAAGTAGTATGTAGATTTAAATATTTAGTAACTAAAGTTTTTTGCGCATTTAAAGTCAATCAACCAATCAAGCGATTTTGCTTGGATCAGTGAATTTTCGAATTAAATATATTTACTATACTAAATTTAAAGAAAAATAAAAGAGGAAAATTGTTTGGAATTAATTTTTGACTGAAAAATAAATTAAGAGTTAATAATGTACAAAAGTTTTAACTAAGTTTCTAATAGAGTTTGAAATTTGAAAAATGCTGGATCCGATTTCCGGATTTTTAATTTCTTTCTATCTGGACCGGATTTTCGGACCAAAATCCGGAAATCCAGAAAATCCTGTTTTTATCAAAATACCCGGATTCCGGACCACCGGATCCGGAAAATCCGAACCCTGATCCAGTCTTGATTCGTACTCTGGTTTCTAATTTAAGTAATTTATTTATTTATTAGGTTTTCATCCACCTCCACCACCACCTCTTATATTTGCACCTCCAAATGTTTCGAGTTCTAATGGATTTAATTTGGTAGAACAAAAAATAAATGAAAATAAAGAAAAAAAACATCAGAAAAATAATTTAAATAATTCAATAAATGATAATTCTTCTCCATTAATTTCTGCTCCATCTGTTAGTTCAGTAGGAGGTCCTTCTTCCCCTTTATCAAATTCACAAAATAATTCTTCAATTCATCGACATTTTGATAATAGTGGTGGAAGTTCTTTTGGAGGAGGCGAAGAAGGAAGTGGGGGAGGAAATAATAATAATTGTAATACAAGACGTAAACGAAGACATCGAACAATCTTTACAGAAGATCAACTTTTGATGCTTGAAAGTGCTTTTTCTATGACACAATATCCGGGTAAATTAACAAAAAATTAAATATAAAAATTTATTTTAAAAGATGTTGGTGTCCGTGAGCGTTTGGCAGACCAATGCGAGTTGCGAGAAGAAAGAGTAGAAGTTTGGTTTAAAAATAGACGTGCCAAATTGAGGTAAATTTGAAATTTTTTTATAAATTTAAAAATATTTTTCAATATTTTTAAAAAATTAGAAAGAAAACAAGAGAAGTTCAGGCAATAATGCAACAACATATTCAACGGGATGCTAACTCTCAGTCTCAAAATAATGGTAGATGCAATTATGTTATCCTTCAACAAGGTTAAATTACATTTTAATTAAATCAATCTTAAAAATATTTTTGAAAATTTGAATGAAAGTGGACCTGAAAATGAAGAAGAAGAAGAAGAAAATACAATTAATGTAAAATCTGTTGAAAGGAAGGAAAATAAACAAATTTTGAAAGAGAATTGCACAGAAGTAAAGCAACAAAACAATAATGAAATTAATCAACCAATTAAAAATGATTTAAATTTAATTAATGGTGGAAGTTCAGATGCCGACATTGAGGACCATAAATTACAAAAGGATCAAAAATCTAAAGAATTGACATGTAAACATTAATTCTTAATAAAATAAAATAAATTTTAATTTTAACAGGCCCAAAAAATTCATTTGATTACTCTACAAATATTTCCAAACCAAATCCAATTAAACAACAAAAACCTTTCGATTTAAGCCAATTTTTTACACCTCAAACAATTACTCAAGCCCTTTTAGCCTCTTCTGGAATGCCTGCTTCCAGTTTAGAATCTTCTAGTTTATTTCAATTATCACAATCTTTAAATAAAGAAGCTGGAAATGAAAAATTGTTATTCCCTTTTGGAATTGGACCAAAAACTGTGGAAGAGGAATTAAAGGTGAATATTTGGTAATTTAAATTTATAATTATCGGAAATAAAAATTTAACAATTCTTTGGAGTCTTTTGTTTTAAATAATATTTAAAATTTTTTTGTTTTTATTAAATAATTTACTCGAAATAATTGTTTATTTTAATTCTTTGTTTAATATTTGTACATTTATTGAGTTCAAATTATTAAAATAAATAGTAGTTGCTTATTGTGTGAATATAAACTAGACTAGGGTCCAACGGGATTAAATCAAGTTACCGGAAAAAACAGCCCAAAATCCCGATAAATTGAATCGGTCTAAATTGGATTGTGATTAATTGAAGATTCCCGATCCAATCTTAGTAACTTCCCAACCCCCAAAAATCCCAACTTTGTTACGTTAAACTTCTGTAAATATAAAATAAATTAAAACTAAAAATATTTTTATATTTTTTTAGTTTCAACAAACAATTTCAAAGCAATAAATGAATTTATTTTAATTAAATATAAATTTAGAGAAGAAAGAGAAGAATAAAGCTCAATTAAAATTACTAATTATTTACATTTTGACATAAATTATGATTTTTCTTTTTATTTTGTTTTGTAAAACTTTTGTTACGGGTTTTACCCACATTTAAGAATAAAATTTTTTAAAATAATTTAAATAATTTCAAACTTTTATTTTCCAATAAACTCAAAAATTAATTTTCGTTTTAAATTTATTTAATTCCTTTCTTCTTCTCATTCACTTCTTTCGAAACATTCATTTTAACTTTTCACTACAAAAAAGGCAATTCTATAACTTTCAAGAACCATGGCAACATTAATAATTTTTAAATTAGTACAAATTTATAGTTAGCAACAAACCCTTAAAACAATAAAAGAAAATATTTACCTATTCCTTTCCCCCAATTATTTTAAAATTTTCCTTATGTAGATACATAGAAATTGATATTATATAACCGTTCTGAACGCCGGTTGGTATTTTTTGATAAGAAATGGGAAAAACAGAAAAATCTAATCATTTCGGACTCGAATTCTAGAATAAAAGTCTGATAAAGTATACCTAAAAGGAATGTTTACCTAAATATTTTACAGCTGCTTATTAAATTTACTGTCTCATTTTTTATATTCCCAATGTTACTTTTTAAATTAATATTAAATCAAATTTTTTAGAATTTTAAAAGTTTTGTTGACCTGAGAATCTAAACACCCTTTCCTCATTCAAAATTTAAATATTTAAACTTAATTTTAATTTATTCCCCAACAAAATGTTTCAATATTTTTAATTATAATTTTATAAACTTTTTGACGTTTTTTAAACAAAATTTTAAAAAAAGAAAGTTAACATCGCCAGTTAAAATTGATTATCGTTAAAATCGATTTCCCTCATATAGGTAAGTGTATGTTTAGGTGGAGGGGGAGAGAGGAGAGGGAGGGCAGGAAAGAGTAAATAAAAAAAATTTTTTTTCTATAATTTATTTCTTTTGCCAAATTTTTATATTTTTATTTGTTTAATTTATTCACTTTCCCCCAAAAAAAGTTTTGTTTTTATGAGATAAGAAACAAAAAATTTTTGTCGAATTACAAAAAGATGGTTTATTTTTCTGGCTTTTCCTCTCCAATCACAATATTTGGAATATTCTCTTTATTTTTTGTTTAAATTATTTTATTTTAGCATTCAATAATAGTCCACTTTCAATTTTCTGCGTAAATCAAGTAATTAATTCTTATTCCCTTTTCTTAACCAAAAAAGTTAGACAGCTATTTAAATTTTATTTATGTATGTTTAAAAATTCTTTCAGAAAATTTTTTAACGTTACTTAATTTTAACCTTTTAAATTTTCCTTTATTTTATTGTTACTGTCTCAGAAATACATACAAAATTTAAATATTTACTACGTAAATTAATTATCAAAAATTTTCTAAGCTAAAAATATTTGAATCTTAACAAACTACAAAAATATATTTTTAAGTCCATACATTTCTTATCTTTTATTCCTTATAAAATGTAGTTTAAACAAACTATAATTATTGTGGTTAAAATAAATATTTTCTTTGATTTTGATAAATTAATATTAAAAGGGGGACATTATCTTCCATCTATAAAATACTAAATTAATTTACAGTCCTCTTCTCTCCTTCTAATTAACTAAAATTTTGTTTTTTTTGGACAAATGTAGAGGACAAACAACTAGAGTATTGGGCATGTGATTTAACTAGAAATTAAATCAATAAAATATTTCTTAAAAATATTTCTTAAATTTTATTCGATTAATTTTTATATTTTAAATAATTTAAAAATTAGCTTATAACTTTTAATTAATTTCTCTTCAAATTAATAATTCGGTTATGAAAAAGGCCTTTCATGTTTTTCATAAATTTTTTTATTTTTTCACATTTTTGTTTTCTTAATGTTTTATATAATACATATTTTATTTAGGTATTTAACTGTTATATTTATTTTAATGTTTCACTTTTTTATCATAGAAAGAAAAAATTAAAAAGTATAGATTTTGGAAAATAATTTCTTGTTCTTTACTATCCATTTTTTAATATCTGATTTGTGATATAAGATAATAAAATAACATCTACTCAATTTTTGAGAATATCGAAACATCTTCTGAATTTATTATACAAAAAACTAAGAAATTTTTCTGGTCAAATTTCTTAGTTTTTAGGCTCTATAACTGCTTTTTGTTTAATTATGTTTTAATTGTTTTTTATATTTTTTATAATAATTCTGTTTCATTTTGTGGATATTTATTGAATTAATTAAATCCTTTGTAAATTCTTTCTATTTCCATTTAATTTTTGTTTAATTTAATAAAAATTATCCCCAAAATTCCGGGCCCTCAAATATGCCTCTCGTAAATAAAAACAGTTAAGTAAATTTAAATAATAAATATTTGTATCGTCAAAACCTTTGCTCTTTTTATAAAAATAAAATTTAAATATTAATTTTATTTTTAAATATATTTTTAATTTATAAAGCTTTGAAACAAGAATAAAAAACCAAACTTTTAGAAATATTAATAAAAACACCTTACATTTTTAATATTATTTTATTTTTCCGCCCACATATTTTCTTCAAAAAATATTTTTTTAATTTTTTAGTAAATAATTTAAATATCTTCTATATATACAAACATTTTAATAAAAATTTAATTTTCAGACAATTTTAAACAAAAAAATATTTAAATGACAGAGACTCAAGAAAAACGATTATATAACGAAGGGGAGGAAGATACTCGTTGTGCTGTTTGTTCTGATCAAGCACAGGGATTACATTTTGGTGTTATGGTTTGTAGAGCTTGTGCTGCATTTTTTAGACGTTCAACAATTGCTAAGCGAGTTTATCAATGTCGTTATAGTGGAAATTGTCAAATTAATTTTAGAGGTGATTGGAAAATAAAAATAAATTATTATAGAATATCTTCAAATATTTTAATTAAATATTTGTTGTTGACTAGAAATTATTTTAGTTTTAGGCATAGTCACAGTTATAGATTTTAGTATCCACATAGTCTATATCCATCCATTTCCGTTTATATCCCTCTCGATTTGATGTTGTATCCGCCCGCGGATATATTCGAAGTTTCTCAAAATAAATCTGGATTCCAAGATGTTCTAACCTTGAAATGTAGACTATTGTATTTTAGTATACATATTAGAAAAATTTAAATAAAACATATATTATTTATATTACATTAATTAATATTACTTTATTTATTTTAGAAGTGCGTTGTTCTTGTCGTGCTTGTCGATTTGCTCGATGTATTTCATTAGGCATGGACCCAAATGGTTTTTTTCTAAATTTTTTATAAGAACTATTCTTCTTTATTTAGCTGTACAAAAACATAGAGATCAATTAGGGCCAAGAAAAATACCAACAGAAAAAAGGAAGAATAACAGCACCAACAAATTAATTAAAAAACAACAAATTAAAAATGAAGAAAATAATAATTTCACAACAAATTCTTCTTTATTAACACCAATTAATATAATGAATGCAATGCAATTACAATTAAATAATAAATTAATTGAAGAAAATGGACGTTCTTATACACTTTTAAATGGTGTTAATAACCAATTAAATAATGATAATTCTTCTTATTTAATAGAAAATAATAACAAAAATTCTTTTACTGATACATTATTACAAGCATTACCCTCAGCTTTTTCACCAATACAAAAACAACAACAATCATCACCAACAGATATAACAACAACAAGTATAATTACAACAACTTTAGATAGCGGAAATGTTTCTGCTACTTCTTCTGTTTTTTCTTCTCCGTTAAATCCTGGAAGTGCTAATGGACATACAAATGTAAGGGAAACGATGATATACTTCAATCATTATTTTTATTTTTTAGCACTCCCCTTCTTCAAATATTCTTTCCATGATTTCACCACAAACATCGGAAGCATGGCTATATAATAACCCAACTTCTACTTCCTACATTAATATATTAAATACTTGTTGCTCCTCTTCTGATAATTATTCTTTAGACAAATCTACTAATTATTACCCTTCACTTAATGAAATGCTTAAAGGATATCTTAAATTAGAAAACAAAAATTATTCTTACAAAAAAGATGAAAATGAGGGCGAGAAAGAAATTGTTTGTTTTTAAAATTAAATAAAATTGGAACTTATAGTAGGTTATATGCCCACAACTGAGACCCACCCGACATTGATTGTCTATAACTTTTTTGAGATTGATCCAATTCAAATAAATCTTATATCATTCGAAATCCCTCGATAAGCGGTACATTTTTTCTATAGGATATATCAAGTCTCATCACTCATTTAAAAGTTATACCACAATGTCTAATTATTTGGCGTTTTTTACTTTTATCGGTTTATAACTTTTTAACGAGTGATCAGACATAATCTATTAAGCTGGAAAAAAGATTCATCTAATCAAGGACTTTTGAATATAAAGATTTTTTTGAATTGGATCAAGCATCAAAAAGTTAAAACCGATGAAATTCGCTGACACTCACTTTTTGGGCATATAACCGTAAGTACCATAAAATTAAAATATTTAATTTTAAGATGATGAAAGAAGGAAATTATACAGAAAATGTAGATTCAATAAAAGCAGAATCATTTTCTGTTTCAGAAATGGTAATTAATTTGTTAATTAAAATTTTAAAAATAATTTTATTCAAATAGATTGAAGAACATTTCTTTCGATTATTAAATTCAAATAATTTTAATTCTGAAACAAGATGGACAATGTTAAGAAATTTTTTCTTTCCATTTGTTTTGGCTTATAGATCATTTATTTCGTCAAAATGTTTTCCTAATCCTGAAGATACAAGATTAATATCTACTCCAGGAAAAACATTTTTTGATGTTTGTCATCTTCAACGGTAGATAATTTTTAGATTAGTATATTGACCCTAATTTTTGTTATAAGGACAGTTTTCTCTTTAAAAATGTGAAGTATTTCCTTTTCAAAAGCAGATTTTTTGTCAATCGAAACGAAATAAGTGAAAGGTAAAATATTTTTGGGTTGGGTACAATAATTCTGCGTTTCGGGACCTATGACTATTTAGCCTTGGCTAATGCATTAACTCCTTTTGTGATGGCTTTCTTTAATCATTTTGATTTATACGTACATAAAGAAGTCTTTTTGAATAAGGAAAAATACAACGAAAAACGAATATTAATGATTAAACTAAAAATAGGTATTTATTTTTAGCTTCTTCAATGTAGAGCAATGCTTAACTGACCCAGAAAGTATTGCACAAATATTTGCTCCAACATTTCGATATTCAATTATAATTAAAAATTCAATGTCAAAACTAAGTTTAACTGAATTAGAATTTGCTGGCCTTCTTGGATTACTTTTTTGGAATGATAGTAATTTTATTTAAAAAAATAATTTTTATTTATTTTTTAAAGAAATTGAAAATTTAAATGATGAAGAACGTTCAAGTATTTTAAAAATAAGAAAACAAATATTCGAAGAACTTTATATTTTATGTAAAAATAATAGTACAAAATCAGAGGATTTAAGTATTAGATATTGCACAATTATTAATTACTTTCATTTTTATCAGGTAAAATTTAAATTTAATTAAAAATTATTTTTTTTGGCATTACAATGCCGTGCAAAATTTATGCACTTGATAAAAATTTTTTTAATATTTAAACTTTGGAACTCTTTAAATTAGAAGTCCATTTCTTTTTTTGGTTGATAGACGAGAGTATGCTCTTTCTAATAAATCCAAATTTTTATAAAAAATAATGATAATTTGACAATTTTTTCAAATTCAGACTTAAAGACTTCCAAAGTTATACTGTATTAAATTTTTTATCAAACGTGCATAAACTTTTGCACCACAGTGAATTTTTAAATATTTTTATTTTTTAGAAATTATCTTTGGAAATTTGCAACAATTTTTCTTTAGTAAATGTTGTCAAAACATTTGAGATTGACGAGTTTTTACATCAATTTCATCCCTATACATTTTAATTTTAAAACAAAGAATATTTATTTAGCGGCGTTGTTTTCAAAAAAATTGTTACAAAAATTTTGTGATAAATAGTATATATAAATATATATTTAAATACCTCTGATAAATTTACAAAATACTCATTATTAGGGTTGCCGACGTTCGAGTCGGGCTGACGTTCGATCATTTTTCTCGGGCCGGCCCGACCGAGTCTTTTTCGGGCCAAAATTTGATACCCGACTCGATCTTTCGGACCGGACCGGCAACCTTCAAACAAATAATTTATATATAAATTGTTTAATTTTGTAATTGTTTAAAATAAATTTTTAAAATCAACAATATCGTCACTTTTCTTCCTTTTTTGATTCAAAAGAAAATATTCCCATTATTTTTGGTAAATTAATTAAAATTTCAACAAAAATTAAAATAATAATAATCCATTCCAATCGATGTGACTGAAAAAAGAAATATAAAAATTAAATAATTAAAAAAATTTTCCTTAAAATATTCTAATATTTCCCAAAAATTAAATTTTCCTCTTGAAGAGGAAACACACGTTTAAAATTAATTTTTTACATGTTTTTGATCAAGCATTTCATGTATTGTTTTTACAAAATATTCACAATAATCTATTCTTTTGTTTAAATCTCGTTGACGACTTGCAAGTTTAAGTTGTTTTGCAAGAGATTCGTATACACGCTCTATATCAAGTAAATCCCTTTAAAAAAGAAATTCTTTAAAAAAGTTGAAATTTTAAAATTATTTTAATTATGAGGATCAAAGACAAGGAACGTTAATGTCAGACTTCAATTCGATAAAAAATAAATGAAAACAGAGGGACTTTTTTGTGTTGAATGAATTTTTTCCAAAAATTTTAAAACTAATTTTTGTGGAAATAGAATATACTTAACAGGGATCTAGGCGACCCGATTCCCGAAAATCGGGAATTGAATTTTTATGTCGGCTAGATCCCTAATACTTAATAACTCTCCAATTTCCCACCCATTTTTGTCAATTTTATTAAAAAAATACCAATAAATATCTTTATTAAGCAATTCAGAAGAATTAACAGAATGTCTATAAAAAATAAATTAAAAAAATTTTTTTTAATTCTTAAAATTAACCTAATACTAGCAATTTTTCCAATAGTTTGTCTTGCTTTGGATGCTTTCCAAATTAATTTGCCTTCTTTGAGTTGGTCAATACATTGTTCCAATTCATCATTAAGCTTGTCTAGTTCTCGTTCCCAAATACCCATTCTAACCTTTAAAATTAAATTAGAAAAATTTTTTAGAGGAAAATAAATTAAATTTACACAAAAAAGGGCTTTTTGTAATTTAATGTAATTTAATTTTCATCCATTTTTGCTTTTGGAATACCAAACGGCCAAAGGTTTAGAGCACCCCTCCCCTCATTATACACCTTTGAAATCCAACCCTGGACATCCCCATGCTCACAAGTTATTCAAAATTGGGGTAAATGAGAAAGGCGTAGCCAGAGGGCTTCTGGGGCCATAGCTCCCCCTGAAATGGCTACGCCCTTGGTAAATGATTCTTTTTTTTAAATTAAAAAAATAAATTCCCTACAGAAGCAGCTAAAGCATGAGAAAATGCAAAACGTTCCAAATTATTATAAGAAATATAAATTCCATCAATTAAACTACAATTAATATTGAAATCATTGTTTAAATAAATTGTGTCGTCGCTGGCATTGGAATTATTTCTAAAAAATTTTAAAAGAACATTCGAAACTTTTTTCTCAAAAATTATTTAAAAATCTTCTTACAAGGAACCATATCGAACTGTCACCAAAAATTTCGTAATTATTTTATATCATCGTGAAGAGCAAGGTCGATTTCCCATTGCTATTTTCTGATTTGGGGAGGGGCGAAAAAGAAAAAACCGGCAATGGGAAATCGACCCTGCTCTACACGATAGTATAAAAAAATTACGAAATTTTTGTTAACATTCGATATGGTTCCTTGTAAGATTAAAAAAAATTTTTTTACTTTGTAAATTCAATTTTCATAATTTCCTCTTCAGCCCGAGACATTTTCTCATTTAATGGTTTTAATTGGTGTATTTGAAGATTTTTAATGATATTCTCTTGTTTGTCACGACCAAAAAAAAATAAAAATTAATTTAAAAAATTAAAAAGAAACCCAACTCAATATTCCAAAAAGTAACAACTCCTTCAGAGAAAATATAAAATTCTTTTATTTCATTTTTGTCTTGTTTTTGATTATTTTTGTCGATATTTTGAAAACAAATAGCGACAGAATCTGTTTCTGCTGAAAATTAAAAGTTTTTAATAGAGACCGGCGCGGGACGGGATCCCGACGGGATTTTCCGGGATCCCGATCCCGAAATCCCGGATTTTTTTGATTTTCGGGATCATTCGGGATCCGGGATTTTTTCGGGATTACTCCCTCGGGATCCCGTCCCGGCATCGGTTAAAAAATAAAATCCCGACTCGGGATCCCGGACATTTTTTTATAATTTTCGGGATTTTTATAATTTTCAAAATTTTCGCCTGCGGCGCTGAAAAAGGAAGAAATCTGGCTTAAGGATCTTCCAAAATTCCTCACCTGCGGCGCTAAAAACGGGAGAAAATTGGAGTCTTTACTGGAGATAAAGGGGAGGGATATTAGTATATAGTGGGATTTTATCAAGGGACCTGTTGATTAATCCACCGATAGTATCCCTCTAAATCTATTATAGAGGGAATTAAAGGAGGAGGACAATCTAATTATTAAAAATTATTGATATTTTTACAAATTTAATCTTATTTACTTAGTATAAATTGCAGTATTTTATGCACTTTATTCATAAAAAGTTCAAATTTTTTATTTTGAAAAAAATCCCGAATCCCGGACGGGATCCCGGATAATTTTTTTCGGGATTTTTGAAATTCGGGATTTTTTCGGGATTACTCCCTCGGGATCCCGTCCCGGCATCGGTTAAGAAAAAAAATCCCGACTCGGGATCCCGGAAGTGCAATTTTGCCGGTCTCTAGTTTTTAAATTTAAATTAGAGATCGGCACGGGACAGGATCCTCTCTCGAAATCCCGTAGTTTTACGACGAAGGGGATTGTCGGAATTACGAGATTTACGGGATTAATCCCGCGGGATCTTGTCCCGTAAAAAATTTTGAAAAAAAATCACGTTACGGGATCCCATGAATGTGGTTTTGCCGATTTTTATTAAAAATTATTCCGGAAATAGAAAAATAGAATTGAAGTGAGGTAAATATCTCTTCAGAAAATAATCCAAAAAACAGAGAAAATAGAAGAAAATTAATTAAAAATTAAAATTCGAACCCCCCCTCCCCCAATTAATTCTCTTTAGTCGGTCTATAAACTCAGGCCAATTAGAATAAATTCCCCAAATTTGTCAAAATTAAAATTATTTACGTGAAATTCTATTCAAATTAAATTGTTTAGTAATCAATTCATTATTTTGTAAATTATCTGTTAAAAAATAAAAATTAATTAAAGAAAAATTTTTTAAAACCAAACTTAAATCAAAGCCTTCTGCCAAAGGAATTGAATTAACACAATTTTTAAGTTCTTCTAATTTTAACTAAAAAAGATTTTTAATTCTAAAAATTATTTTTTAATTAAAAATAACCTCAAAATTTCGTTTACCTCCAGAAACATTTTGTTTAGTCCTTTAAAAAATAATTAATTAAAAATTAAAAAAAAACATACAAATATAAACGTTTCCACACAAAATTATTTCCTCCAATTTTGTTAAAAATAAAATTATTTAAAATTTTAAGCATTAAATGATTCCTCTTTGGATAAATTCTTTATTTGCAAAAATTAAATTTCTTGTGATAAAATGAAGTGTGAAAACTTGGTTGTAAGCAGATGTCGGTCGGAAATGACGAAGTGTCGGAAATCGGAACTGTCGGAAATAGGGACAAAATGCCACAAAATAAAATGTCAACAAATTGGTGAACTAAATTGTAAGGAGGCAAGTTATTCTGCAAAATTCGATTTTGGGTGATATCGAGAGAGGCAAATTTCAAGAGATTAAAGGGATATTATGGGATTTAGGTGATTAAAAGCGATATCAGGGAATTTGGAGATTAGGATGGATATCTGGGTATTGAGAGGGATATCAAGGAATAAATTTAGGAGGGTGGGGAGGTATTAAAAGATAACCATCCGTAATAGTATTAGGGACTAAGGAGGGATAAAGTGATTTGAGAGAAATTCAAGTATTCGTTGGATAAGATTAAGATAAATTGTGGAGAAAGACCTCTAACCATCCTAAATATATCACCTGATATTTATTCAAACCCCTTCAATTGGAGGGCAATGATATCAAATGATTAAGGCAGATATAATGGATTTAGAAGGATATCGGTGGATTAATCACGAGGCCCCATGATAAAATCCCACTATATACTAATATCCCTCCACTTTAACTTCACTAAAGCCTCCAAATCTCTTCGGTTTCAAAAATTTTGACCGACTGTATAAAAGTTATGTTAAAGGTTATTAATTAATAATCTCACTAAAAATAATCACACCAATAATAATCTTCTAATAATTTAGTAATTTATTTGATTAGTGCAATAGAAATGTTTAAGTATCGTATAAGCGTTGTCTGGATGGGGGAAGCTACCTAAGCGGTACTTCTAATTCAATATACCCCCCCCCCCCCCCCTCTCCTCCATTATAAGGCCTCAGGAAAGTATCTAAAAGGTATATCTATTAATTTTTTAGATTATTTTTAACGTCATTTATTTATCCGAATTTTCCAATATTATTGTTTCCAGTCATTCTTAAATTTTTTGTTTCATTTAAAATTAAATATTTAATTAAAATATAAAATATTAACTTTTTAAAATTAATTGTTATTTTTTAACGTCATTTAAGTACATATTTACTCACATTTTCATTTTTCATCTCTCAAGAGGGACTTTTTTCTGGTAGATTATGCTAATAAAGTACAACATGTGCTTTTTGTTATCTTTGTTACATTTCCGGTAATTTAAAAAATAAAAGGACTAAATGAAAGAATATTAGTGAATTACAAATATTTTTTTAAAATTCATTTACTTTTTTATTAAATAAATAAATATGTTTATTTGTGCTTAATTTAAAAACAAAAATATTCCAATTGGAAGAAACACCAAAATTTTAATTCAAAATTTTCTGTTTATTCTACTATGTATTGCCTTTTAAATAAAAATAAAATACATATTATTAATTATTGGTTATTATTTTAGAGGAATATACGCTTTAATACGCTTAATAATACGTAATACGCTTTAATCATATTCATACAATAATCTCTCATTTATCCCCGAATGACTTCAAATTTATAATAATTAAAAAACTTATTTTGTTTCTTTTTAATTTATTTGTTTTTTGTAAATTATAGCTCAGAATTTTAAAAAACAGACTTGGGGGGGGGGGGGGGGATTACATCAACACTTAAAAACCAAAATTTTATTTAACAAATTATTTCCAAATTTACGGTTATATAAGTTTTTTAGACTTCCTTTCTAGACTACAAATCTTTATTTGTTCTTGCCATTGTTCTTTTAATTTAAAAATGGCTAGATATACACACACATCAATCAAAATCTCTTGGGACGACAATCTAATGAAAAACCCTTCAATTTACATCTTTTCTACCCCCTCTCCTAGTTCCGATTTATTTAAATTTTTTCTTAAAATTCTTATCTTTAAAATTTTATATTTAATTATTTTTGTTTTTCTTCTTTATCTCAGATTTATCTTTCCAATTTTTCATTTATATGTACTTCCAATGCGCTTCTAATTCTTTAAAAATATCACGATTGTTCTCAAATAAAAATAATTTTAATAATTTTAAATTCAAACAGAAATTCTCATAATTTTTAATTTTTTCTTAAATTTTTTGCCAACTTTTTATTAAAAACATATGGATTAACAACTAAATACACATTTAATATAATTAATTTATTAAATTCAGATATTCTTAATTAACGCTTCACTAATTTTTAAATTAACACTCTTTCCCTCTTTTTTTATTAATTGTTTCCATTCTTGGAATTTTCTTTGTTATCAGAGTTACTAATAGAAAAAAATATTTTATTATTTTTTATTTGTTAATGACGTTTTTTTTCAAATTAATCTTTTTCAAAAATAATTGAAAAAAAAATTTGAAAAAATTTATCTCTTGGGAGATAAAAAATATTCATTTATTCTTCACTTCCTTTTTTGGAGAACAATGTCTGATTAAAAATCACAACAAATATTTTGTATTCTTTTTGTGTTTTTTTTAATTTTAGAAAATTAATTGTTTAAAATATATAAATATTTTTTCCTTCCAATTTTTAATTTAATATTTTGATATCCAAATATTATTTTAATTTTACTTAAAGAATTAATTTTAGGCTTTTCATTAAGGATATTGCATTATAAACCAAAAATTGCCTGAAATTCCCTATCTAATTAAAAATATTATTATTTTTTTAAATATTTATATAATTTATGAACTAAAATGAAAATAAATATTTTCTAATTTAATTAAAAAATTTTTCTTTCGGTTTTTAAACCAAACCTTTTTTGGAATTATTTATGATCAAATTAATTTAATTATATATTTATTTAAAATAATTTTAATATATAAATTCAATTTAAATTTTTATTTTCTATTAAATTTAAATTATTTAATTTTTGCAATTTTTACTGAGAAAAAAAAACAAATTTCTTAAAATAGAATTAATAATAAAAAGGAGTGTTTTCTTAAATAATTTATTTTTTAAAATATTTAATTCGTTTTTTAATTCACCAAATTTAGTAATAATTAATTTAAAAATTATTTGGCAATTTTTTAAATAATTATTTTCCTTATTTTTTAAAAATTAATTATTAAAAATAAATTATTTAATATTATATTAGGTAATATTGTTTTTTGGAAGTATTTTTACGGAAAATATTTTTATTTTTCATTTCCTTATCATAACATACATATAAATAAAATTTTATATTACCCATTTTATTTATTTTAACTCCATTTAGTTTTTAAATATTTTCTAAAAACCTCAAAAAATCGAGACCAAGAGATTTAGACGTCACAAATATTGTTTTTAATATTTTTATTTGATCCCCATTGTTTTTTTATTCAGAGTTTGGCCTTTTTAATAATAATAATTATTATTAAAAATAATGTAGACAGGAAGTTTTTGTAGATTTGAATGGTATATATGTATGCAAGTGAGAATTAAGTAGTAGAAAAGATAAAATTTAATTACCGTATTTCCTATATTAGAGCCCCATGGGGCTCTATTTTTCAACTATCCTCCAAGGTGGGGCTGTATTAAAGGGTGGGGCTCTAATTGAGGGTGGGGCTCTATTTTTCAACACTCTTTTGAGATAAAACCCCATTTATTAAATTTTATTGCAACTATGTAGAGATAGGCTGGAGGGGTGGTCGATAAAACCGAAAAATATCGAAAGAGAATCGAAATTTTCGATTTTTCACGAAAATAAGTTCAATGAGTTCAATGAGAGTAAGATTACTAAGTATGAAATTTTGGTAGATTTGGACGGATTAAAGGAAATATTAGGGGACTAGTATTTGACATCGATGGATCAAAGTATAAAAGTTGATTTTAAGGGATTATGGGGAATATAATAGGATTAAGTTTATATTGAGAGATTTAGCGGAAGTAAGAGGGATATTCTGGATTAGGGGTATTAGGAGGCATATGAAGCGATTTCTTTGATGAGGCCTTGGAACAGGTTCCAGAACTGGAACTGAAGTAATTCAAAAAGCAGTTCCAAAACTGGAACCGGTTCCAGAGAAATTTTGGAACTTCTCCATCACTGATTATAAGCGAGATCACTAATAGATCTCTAATAATCTCGCGAATTATCGTCAATTTCCTAACACGATTGCAACCCTTCATACAATGATTAGATTTTGGAGGTAATAGGAGCGATTTGGAAGAATATAGGTGATATAAGAGTATTTGGACGGATATCGGGGTTATCTCCTCCTTTTCATCCCTATATCCCAATGATCACAATATATCATCAATCAACAATATCATCAATATCCCCCTTTACTTTTTTAACTCTCGAAATACATCTAAAAAGTTATTGGGATATTTTTTTCCTCCAATATTTTTAAGTGGGGCTGTATTTGGGGTGGGGCTCTAATTGAGGGTGGGGCTCTATTTTTCAACTATCCTCCAAAGTGGGGCTGTATTAGAGGGTGGGGCTCTAACAGAGGGTGGGGCTCTAATATAGGAAATACGGTAAGTACATATTTTAGCTTTACTAAATACTTAGCTTTCAAAAGCAATAATATTTTTTAATTTTGAAAATTTTCTTTTGAGGATTTTAAATTTATAGTACATTTAAAGGAAAAACAATTTTTGAAGAGGATATAAATATTTTACCAATTATTACTAAATATCCACAAATATTATCAATCACACACAATAGTATAATTTTCTAAAAAATAATTCTCTAATTTTATTTAATAAATTAAATTCTTTCTGTATTTTTTAAAAATTTTTTTCATTTCTTTATTTTATTTTAAAATTGTTTTTGTTTATTTTTTAGTTACATATTTTTTCTCACGCAGCTAATAAAAGTTGCAAATAACGAAAAAATAATGTTGCATAAATAAAAAATAAATAATCTTTTATTATTTACTTCCCTATTTACACACTCCCCCACACTTTTAAAGGAAAAAACAATTTTTTGAAGAGGCTAAATAACCAGCTAACTATGTTAGTAAGAAGTACTTCCCTCTCGAGACAAAAGATGAAAAGTTTTTTTTGTTTTCCCATTATGGCGTCATTAAAAAATTTAGTAGAATATCTTCTTATTTTGGATACTTTTTTTGTAAAATATTTAAAATTTTATTTTTGTTTTTATTTTTAAATTTTTAATTTCAATACACAAAATATATTTAGGTATTTCTTTGGCAATTTTTACAAAGAAAATATTTATTTAGTAAAAAACATTTTTGCAAAGTAAATTCTTTATTCTCTTGAGAATTTGGTCAAGTAATTGAAGATAGATAAATATGGGAAAATTAAAGGGAAAAGGTTGTTTTCGAATATTTCTTTTTAATCTTTTTATTTAAATGTTTTAAATAACGTAACATTTAAATATTTTTGTTTTTTAAAAAGATTAAGAAAAGTAAAGTTTTTTAATGTCAAATTAATTTATTTACACGTATGTAGAATTTTTAAATTATTGCCAAGAGATTTTTAATTTTTTCATATTTTTGTATCTTTAATTTTATTGAAATTAATATCAAAAAAGTTATATATTATTTTTACATAAGTTATCTCTATGAGATTTTTTCCTTCTCGACTTTTGAGATATATTCTGAAATTAATGTAAAATAATATTTAAATTTAAGAAATTAAACTTAAAAATAATCTTATTTAAAATAGATATCACTCTTAATCACCAATCTATTTCTTAATATCCAGACTTAAACGCTAATCACCTCTATATAAAATGTTTAGTATTGTAACTAAACATTTTTAGCACCGCAGGCAAAAACTGGAAAACTGAACTGCCACTTATTGGAAATTCGAACCCGAACTGAAAAATCGTCAACCCTATTAATAAGTAAAATTTTTTACTATGATTAAAAAACATTCTTTTACTTTCTTAAAAAATAAAAAATTTTTCTTATTTTTAATTAAAATCTAATTAATTTTAGCATATATTCCTTTTTAAAATTAATAGTGCAAGGGCACGCGAAGAAATTCTGGATTTATTTTTATTTTTTTACAAATATTGATATTCAATTTTTTAAACTTTGTATTTTTTTAATATAAATTCGATTTTAGATTTATAAAAAGTTATTCGAACCAGTTTTGTTATAAACTAAGAAAACTAAAATTTTTTCATATTAAATATTTAAATTTAATTGCTTTAAATAATTCAATATATATTAGAAGATTTAAAGGGTTAGTTGTGAAAAGAACCTGAACAATCTTGTGGGAGAGTATGAAATAAATTTAGACATATTTTCTAGGGTTTCGCCGGAACCGAAATTTTGACCGGAACCGGAACCGGAACCGGATCCAATTTGAGTTCCGGTTCCCGGAACCGGAACCGGAACTTTTCAAAGTTCCGGCCCGGAACCGGAACCGGAACCGGAACTTTTAAAAAAATTTTTGCTAGCAAATTTTAAAAAATTTGTAGTTTAAGTAGAGTTGACTGTTCACCAACTTCTTCGGTTAACCAAAACCGAACCTAACCGAGACTTTTGATTAACCAAAACTGAACCGAAAATTTGTCGGCAATAAGTGATATACATATTTGGGTTAGAGAGTGGTGTATAACGGATTTGGTGGTATAAATGTTTGATATCGGACGATATAAGGAATCAGAATTGTAAAGGGGTCCACATCAAAATCCACATTAATCCATCCAAGTAATCCGTTATACCATTCAACTTTCTTTTTCAGCGCCGCAGGCGAAAATTTTGAAAATTTAAGAAGGCTGTAAGCAAAAAAATCATACGAAATATTTTAAGAATTTTAGAGGGCCAAAAACCCTTAATTACTCCATGTAAAAATAAAATAATTTTTAAAACAAAATTAAACTAATAAACTGATTTATTTATTGAAAGAAAAATTTGAATATTTATTGTCCTACGATTGGGAATCGAACCCAACTTAAAATCATTAACACATTGAGTGAAGCCCAAACCCTTAACCACTCGGACACACGCTCATCAGAAATCAGCTGAAAGAAAATAAACATATTTCTTTCGATTTTTTTATTACAAGTATAAAAGAGTACTAGTATTTTATTAATATTTTTAAAAAAAAACTAATCCTTAGGGGTGTAAAAAAGTTCCGGTTTGGCCGGAACCGATTTGTAAACCGGAGCCGGAACCGGAACCGGAACCAATTTGAGTTCCGGTTCCCGGAACCGGAACCGGAACCAAAAAAACACCGGAACTTCCGGAACCCGGAACCGGAACCGGAACTTCCGGCGAAACCCTAATATTTTCTAACACAGTAAACTTTAAAAAATTAGATAAATTACTAACAATAATTAATTAATTAAATTTTTGACACACAAAATACATTAAATATTTATCAATCCATATTCTTTTCAATTAAAAAAAAAACGATTTTTTAAAGATTTATTTAAAAAATCATTTATTTTTTAAATATCCGGTCTTTTATGACCATTTAATGTTACAATAATAAATGGACACTAATTAAGTATTCTTTTCTGATTATTTTTTGTTTATTTCTATAAATATGTATATTATCTCCATTTCAATAAATTGTTTTTAAAACAATTTAAAATTAAATTTAAAAAAAATTTGCTCAATTATATTTATTTAAATTTATATAAATCCTTTAAAATCCCCCCTTTCTATTTATTTCTAAATAAATTTCCCAATTAACCTTTAAACAAAGACAAATGTACTTTTTTAAAAGATTTTTGTGTTTAAAGCAAGAATTTTTTTAAACAAATGCCTCAAGGAGATGATTATTTCTTTTTATTTTTATTTAATAAAGACCGGTCCCGACTGAATAGAATTATTCTAAAATTAAAATATTTTCCCAAATTTTTCTGTACTTAATAATTTAAATATTCTCACAATTTATTTTTTAAATTATTCCAAGTACTTATTGTTAAATTATTGGTAATTTAATAAAATATAATTAATACAAATAAATTAATTATATTTTTAATTAATTTTTTAAAAGTCCAATAACTTTCAAAAAAATATTAAAAGATATTCATTTTCATTATTCTAATTTTGGCTTTATTTTTTCATTCAAAATCTAAAATATAAAAAATATCTCACAACAAAATTTTTTCTTTTCTTGGTAATTTTAATTTTGAGAATTTATATTTTAAACAGAATTTGTTCAATATTTCCGGTTTTCTTTTTTTTTTTATTTTATTAAAATAAATATGAGTAAAATATTGTTTTTGAATAGATTTAAATTTAAATTTGTAATGCTTGTGGGGACGGTCGACCTCGAAAACTAAATACACCTCTATTTTAGATTATACATACATTGTTTTAAATTCTTCTGTATATTGAGGTTGAGAGAACCCTCAATTTAAAATATCTTTTTTGTGATACATATTTTATAAGGACGTAGAATAGTCGGTATCCCGATTCCAACTCCCGAGATCATTTCCCGATCTGACTCCTTTCCCAGGTTTTTTTCCCGAGCATCACTTAACCTAAAGTTAAAACTTAGACAGAAAAAGTCGTGGGATTGTGATTTTTAAATGTGCCATAAATAATACGAGGAATTAAAATTTTATTGTATTTTAAAAAATTCACGGCATACAAACTATATAAAATTTGTATAGACTTGTGTTTTAAAAATATATAAATTAAGTTAGAATTTAAGAAAATCTTTTAACAACACGCTATATGTACTTCAAAATAGATTACCAATTTAAAAATTAAAAAAAATATTTTTTTTAATTTAGGCAAACTTTTTTTTAAATAAAAAAATGTCAACTCCAAAAATATTTGAAAACACAAAAAAACAATCAACCAAAAATTTAATTAAGCCAACAAATTTACAACAACAAAAACATTTATTAAGAAAAGTTTCTTTGCTTTTATTGTTACCCCTTATGTTTTTGCAAATTATTAATTGTTTTACTTTTTGTTTGGCAGAAAATAATAATAAAGTTGAAGAAATGAGAAGGTTACATAGTTTTTAATTTAAAAAATATTTATTTTAAATTATTTAGGTGGAGTAATGGTGTTGGACTTTGGGGAAAACGTTCATTGTCTTCTTCTGGAACACATGAGCTTTTGGATAACCCAACAGAAAATGTAAATATTTTAAAAATTATTTGGTCCTATACGTTTATTTACCTATATCTTCCTTTTCTTATCTTTGTTTCTCCTTTTTCCAAAAAATTAAAAAATGGTCAACGCAAATAAAGCTAGGATTCAATTATCCATCCATCGCCAAAAAACACTTCTATTGGAGAGGGGCATCTTCCTTTTCTTCTCTTGTTCCTTTTTTCCACAAGAAACTACCTGCCATACATAGTACCCAATTATTTACTTTTTCGACTCCTTTTTTCAAATTCCTACTCCTTTTTTCAAATTCCTACTCCTTTTTTCAAATTCCTACTCCTTTTTTCATCTAAAAAAATCAATCAATAAAAAGTAAATAAAATGCTCCCATTAAAAAATAAGAAAAAACCAAACAAACGACCTAAAATTACAAAGTCGTTTGAAAGTTCGTCTAGTATTGACTCAGCTCAAATTTCACATGATCAAATTATTTGTATTTCAAAGTGTGTGGTTGAATTTTTGAAGCCTACTATCGAACAAATTGTTCGATCAATTATCCAAGAAATTATTCCAAATTTTAATAATACCACAACAACTACAAACAACAGCCAACCTTGGGGATCACACCCCTTTTCTAACAATAATTTCGAACCTCCACTTCAACATTTTATTGATATTTCAAATTACAACACTTCACACCAAGAAACCATAATTAATAAATCAAAAACTGCAGTGGTTGAAAAATTTCCAGAATCTGATGGAGACAACAATCTTTTACGTGAAATTGTGAATGATTGTGGTCTGGGAGAGGAATTGGATGAGAAGGAAATTCATCGACATGCTGGTAAACGTGAGGCAAATATTTTAAAACCAAAAATTTATAAAATTCATTTTAAATCCTCACAATCACGTGACAAATTTTTAAAAACATTTCGTAAAGTTGTTAAATCCAATCCTCAAAAATATCCCCAACAATCATTTTGTCGTAGAGATATGTCTCCTCCTGAGCTCAAATTATTATATTCACTAAGAAAACAAGCTTATGAGTTAAATAAAAACCTTAATTTATATAAATTTATTGTCGTTGATTTAAAAATTATGGAATTGTCCAATCCAAGACCACTTCGTACAAGACAGGCATAGGTAAAATTAAGCAATCACAAACCTAACTCGACTCATAAACCTAATTTGACTTTAAATAATATTCCCTGTATTTTTTTAAATGCTAGATCTATTGTGAATAAAATCTCAGATCTAAGTTTCCTTGTTGAAAAAACCTCTCCTAAAATAATTTTTATAAATGAGACCTGGATTAGCGCGACTAAAAATATTGAAACAGAATTATCCATCAATAACAGATATGATGTTATTTTAGCCAACAGAAAAACGCGCGGGGGTGGGTGCGCCATTTTAATATCAAGAGAGATTCCTTTTAAAACCATTTTATCTTGTTCCAAATATCAGTGTGAACTTATTAATATCAACCTGTTTTTACCCAAAAAAATAAATATATTTCTGATATACCGTCCTCCAAATTGTTCATTAGAGAACACAAAAAAGATTTTAAAATTTTTGTATGAGAATATTGAGAATAATTTTATCTTATGTGGTGATATGAACATACCCAATATTAACTGGGCTGATTATTCATTTAATTGCCAAAAAGGAAAGCTATTGTTAGATTTTATGTTTCAGACAAATTCCACACAACACGTTACAGAATTTACTAGACTTAAATCCACATTAGATTTGATATTCTCGTCCCCATCCAATTTATTGAGCAATGTTGAAATTACTGAAAACTTTTCAAATTCTGACCATAATATGATAACTTTTAATATAAATTCCTCAATACCATTTAATAGGCATAAGAAAAAGGTTTACAAAAGGCAATTAACTGAAAATAATTTCTCAATTTTAAATGAGAAATACGCAAATTACAAATGGACAGATGAACTCTCTTTTTACTTTACCGTTAATTCTAAATACAATGCTTTCACTGATACTATTCTATACTTTTTCGATTCTGCAATGCCTTTAAAACCTTTAAATAATATCATAAAAGAAAATTATCCAAAAAGAATAACTGACTTATCAAGAAACAAGCTTAAATTATTCAATGAATCAAAAAAGGACCCGGATAACAATGAAATCCAACTTAAGTATAAAATAATATCAAGACAGTTAAGAAAAATAACTAGAGATTATTACACAGACAAGGATAAGAAAATTGTGTCTAAAGGCAGATCCTCAGTCTATAAGTATTTTAAGAATAAACTAAAGCCTGTAATACAAGTACCAACACTTTTCGACAATAATGGAGAAATATGTCTATCAGATAAAGCTAAAAGTAATGCTATGGGTATAAACTTTCAGAAAGCCTTTAATAAGAAAAATTCAGAACTAGTTATAGGATCGCATTTTACTAAATCTGATGATAAAATTGAAGATATTCAATTTAATATATTAGATATTTTCAAACTTCTTAGGAAACTCCCCAATAAAAACTGTACCTCACCAGACTCCGTACCTTATATATTATTAAAAAAATGTGCTTTCACACTATCTCATATCATAACTGAATTATTTAGATTAATTCTTGACGAAGGTGAAATACCTGAAATCTGGAAACATTCTATAGTTATTCCGATATTTAAGAAAGGTGATAAAACTATAACTGACAATTATAGACCCATCGCACTTACATGCACTCTCTGTAGAACTTTCGAAAGATTACTAGCAAATAAACTTATTGAGTTTCTTAATAACAAAAACTTTTTCAGTATTGAACAATTTGGCTTCCTTAAACAGCGTTCAACTGTAACGCAACTCCTTACCATGTTAAACCAAATTTATTCTTGCGTAGATAGAGGCAATAAAGTTGATATAGTATATATTGACTTTAAAAAAGCCTTTGACACTGTCCCGATTGAACTATTGATACAAAAAGTTAAATATATTGGAATTAATGGAAAAATACTCAAATTTTTAACTAATTTTTTGAACAATAGAAAGTTCAAAGTCCGAATTGAGCAAGACTTTTCTGAAGAATATCCCATTCATTCTGGTGTTCCTCAAGGTAGTGTACTTGGCCCTTTGTTATTTGTAATATTTATTAACGATTTACCTGAACATCTGCCTAAGGGTGTTAATGTTAAAATATATGCTGATGATATTAAACTGTATGTAGAACATAACAATGATAACAATAGAAATAAGCTTATAGAATCTCTTTTAATTATTGAAAAATGGGCTAAGAATAATGGATTAAGGATTTCTATAGATAAATGTCTCTGCCTATACATAGGTAAGAATAATGATAAGCAACAATATTTTATAGATGGACAACCAATCAAGAAAGAGAATTGTGTTCGCGATCTTGGAATATTAATAGACACAGATCTATCCTTTTCTGCACATATAACTAAAATTACAAAACAAGCCTATTCAATGATGTATCAAATATTTAGAATATTTAAATCCAAGGATCTTGATAATTTAGTTTTTGTATTTAAAACATATTTGCGCCCTCTCTTAGAGTACGCGACTGAAATTTGGAGTCCCTTAAGAAAAGATCACTTAATTTCGCTTGAAAAAATTCAAAAAATCTTTACCAAAAAAGCCTTTAAACAATGCGGATTAGTTGATAAACCTTATGAAATTAGACTACAAATTTGTAAATTAAAAAAATTAGAGGAAAGAAGAGTACTTGCCGATCTTTGCATGACTTATAAAATACTTAATAATTTCACACATTTGGAACAAGAAAAATACTTTACTCTAACTAAAAGGGCCAAAAGAAGAATTCATCTTTTACAAAATAAAAGATTCACTAGCAAGTCAAAAAATAACTTCTTTGCTCGCATAGTCTCCTTATGGAACAAATTACCTAGGGAAATTGTTGAGATTAGAGATTTAAAAAAATTCAGGGAATATACCAAAAGAATTGATTTACTTAGTCTGTCTGGTACCTAGTGTTTAAAAAAAAAAATTTTTTTATATACAAAATATTCATTTTTACATTTAATACTTAATTTTTTATTTATTTTTTCTTAAATTTATTGTATTCACAACTTATACATATTTTGTTTTTTTTTACAATCACTGTCAGTGTACTTTTATTTGTACCTGTGATTGCTGCATAAATATTAAAAAAAAAAAAAAATTTCTTTTTATTTAATAAAATTCTCCGTTAGTTTTCATTAATTTAAAATTTTTTTTCAAAAATAAAGGCTCTTCTTTTCAAACGACCAGAAAATTCATGGCACAAATTAAACGCTTTATGGGGGAAACGATCTTCAGTTGGCATACCCCCTTCCTCAAATTGGCAAACGGCTACTGGACTTTGGGGAAAGAAAAGGCAAAAAAAGAAATATTTTTTTAATTTATTTAAATTTTAAAAGGTCTGTAATATCTCCTCTTCCCTCTGCTTGGCAACAAATTTCAGCATATTATGATTTGGCAAATTCGAGACGTTAATTAAAGAATAATTATTTTTAAATAATGAGAATATTAATAGAAATACCCAAAAAATTTTAAATTTTTGAAAAATGATGAGGAAAAACATTTTATGTATATTTAATATTAAACTATAATACCTATATATTATTTTAAAAATATTTTTTTTTATTTTAAAGTCTTTAACTTTATTTAAAAACTAGCGGAGTTGGTCGGCCTTCGGCCGCCCCACCCCGCTAGCAAAAACAAAACAAACCAAAAAACAAACTCCAAATCAACTTATCACAACCTCAAAATTGGCCCTAATCCAATCATAATCAAAAACCCGATTATCATGACATTGACCAGCATTAAAACATTTCCTGATTACCAATACATTTAACAAAGCAAAGCATCTAATAGGTGCAGCTGATAGGGTACACACAGGCGTCGTGTGACTCCGCTAGCATAACAAAACAATTCAACTCAAGATCCGATTCAAAAGCCTTTGGCCGGCCTTCTCGCTTACACATTTTTTCTCCTCAATTCTCCCTGCTTCACAATTCCCTCTGTTTAAATATTCCCCTGCTTCGCAATTCCCCTTGCCTCACAATACCGCCTGCTTTACAATTCACCTTGCCTCTCACAATATCGACTACTTCGCAATTCCACCTGTTTCAATATTCCGCCTGCATCACAATTCATCTTGTTTCAAAATTCCGCCTCCTTACCAATTCCTCTTGCCTCTCACAATACCGCTTGCTTCACAATTCCCCTTGTTCAATATTCCGCCTGCATCACAATCATCTTGTTTCAAAATTCCGCCTCCTTACCAATTCCTCTTGCCTCTCACAATACCGCTTGCTTCACAATTCCCCTTGTTCAATATTCCGCCTGTTTCAATATTCCGCCTGCTTCACAATTCCCCTTGTTTCAATATTCCGCCTGCTTCACAACTCCCCCTGCTTCACAATTCCCCCTGTTCAATATTCTGCCTGCATAAACGTTGCGCCTAGCACTTGACACATTAACGTTGCCGCCTATCACTTGACAAATGAACGTTGACGCCTATCTCTTAAAAATGAACGTTGACGTCTAGCACTTGACACATGAACGTTGACGTCTAGCACTTGACACATGAACGTTGACGTCTAGCACTTGACAAATGAACGTTGACGCCTGGCACTTCAAGTGACGTTGACGTCTAGCACTTGACACATGAACGTTGACGTCTAGCTCTTGACACATGAACGTTGACGTCTAGCTCTTGACACATGAACGTTGACGCCTGGCAATTGACAAATGAACGTTGACGCCTGTCACTTGACACATGAACGTTGACGTCTAGCACTTGACACATGAACGTTGACGTCTAGCACTTGACAAATGAACGTTGACGTCTAGCACTTGACACATGAACGTTGACGCCTGGCACTTGACAAATGAACGTTGACGCCTGGCACTTCAAGTGACGTTGACGTCTAGCACTTGACAAATGAACGTTGACGCCTAGCACTTGACAAATGAACGTTGACGTCTAGCTCAAGAAGACACAGGACTCCAGCAAAAGTTGACGTAGAAGAGCACAGCAATGTTGAGAAGTTGAAGACTGACCAAAATAGCCTGCTTTTATACTATCTGCTTACCCTCACAACTTTTTTCAACTTGCAACGCTTTACTATAAAACCCCCCTTTTCCTCACTCCCCCAAATCATTTTACTATAAAAACCCACTTGTCTACATATAAAAGGACAGACAAACAAACGGACAAACTCTTCTCAATTATATAATAAGATATTAGATTTATTTAGAGTTTAAAATACTGAGATTTCTTGAATATATATGTATAGTATTATTATATTTGAATTATTTTCTAAAAAATTTTTTGATTTTTTTAAGATTTAAATTTTTATTTAAAATTAAAAATATATACATACCTAATTTAAAAAACAAAATTTAGAATAATTCGTAATTTATTGTAATAAATTTTAAATATACCCAATTAGGTATAATAACAACAAAAATATCAAAATTACAACAATAAAAATGTAAAATATTAATTATAAATTGAGCAAAAAAGGAAAAAACAAATTAAATTAATTCTTAAATATTTTTGAGATAAAAAATTTTTATTTTCAATTTAAATTATTCAAATTTATTAAATTTATTTTTTATACACATAATTTTCTCTCAAAAATTATTTAAAAATAATTATAACTTTAATAAAAATATTAATTTAAACCATGTTTTAGAGGAATGATATAAATTAAATTAATAAAACAATTATTAAGAAAGAGAGAGATTCTAAAATTAAATATGTATTAAATATAGGCAAGGTTTAGAAATATGTATTATTATGGCAATTATAAAAAAGATGTTTAAAAAAAATTAAATAAAACTCGATAAAATATTTAAATGTTTGGAATTATTAAAAACAAAAAATTTTTTTTCATAAATTTGGCCCGAATTGTTCAGCCAAAAAATCCAAAGAAGCAATTCCTTGTGCTCTAGTTCCTTCACAAGCTTCCTTTTGTGCTTTATTTTGAGATTTGTTATTTTTATTGCAGTCAATTGAATGAAAAATATGAATTAAATCTTTTAAAAAATTAATTAAAAAAATTTTTTTTATTTTAATTTACCATTATCTATTGATCTAAAAGGGATTATATTTCCACTTTTAATTACTTTTTCAAAAAAGTCAACATCTTCAAGTCCCCATCCTTTAATTGTTTGATTAAATCCCCCAATTAAATCAAAATCTTTTTTATATAAAGAAACAATTCCATAACCAAAATGACGAAAATAACCACGCTGTTGGGAAGAAAAATCTTCGGTATTTAATTTCCAAGTAGTTGGAGAATATTCGCTGAAGACTATTGGGAAATAGACCTAAAAAGGGAGAAGAGTTTTTGGAATAATATCAGAATTTCTTTTTCTCAACTACCTGTTTACCCAAAATAGTATTCAATCGAATACGTTCTAATGCCCCTTCCCCAATTAAAATATCAACATCTGCAAGTAATAATAAAGCATTTGGAGGTAAAAGAGCAATTCCAGCAGAAAGGGCAGCACCTCTGTTAAAATCTGTCCTTTCTGGCATTTTTAATAAACGAACAGGAATTTCTGTAGAGAGGCGATTAATTGTTGAGTTAATTAAAATATCCTCGTTATTATGTGAACTAAAAAATAAAAATTAATTTATATTTTAATTACCGTATTTTTTGTATTAGAGCCCCATGGGGCTCTATTTTTCAACTATCCTCCAAAGTGGGGCTATATTACAGCGTGGGGCTCTAATAGAGCGTGGGGCTCTATTTTTCAACCTATTTTTGAAAATAAGTAATAGGATTCTCAATTATACTGTTAACTATATTTATCAAATCAATTAAAGTTTAATCACAAAAGCAAATTTTAACATTGAGATATTTCCAAATATGATAGTCACGCGTGTACACTAAGGCGCGGTTAGGTGCATTTGAGTTAGATTTAAGGCCGAATTGGAATTTTAATTTGTGGAAGGTTCGAATCGTATCGAGCCTTTGAAGGTTCGATTCTATTTTGCTTCAGTCCGTACGTTTCAATCTCTCGTGTATATATTCCGGTTCAGTCCCAATGAAAGGATATAGATGTGATTAAGAAGATATTTCCATGTTGACTCAGGGCTTCGGGTGGAAAATCAATGGATAATATTATTTTGGTGATTCGTGTAGATTAAAGGGATATCGAGTGATAAGAGGAATGAGAAGGATATCAAGGTATTAAGCGGGATTTGGGCAGATTATAGTTTTATTGGGCAGATAGAGTAACTCGAAAATGCTCAAACTCGACTTACTCTACTTTATTTCACAGACTAGTCAATTTTAAAATCGGGATTTGCATCTGGATCTGATGCACATCACGATCCCGATTAACTTATGTGAAAATTTTAAAAAGTGGGGCTTTATTACAGAGTGGGGCTCTAATACAGCGTGGGGCTCTAATACAAAAAATACGGTAATTTTGTTTTACCTATAAAGAATTAAAACAAGTCTAATATCGCTACTTTCCCCACGTCCATTTGCTATTCTTATCAAATTATTTGCAAATCTATCAAACACTTCAGCTCTTCCTTTTAAAGCAATTAAAATATTAATTATTTGGTTTTCTTCAATTTTCCTCTTTCTTTTAATTATTAGTGAGCGAGATTGAAGTTGACCAAAACGTTGTTGAACATAAGCATGTCGACGAACTGTTAAAGGAGCTCGAGAGTGTAAAGGGCCTCGTAATCGGTGATAACGTAAAGCTAAGCTTTTAAATAGAAAATTAAATTTAAATAAAATTATTTTTTTTGTAATTTAAATATTAATCTGTAGGACAGAGAAAATAAAAAAATTTTGACATTAATTTCCTTTGAAAATATTTTCTCTCATTTATTCTTAAATAAATTAAAAATTATTAACCAATATCGAGAACAAAATCAACACCAAATTTCGGCTGTATTCTCATATAGCCATACTGAACTCGTTGAAAATGCAAAGTTCTTCCTTTTTGGAGTGCATTTAAATTAAATTCATCAAAAATCTATAAAAAATATAAAATTAATTTTTTTATCTAACAAAAATTAATTAATTTACTTTAATTAAAATATCAGAAATTTGTCTTCTTAATTCAGCCTCTAATGTATGTTTGGGGCAATTTGGTTTGTTAATACAATATAAAAGTTTTGTGTCTGAAGAAATAAATTCCCAAATAGGAACATTCTCTGGGGAAGTTGGCACTTTTGGAATTAATCCAGAGAAAAGAGCGTTGTGATTTGAAGAAGCTTAAATTTTGGAATAAATTTTTTTTAAATTTTAATTGAGTAAATTATCGTATTTTTTGGAAAAATTAAGGGAATTGACTAATAAAAGTTAAATAATAAATTTAATATTCTAATGAAAAATAAAGACAAACTCAAAGTTCGAAAGGTATAATTTTTTAGTGAATGACAGATTATAACTAAAAATTTTTCTTAAATCCCCAAAAAGATTTCTATTTTTCCATAAAAATTTCCAAATAATTCTATTACCACCTGAATATTCAGAATTTAAAACTTGAGGTTGTTGATCTGCAATCTTTTTGTTTTTCCCCTTAATTTCCTCTATTTGTTCCATTAATTCCATTCTTTTTTGACGTAATTCTGAAAGTTTAATCATTTCCACCCTTAAATGAATATATCTCATTGCTATTGGATTTTTGACGGGATGTAGAGTAAATAAATGACGTAATGTATGTGAATTAATGGAAGCTGATAAATGATTAGTAAATAAATTGGCAATTGATGCATTGTTGTGAAATAAACTATAATAATATTTAAATTAAAAATTATTTTTATTAAAAATGTTTTTTCCGTTAAATTTTTGATGAAGAAAAGCATTAAATTTAAATTTAAAAAAAATTTACGTTTGCATTTCGTAATTCCATGGACACGCTAGGCCAACATGCCTTCTTAAAAAATATTTTAGAACGAAATTTAAAAGTATTACTATATCCCATAACAGTTTCCTCGTATTCCTATCTCCTACATATTTCTATTCTACATACCAATATTTCGATGTATGTATTTTTGACTTTTGGTTATTATAGTTAACTAGATATTTGTGCTTTGTTTATTTAAGATTTAAAAAGTTAAGAAGTTTTTACCTAATACATCTTCCCAATTCAACATCCTCATGTGTTGTTAACAAAGAATTTAAACAAAGCTCCAAATAAGGGGCTAATTGTCTGAGTGTTTCCTTCGATAATATAACCCCCGGCCCTCCCATACAATAATTATCATTTGTGCCAAGTGAAAGTTGCCCATACTCTTCAACATTACCCAGACCTGCTTGGCCAAGTAAAAGAACTTTAGAAGGGTCTAATAAATGAAGAAAACTATAAAAGTAAGAGAATTGAAAAATTAATAATTAAAACTTCGCTAATTTTTCGCTTTTAATATAGAGATCATCGTCAGCTCTTAAAAACCAATTAAAATCTGAGTAGCGATTATCATACATCCACCTAAGTTTAATTTTAATAAATATTGGTAAAATAATATAATTTAAAATAAAAATTAAACAAAATTTTTGTTTTTTTAATATTTAATATATCTCCATTAGTTACTCATTACCCAGGAAAGTACAACTAATTGCAAGATAGATTTTTCATCCCCAAGGGGGTAACTAATAACTGAGGTTCAAACTGAGGTTAAATATAATAAATAAATCATTTTTTATTTTAGTCCATAATTAAATTCATGAAAATAGTATCCACACAATTACTTATAATCACAAAAATATTTAATAATAATTACAACCTTAACATTGCAAATGACTTCTTTTGAGGCGGATAAGAATCATCAACACCACGCAAAGAAATAATTTTCATTCCAGAATTTTTAATTTTAGAGCTCAATTCTGTTCTTTCAGAAACAAAGAAAATAACTTCACCAGGAATATTTCTAGCCCAAGTTTGCCAAATCTGTAAGGCACGAGTTTCGAGAAATTGTTTTGCTGTCATTACACCAACCTAATCTTTTTATAATTTTGTTAATTATAATTAATTACTGATTTAGAAAATACTTTTCTATTAATTCATTTTCTACTATTGAGAGACAGTGATCGTCGCCTTGGACCTTCATTAAACGTTAAAAGCAATAACTGCAAGGAACAGATTCGATTCCGGCCCAGTACCAGGGGTGGGCAAAATGTAAAAATAAAAAGCGAAATGCGGAATGCGAAAGTGTGAAATTAGTTCAGAAAAAACTAAAATTAAAAAGCGAAATTAGCACAGTCCTGCCCAGTACATAGTTAAGGGGATTTATGGTAGCGCAAAAAATGCCAAGATTAAATGAGAAACCCCTCGAATGATTTTAAAAGACAAAAATAAAATTTTAACAAAATTTTTACCAAAATTAATTTCTTGTTATTAAAACTATTTTGTTGTTTTTGAAGTGAAAAATAATTTAAACGTGTTAAGCTGCGAGAATATTGTTGTTGATTTAAAGATAACAAAAAAGTGCCAAATAAAAATCCAACAAGAAAAGGGAAGAAAAATAAAAGATAAAATTTCTTTGGTAAAAATATTCGACGAATAAACAATAAAAACACCATATTAATTCTTAAAAATATTTTTAAAATTTTTAAAGAATATTTTTAAATGCTTTAAAGATGCTAAATTACGTTTAATTAAGAAGAGGTTTTTAAGTGGAGGATTTGAAAATTTGAAATGTCTCGATGTTGATGACTCAATATATTAATTATTCAGAGAAGGAAGTCATAGGCCAAAAATATTTTTTTAATTTACAAAAACTGACTAAAATTGAAATTTTCTCCTCCTCTTCCAGCACAATAAAATTAAACAAAACACAGCCAGTTTTTCTCAATTAAATAATTAATTATATTTTTATATTGCAAAATTCTTTAGTCGAAATATAAATATATTGAATGACCACCAAAACATAAAATAATTTATTTGAATTTTTGTTGTTTGTTTATTCTTTTGTATTGTTTTATTCTTCTCTCCCTCAATAAAAAAATGAAAGAGTTCTTTTTATAAAATAAACAAAGTTTATAAAAATATTTTTTGTTTGGACAAATTTGAGGGTTTAGAAGAATTAATTAACAATTTAAATATTTAAATATATGTACAGTATATTATTTAAATTTAAATATACAGTATATTCTCTCACTTATTTAATTAAAAAGTTTAAAATGCAGATCTTTTTTGTGTGTCCCTAAACCTGATAACAAGGTATACAGAAAGGTCAAATGCTATTTGTTAATGTATAAATGAAAAATAAACTAACAGTTAATAAACTATCAGTTAAACTATTAACTATCAAAATAAACTATCAGTTATAAACATACATATAAGTTTAATTACGTATACTATATTAAGAATACCTAAATACTTTTATAAAAAATTTTTCCGGGTCAATCGTTTTTAAATGAAATAATATTTATTATATATAAATTGGTCGATAAATCGTCTGTGTGGTGATTGATGTGAAGCATTTACTAAAGCAGAACATATTTTCTATTTCTCATCTATTTTTAATCTTATCTAAAATTCCCGGGGGGTAGAGGACGGACATCTCAGTCCCGCCATTTTTAAGTATTTTTGGATCACAACCAAAGTTCGCCTCTCTTCAACAACAGAAAATGCTTACATTTATTTTAACTAGGCCTACACTAAAGAATTGTTTCTTTAAAATCAATAATTAAATTAATTAGTTTAAAATTAATTTTTAAATTTTAATTTTTAATTAATCGAAAAAGTAATGAGTCATGGCAGCCAAATAAATTTAAAATTAAATTCTCAAAATATTAATAATGAAACATTAAATAATCAACAAAAATCTTCTTTGAATGCCAATAAAAATCAGGAAAACACTAATCGAAGTAATGAACTTTTGCCAAATATTTTGCCTCGTAGAAGATTGTCTTGGGCAGTTACAGAAAAACGTATTTTTTAAATAACGATTTTTTGGTTTGGATAATTTAATGGGAAACATAAAAAGATGGACATTTGTTGCTTAGAATTAATTATCAACATAATTATGGATATAGAAACTTCCAAAAACCCCAAATCCTTACCTATTATCCTTCCCTTTCGTTCCCTTACCTTCCCTGACTTCCCTCACACTTCCAAATTCATTTATAAATTAAAAAAAATCCAATAAATATTTAAAAGCAATCCAAGAAGAAAAATTAGAAAGGCAAACAAATAGCGAAGATACTACAAATTTACGTAATGATTTAATTCGATTAATGATTGGAGAGGATAAAATACTTAAAGTTAAAGTTCAATATTTAGAAGAAAGAACTGCCTTAAATTTACAATGTCCAGTTAATTTTGAAGAATTAGAATTATATTTTCAGGCAATTTAAAAAATAATTAATTGAAATAAAAATAATTATTTTTTAAAGAATAAATATGGGCGATTATTAAATTTTTATTATACAACTTCTAGTAGAGAATTAATGATACAGGTTATTTGGAATTAAAATTAATTCTTGTTAAAAATTGTAATTTTGATGGAATAAGAGAGGAAAGCCTCGAATAATTTTAAATTCTCTTTTAAAAAATAATTTTTGTGTAGATCCGTAACCAACAAGATCTCGATTATGTAATTCAATTACATGAAAAAGCTGGTAGTAAACGTCGAATGAGACTTATACTTTCACAAGTTTTATAATTTTAAATTAATTTAATAAATATTTTTGTAAGAAAAGAGATAATTATTCCGAAAATTCTGGCCCTCCATTAACTCCACATTCACCTATCTCTTGTGGTGTTTTTACTGTTCCAAATGGTTTTGCAGAGACAACATTATCTGAAACTTCTTCTCTTTGGTTTAATTTTTGAATATTTTACATTATTTTTGTAATCTTTTGATTAAAGGTCATTAATCAGCAGTTCCTCTACAAAAAGAACACCCGGAGGAACACCTATACGATTTTGTGGGAAACGGGGAGAGACTTCTTCCTTAGATGCAGAGAGGTTATCTGACACCCCCACACCAAGAGTACCTAATAATTGGCGTGAAGGACGGTTTATTAACAAATAATTCACTCAAAATACAAACAAATTTAAAGGTGTCTTGGCCGTGGAGCATATGGCCATGTATTTGTTTGTTTAGATGTTGACACTGGAGAACAATTGGTAGTCAAGAAAATTTATTTGAGAGGTCACCAACAACGAAGCCGAGTAATGGCAACATTAGAAAATGAATTAAACATGTTGGGCACTTTAAAACATCCAAATATTGTCCAATATGTTGGGATAGTTGAAAGGACAGATTGTGTTAATATTTTTATGGAATTAATGGCTGGGGGATCTTTGAAAGATCAGGTTGGATTTTGTGTTTTCTTTTCTGTATTGCTAATTTAATTTTTAAAAATCTTGTTTATGCTTTAACTGAAACAAAGAACATCTCTGTTTTCTAATTATTATACAAATAATTTCTCAAAATCACCTGCCCCTTCCTTATTCAATCAAAATCCATTATTCATTTAGATAAGCGAGTATGGAGCATTAAGCGAACAAATGAGCATTCTCTTTACTTCCCAAATTCTTGCTGGTTTAGCATATTTACACTCAAAGGACATTGTTCACAGAGATATTAAACCTGCAAATATTTTACGTCATACAAGTGCTCGTGTTAAAATTGGGGACTTTGGATCAGCTAAATTTCTCCAGGCAATTTGCAGTGAACAAGGAATTGATATTCAAGTCTTTAATAAATTTAAAACTTAAAAAAATAATTTTTATTTAAGGGAACTCCTCATTATACAGCTCCAGAAATTATTCGTTGTGACCGTCGTTATGAGCCTAAATCTGACGTTTGGAGTGTTGGGATCACTGTGGGGTCGTTTCCTAATTTTATTATTTTTTTTCGAAAATTTTTTGTTTTCTTAAAATTAAAAACAAATTTTAAAGTTAGTCGAAATGTTGACAACACAAACACCTTGGGCAGGTATAGAACCATTTGCCATTCATGTCAGAACTATGCCAGAACCGTCATTGCCTAATGGGCTTTCTTTGGCGTTAATTGAAGCGATTAATTTAATGTTAAAAAGAAAACTTGAGGAAAGGCCAACAGCCCTAGAATTACTTGGAATTAAACCATTTTGTAGTTCTGATGAACGATTAGATGTAGTAGAGGAGGCAAAGGAAGGGAGAGGAGTAATTTTGAAAATTGGTCATAATGGGTAAATTGTTGGGGAATTCCAAATATACCATTAGCCTATTTACATATTTTTACATTAACTAATTCGATTTAATTAACTTTCCCTTAATAATTTTTCACTTAAACATTTTATACTCAATTCTTGTGATCTAATAATTCCTCTTTTAATATCATACATATGTACATCCTCAATTTATAAAATATTCTAGTACTTCAAAATAATTATTATTCTTTAATATTTTGTATGAATCTGTGATTCCCCGAATTTTAATTCCTTTTCAATTGCCTTGCCTTTAGATATTTTTCATTTAATATTATTTTGCCATTATAATTTTTTAAATAAAAATTAACTTGTAGTTTCTTTTATTTCACATGATTTTTAAATCTTAAATAATAATTAATTTTTAAAAATTAAAAAATGTCTAATATTTTAGTTAATTAAAAGTTAAAATGGAAATGTTTTCTTCTTTAGTAGAAAATGTTCAAAATATATCTGAAAATATGCTTTCAGGTATTAATATAATACAACCAAAAGAAGAACAAAAAATAGCTAGGTTAATTAATTAAATTTTGGGAAATAAATATATTTATTTTTCTAGCCTGGTTTCAAATTTTTACAGACAAATTAGTACTCGTGAGGATATTCAGAATCTCTTGACAAAGTAAGCGAAGTTAAAATTTTCTTCGACCTTTTTTAAGCATTAAAGGGTATAAACGAATTTTTTCTGGGGTTTTGGGTAACTAGGAAGCTTAGGGGCTTTTAGGGATGGGATATTAAAGATATGATTTAATAATAAAATTACTGAATAAATTTCCAGCTTCTCAATTTTGTTATGTATTACCCAATTTAAAGAGTTACCGGTTCTGAAATTATTAAAAAATGTTAACTATTTTGGATAATTTAAAATTCTTTTTATAATTTTTAGGTATCAACTCCAACTTTTTCAAATAAAAGAAGTAAATTCAGAAACTATTAGACAAGCAAATATTTGTTCAACTCGAATGGGTAGAGTACAACAAACTTTAAGTGAATATTCCGAACAAATGGATAAATTAGAGAAATTATTTAAAAATAATTATTTAAATGATTGGAATTATAAATTAATTAAAATTGGGAAAGAAGTAAATGAAATTGAAAAACAAATATTACAAACAGAATTAATTATTTTAAAATTAGAAGAAAAAATTAAAATAAAAGAGGAAAGAGGAGAAGAAGAAAATGTTGAAGATTTATTAAAATTAAATATTTAAAAAAATATTGAATAAATTTTTTTAATAGAAAAATTTTAATTTAAAGGATTGAGTATTCAATAATTATTTAAAAAAAGATGATCCCAAACGGTTTTTCCAATGACAATGTTTTAATCAAATTTCCCTTTTCTTTAGGTATAATAAAACTAAATTAAAAAAGAATTTCCCCTCCATATCTAGGCAAGGAATATTTTTTGCTTTTCGATTTTAAATAAAAGTAAAATATTAAATAAAGGGTAAAAATATTTTTTAATTCCTATTCCTAGATTTATGTTTCAAAATTATGACCAAAAATAATTTTAAAAAGAAATTAATTTTGAAAATTCCGTTTATTTAGTACGGACAAATAAAATTAAAAACTCAACTTAAAACCAAAATAAAATTTTCTAAAAAATATTAAAATTTTATTTTAATGTCAAAAAAATCCAATTTTTAACATAAATTTAAACAAAAATTCCTAAATAATAAAATACTTTTTTAAATCACGGTCCCGGTGCAATTGGCCAACGCCATTGGTATTCATCTGGTGCTTCAACAAGTGGTTCCCATGCTTTGTAATGAACAAGAGTACGAGCTGCTTCCAATTCATTTAGAGCCTAGAAAAATAAATAATGTAGTTTCCCAAAATTACTAGTAGAATTTTATATCAAGTCTTTGGAGTCCCAGGGGATGCCCCCCCCTTCCTGAAATGGTGAAAAGAAAAATTCCCCCAAATTCCCCAAAATTCGGCGCCGAGAATGATTGCCCATACCTGCCCTCTCCCACGAAAATTTTTCCTGGCTATGGCCTGTTTAAAGTAGAAGTATAATTTTCAGAACTGACAATGGGATGGGAAACGGTTTACTCTGTAACGCCATTAAGGCTCTATACTCGAATCGATTTTTAAAGCCTTGTCAGTAACAGAAAACTCCACTATGATTTTAAATATATTTTTAAACCTGTTCAATAACTTCCTCAATTTGACCCATTCCAATTTTTTCTTCCAAAATTTGAATATCGTCAGTCTATTGAAATTTAAAAATTTTAATTTCAAAAAATTAAAAAAAACCGAATTGACATGTCCAAACCGTTCTTTAACAATTTGTTCAGTAGTTTGCCTATAAGGGTAATCTTTAGGCATCAAATCAAGAACACGCAAAATTCGAACATAAATCTCCGAAAGGTCTTTGTGAGGATGTGTATTTACGTAGAGACCACAAAGACCAGTTCCCTAAATAGAAAGACAAAAATATACGAATTTTTAATCGAATAAGAAATTTGAGAAAATAAATTTAAAATTTTCTAAAATATCAAAGACAATAAAAAAAATTATTTGGATTTCTCCTTTGCCAAAAATTCTAGCTATGGCCCTAATAGAAGTTCCCAGTCAAAAATTATTTTTTAAAATTACTGAAGCTTTATCAACCTTAAATAGCTTAAAAATGCCCAGAATAAACAAAAATACCTGCTTATGAAAATCCTTTGGCACTTCGTCTCTTTTTCTTTGATGATCTCTGACAAGAGGATTTTCAAACATTTCAGTCTAAATTTTAATTAAATAAAAAATTATTAAAAACAAACAGGATATGGCTGATCTGTATGGACAATTGTTCGAATAAAATTGATTTTATTAGATGAAAAATGTTTAAGTCGACCACAATAAGGAAGAATAATTCGAGACATTCTTTCCAATAATTATCTGAAAATTAAAATTTTTAAAATAAAAAATTAAAAAAACAAAAATTTCCAAGAACGGGTAAGGGACAATAAGGCGCGGCCCATTCTGGCGTGATCATTATCGCGCAGGCAGGTCAGGCGCAAGCACTGTTTGGCGCAATAAGCTGCTTAACCGGTATTTTTCGGCTTTTTAAAATTTTACACATAAATTTCCTTCCAAATTTCTCTCTTATCTCAAAAGTCTTCAAGTTTTAAACCCATTATATTAGTATTTTTCTTGTCAGTGCTAAAATGGTGTTCGGAATTAGAATTGGCAATTGCGAATAGCGAACTGCTTGAAATCGGGGTTTTAAAATTGAATTACGGGTTGTTAAATTACGAACCAGCCTCAAAATAGTATAAAATACTCTCTATATAATGACGTGACGTGGAAAGGGATATCGCTTTAGAAAAATTCCACTAACAGTTTTAGTATAAAAGCCCCCGCTAAAGTCAGTTTAGTTGGCCAGATGACGGTCAAGCTAGCCACTGCCTGCTCCGGGCTTGGGCAACCTAGTTTGATAGCAATAGTTGCGTAGTTCTAGTTAGCCACTGGCTGCTCCGGGCTCGGTCAACCTAGCTATGTCTACGTTAACTAGTGCGATACGTGGCTCCTTTGTGTTAAGTTGTATTCATTAGTCGACACTTTTTGTGCAGACGGTGTTTCCTTAACCAAAGGGCTGGGTCTAGTTAGCCACTGCCTGCTCCGGGCTTGGGCAACCTAGCTATTACCCGGCTAGGTTAGGCAAGACTAGCCACTGCCTGCTTCGGGCTTGGGCAACCTAGTTGAACCTAACCCTCTTCTTACAACCATTGCCACAATTGTTGCAATTGTCGTCTTGGTTGAGTAGGTCGCTAGCCACTGCCTGCTTCGGGCTTGGGCAACCTAGTCCTACGGAAGTGGTGGAGTACAAGGTTTGCCCGTTTACAACTGTGTACCTCCTCGCGGTGTACTCTGGGCATTGATTTACATTTTGTAAATCAATGGCTAAGCACAGTAAAAACGGGAAAAGATGGTTGATTTAAAATTAAGCCTGTAAAATAATCCCTATATTTTTTCTTCTGATATTAATCCTTTTATGGTGAATAGTATAAATTAAGGATAGCTAACTTATAGGAGGAGATAAAAGAAAGGAAGGCTTTAAGATTAACAAGTTTTATGATTTTGTAAACAGGAGGTCGCAGAATCTACGCCCGATCGGGGCTAAGATTTTACCTCTTTCTTACTAGTTTTTAAAGATGTAAAATTGGTTATTAAAGATGAAAAATTGTAAATTGAGAAATTCACAATTTTTCAATTTCAAAAGGAATTAGGTAGGTAATTATTCACCTATCAATAACTTCCAGGTTCAATTATAATATTATTCCTATTTTTTCTGAGTGTTCTCAGTGTATCCGAAAGAGGTATGTAAAGCATACCTTTAGTAAATTTAAGAGAACACATTCAACTCTAACTTTAAGAGAAACCCTTGGACTGAAAGGTCTTATCTTTAATCAAAAATAATTTTAAAATAAGATGAGATTTCTATTTTTATTATTACTCGAAATAAAATAAATTCCAAAAAATAACTCCAATTTAATTTTAAAATCAAACATGACATAAATAATTTAAATTAAAAGGCCTTTATTTTTTAAATTATCTTTCCATTTTTAATTTCAAAATAAAGGCCTTATTTATCAGGGATTTTAATTTTGTTTAAAAATTTTAATCTATTTTTTCTTCTTTTTTAAAATAATTTCTTCAATTTTATCCTTTTCTTTTATTCCTTTTTTGTTAGCCATTACTTGTTTGGCGTAGTTTATTAAAACGTTGAATCTTTACATAATTCTAAAATTAAAATAATTTTTTTTATTTTAATTATTAAATTAAAAACACCGTTGGTGTCACAGTTGAACGATAAAAAATTCCTTTCGGCACAATAATTAAATCACCCCGCTGTAAATGAATTCGTAACCACTTTTCATCGTCAAATTCAATATCGTAGTACATTTCACCTAAATATTAGAAATTTTTAAAAATTTTTAAACACGATAACAAACACATATTTTAATCAAAAATACCTTCAAGTACAAGACAAACACAATCATCACTTTCTGTTGGTTCTGTCATTTCAGAAAGCTTTAAAAATGAGAATATATTTACATTAGAGACCTTCCGGGATCCCGAGTCGGGATTTTTTCTTAACCGATGTCGGGACGGGATCCCGAAGGATAACTCCCGAAAAATATATAAAATCCGAAAATCAAAAAAATCCGGGATTTTGGGATCCCGGAAAATCCCGTCGGGATCCTGTCTCCGCACCGGTTTCTAATTTACATATAAAAATCAGAAAATTACTTTCAATTCCAAATCAACCAAATCCTTATTTAAAGTAACCACATCTGCTCTATAAAAATTATTTTAGAATTTTTAATTAAAAATTCAAATAAATTACCCAGAAACATTCCATTGTTCACGAACACGTGTTAATCGTTTCTTCATAGCCATAGTATCATCCATATCTACCTAAAAATAATTTAAATAAAAATTTACAAAAAACACAAATTTTATTTTAATTATTTTTTTAAAAAATATTTTTATTTAATTTACTTACATTCTCATTACCTTATAAAGGTGAACGCCAGCCAATTCAGTGAGTTGTGTTTGTTGAATAAATTTTGGGGGGAATATATGATGGGGGAGGCGAAGATCCCCACAAGGAAAGGATTCCATTTCCCAGATTTGCATTTTTAAAGTTATTTAATTAATTTTTAAATATCTAAGAACAATTGTTTTAATAAACAAAAATTAAATAGGAAATGCAAAAACAAGTAAATAGTTGTGTGAATATTGACTTAAAAAATTCTAAAATTAAATACTAAGAAACTTAATTTTTAATTAAATTGGGGTTGAAAAATTTGTATTTAACTAAATCTACTGTATACTTATAATAATTGGAAGTATCACTTAAGCCCTTTACTACTCTATGGCCAACAAAATGATAAAAATGTAATTTGTGTTTGTGGGTTCGTGTCTGTATAATAATTGAGGGCCGAAATAGTAGAGGGTAGAAATAAATAATTGAGGGCCGATTATTTTAATATTTTAAAGAATTTATTAAACTTGTTTGAAATGATTTTTAAATCATTCTAAAATTACAAAAAAAATAATTTTAAAAATAGAGAAAAATGAAAAACAAAATTACCAAAAAATACTTTAAAATGAAATGAAAATTATTCAAAAAATATTTTTTGTTAATTCCTTCCTCACAGATATTAACAACCAAAAGGGCATTATTATGCAGATTATTACTGAAGCGATATATTTATAAAAAATATTTTTGTTATATACTAGCAATTATTTTTAAAAAATGAAAAGTAAATATTTTGTATTGTTTTTTTACTTTCAAAACACGAGAAAAGAATAAAAATAATTTTAAAATTTTCATAATAAATTACTAAAATATTTTAATTTATAAGGTTATTTAAATAGTTTTTTGGGAAAAGGAAAGTGAAACAACAAATAATGATGAATTACACAAACCACCTCAATAGCACTTTTGTACATTCAAAAGTATAAAAAAAAGAAAAAAACAATTTCACACTCATTGTCAGAATTTTGTTCTTTCAAATTTGTGTCGGAACCAAAAATTAATTGAACCCTAGGGCGGGGATTGCGACAATTAAATAAAAAAGGAGAATTCCATAGAAAGTGCACAAAATTGGAGAAAATAAATAAAAATATTTCACAAAAATATTGAAGAGTAATCCATTTAAAAGGTGATAAAGAAGGGAAATCAAAATTAATTTTTGTTAAAATTCTGGTTGGCTATAATTCAGATAATTGTTTGATTTTTAATCTTTGATTTACTATAATTAATAAATTATTCTTTCTTTATTATGTTAAATATTTTTATTATTACAATTTCAACTCAATGCTTTCTTCTGAGAAAATTAATAAAGAGAGAGATTAAATCAAAAAATTATTAACAAATAATTCTTATAAAATAAAAATATTTTCTCGGCTAAAAACTCTACTATTAACGATTAAAAAAGGGAAATAGCAATAATGTAAATGCTTCTTCAGATCCGGATAATTATGTGAGAATAAACGAGAAATAGTAAAAGAAATTTTTGTGGTCAATCAACCGCTAATTCCTGCACCTATAATAATAGGGGATTTGTGAATGAATAATGAATAAACTTTGTTTTCAATTTTTAATAATGTTTTTAATAGTACATAAATATATATTTAATTTTTAAATAAATAAAAATAAGGACTGTTAATTAAATAATGTTAGTGAATGAGCAAGTTAAGGAAAAGGCTGAAAGTCTCGATTTTGGCAAATTTGTATCCCCATTTACAAAAATAATTATTCTTTTTGAATATCTAAATAATCTACTTTAATGACTGTATTGAATTAACGAGGTATTTGTAATGGAAATTTTTCAACAAAAAAACAAGGCAGAAAACTTCCAAGAAACGCCTATAAATTAATAGAAAATTTTAGAGATATTCGATTAATAAATTTGTGAAAAGGAAGACTGTTGTAATATTATGGAATAAGGAATTAAATATTTATATAATTTATTTTTGTAATAGCTTATTATTTTACTAAGAAAGGAAATATTTAGCATTGGCGTTAAAATAAATTAAAATGTTTTGAAATTATTGTAAAATAAAAAATAAAGGAATAAACTTGAATAGATTTGCACATATTTTTTTGTTTATTTTTTCCTTAACATTTTGTACAAAATAACTTGATAATTGGTTAGTGAATTATTACACCTTGTATATAAAATACATTTGTATTTTATATATAACATCGGCTAATTCCGTGCCAAAAAATCGAGAAAAAAACAATTTCTAGTTTAATGTTTTTAATTTATAAATTGGAAAAGTAAACTTTCGAAATTTTAACAATTTTTTAAAATTAATTTAAAAATTTTTTAATAGAATAGAAAACATGAAATTTGTTGTTTTTAAACGTTTCCTAGTGTTTAAAATAATCAAATGTAAAAGATTCAACAAATGGCTGTAAAATGTGAAAATTCCTGATTTAAATTAAAAAACAAAATTAATTAATTTAAAATTCCTGTAGAGAGAATTTATCTCTTTATAAATAAAACTCCCCTTACTAAGTAAAAAAACTTAAAAATTGCCTTTTCAGTTTGCAAAATATATGTATAAATTACATTTTATTGCCTTAAAAAATTAAAAATTTAAAATAAAGGCAACAAAAAATATATTTATTTATTTGTTTTCCAAAAAAATATTTATTTTTAATTATAAAATAAAGTACAATTTAAAATAAATTTGGAATCTGTCAGCTGAACTTCCTTGCGCCCTTGCCCTCCATTGCCACTGATCCGTAACGGCGATAAAATGAGTATTCAACGATTGTTTTTATAAGTTTTTTGAAATTAAAGATTAAAAAATTTAATTAAAAATAAAAATATTTTTTAAAAACAAATTAAATATTTAATTAAAGTTTCATTAATATTTTGTTTCATTACCCCCTCAATTAGCAAGGTACCAGGCAAAAGGGATGAAATATGGGAAGACAATTTTTTGATTTGACAAATTTTAACATTTTGGATTATTTACGTAATCCCTTAGATCTAATTCCTTAGATTTTTATCTCATCCCTTAAATAAAATAATAAACAAAAGAAATATGCGAAGATGAATTTAAGAAAAAACGAAAAAAAATTAATTCTATAAATAAAAGGCCTAATTGCTAAATATTTGTATACAAACTACAGACTATAATGCTAGAAAAAATACATATTTTGATGTCTTGAGTACAAAGAAATTTCTATTTAAATAATACTAAATTTTGTTAAACTCGATGAAAAAAATAAAAATAATGTTGGACCAAAAATAGATTATCTTTGAAAAAAATATTTATTTTAATTGAAGCCAATTTTATTGTTTAAAGAAATTTGAAAGAAAATAAATAGAGAATTTTAATAAAAATTAATTTTAATTTTCAATTTTAACAACAAAACAATTTATTTCTTTGGATTCTAAACAAGTTTAAATAATGAAAAGTTCCACTCCCAATACTTTCATTTTTTCAATTTAAATCCAAGTAAGTATAACAATAAAAACATTTTTTAAATCATTCATACAAAATTTTTAATTCCCCTTCCGAACACATAAAGTGCAAACAAATTATTTTTTATATTTGCAATTTTAGAAATGAGGGCAGAGAACTTTTGGAATAAAAATGTAAAAAATTTTGGAATGAATGAGAAGCTTTTTTCTTTTTCCATTTTTCAATGTTTTTTTCAAAAATAAAAGTAGTTAGGATAAATAGGGCTGGTTATCTGCTAATTACTATAAAATCAAATGGGGCCTATAATCCTGAAATGTTTCTGGTTTATAATATCTATTATTTAAATAATAAAAATATTTATTCTTTTTAATTCAAATAAACTAAAATACAAAAATGTATTTTCATAATTTTTTTAAATTTTATCCAAATAAAAATAAAAGATTTATAAAGTGATTTATTGTTGATTAATAGAAGTGCTACTTGAACCATCAAAAATAAACGGATTTATATCAAAGTTATTTTTGTTTAAATAATTTTCATTTTGAAAAGAATTATTAAATAATTGTTGTTTTTGTGTTTCATCTAAAAATAAATTTATTATTACTAGAATTAATAAAAGGAAATAACCATAAAAATAATTTTGAGTTTCTTGTTGGTGTGGGACAGCAATAGAAGAGGACCACGTTAATTGAGAGGAAGAGGAGCATTCGGCATTAGAAGAAAAAGAGCAATCTGGTGGTCGCCAATCATCATCCTCAACTTCTAAAAAAATTTTTTAGAAAATTACTTAAACAAATTAGATTTACCGCAAGTTGTATATAAAAAATTAACTGGATGGCTTTGTTTAGACCCACAAACAACAGTCAAAGAAACAGTAGCCCCTCGACAATTACTTCGATAAGGGGGAATTGTGCACACAATATAACACTAAAGGAAATTATTAAAATATTTTTTAAAGAAATTAAAAACTTGATGTAAAAATCTTTTATCAATTAAAGCTTTAGCTGTCCAGCCAAGTGAACCATCTTTAAAAAAATTTTTTTAAATAAAAAATATTTAATTTTTAAATACCATTTTTATATTCTCTAAATAAAACATTTGTATCCTTTGGATCAAAATTTCTTCCAATAATGAAAAGTTCTTGACCTCCATTGGAAGGGCATGATTCTAGTGATATTTTTAAAATATCCGGGTTGCCAACTTGATGAACTAAAAATATATTTTTTAATTAATTTTTAGTGGAAAATAATTGTTAGATTAATAAATGATATTTAATTTTTTAGCACACAGGCATTTTTTATTTGGTAAAGTTTTCAGGAAAAATTGAAAAAAATTTTTTTACCACATTTAATTGGTTCAGTAACTGCCTCAATAATTTCATAATTTTCAACTTTTCCAAAATTTTGTTTATCTTCTTTATTACCTTCTTCTAAAGGTAAAAATGCCTTAGCAACAATATAAAGAATATTATTATTTTGATATTCCTTTTCAAAATATTTTTCTTTTTGTTGATATTCCTCATTATCTTCATTATTATTTAATTGCCGTGACCTTTTTCTATTTTTTGAATGTCTTTTACGTTCATAATTATTATTAACTGTTTTATTATTATTGTAAGCACATATCTTCATTATTCCAATACAATCCAAACTAAATTAATTTAAAGTTTTTTATGAAATTATTGCTTTTTATTATTATTCTTGGACAGTGAATATTCAAATTATGAGGGGTTTTTAATTCGTTACTCGCCGTTCATACGAACAGAATGCTTGGCACACATGTTCGTTACATAGACATCCGTGCCAAGCATTCTGTCAAATGTTTTATCGATAGACTTAAAATTAGGGAGTTGCTAATAGACATCGTTAAATTTTTGTCGTTAAATCGAAAATCTATTTAATCAGTCCCGTCTCTTGTTAATGTTTTTTCTTAGAAATTTTTAAATATCTGTTTAATTAAATGTAAGAACCTACATTCCAATCATCCGATTTTCAGGCCTGAGAATAATTTCCTAAATTTTATATTTAAAAATTCAATTCAAATTAAGAATTAATAATATAGTACCAGACATTCTGACCCGTTATTTTTAATTATTTTCCTGCATGGTGTCATCTAAATAAATTATTATATAAAAATGTCTTTTTAAAATTTTTATAAAAAACCGTTGCTGACTTCCCCAATACGGGAACTAATTTGTATTGTGAATGTGGTACAAAAGTAGAAACATTTGACGAATATTCTCTTTCCGCAGCGAATATTTCAACGCGAGTAGGGCGATAATATCCATTTAACTAAAAATATTTTTTGAAAAATAATTTTAAAGATTATTTATTTTATAGACAGAACGTCTTTACTTGGGGGTTTTCTCCGTCCTTCTCAATTACGGGGAACACTACGGCTAACCGAGAGATATGTATATTCCACTAATTCTAAATTATTTTATTTAATATTTAAATTACCTGAATAGAACAATAAGAAGTTCCAGAACGGTCTTTAACTGCTCCTCGACTTCCTTCAGATGCATAACGTGCTCGATGTTGTTCTTCTGGTTGTCTAATAACAACCAATTCACGAGAGGGATTATTCTTATTAAATAGAAAAATAAATGAAAATAATTAGTAAATATTTACTTGTATTTGTGATGATATTCCTGTATTACTGTTATATAAATTTAAATTATCATTTTTTGTTATTTTAAGTTGTGATGAATTTTGTTGTTGCCAAAATTCGTAATTTAACTTAAAAAATTAAAATTTAATTTTAATTAATAATTTAAAAGAGACTTGTTGATTATTAATTATTTTTTGTTGTTTATTAAATAAATTATTGGTTTGTTGAATAGATTGGTCCCAAATCCAGTTTTGTTCTGAGTTTATATGTTCGTTATGCATTGATTTTCTCCATAAATCAAAAAATATTTTTTGTAGTCTAGCGATTGTTTAATTAATTTTAATCTAAAAAATATTCTAAAATACTAAATTAAAATAATTTATATTATATGATTTTTTAATAAAAAAACAGGACAGAAATAGGTAATTTAATTAATAAGGGAGAGACAATTTAGATTTAGAAAAAATAATTAAAATTAATTAATTAATGCCTACTTATTTTATTATTTTAATTATTTTAACCTGTAAATCAAACAAATTTTATTCTTTTAATTAAGAATCTATTTAGAGGTATGTATACGAATGAATAATAAAATTAATTTGTAAATAAATATATTTTTAATATTTATTTTTTGTAGTCTAGCGATTAATTAATTGATTATATTAATTTTGTAGTTAATGACCCCGTTATTAATTTATTAAAATAAATATATTTAATTTCTTTATCATTTTTAAATTTTTGATAAAATATTTAGACATACATAATTGTTAATATATTTTTTAAATCAATTTTTGGTTAAAGAAATGAAAGAATAATATTTAATTTTTTGAAAACTGTTTAGTTATTTGTCAAATTAAATATAAATAAATATTTATTTGTTTAAATTAACACTTGAATTTTTGAGTTAATTATATAAAAATTAAAAATTGGTATAAAATTTTTAAAAAGAAAATTAATTGAATTAAATAAAAAATATATTATAGATATTTTAAATTATTTATAGTTTTTAACAAAATATATACACATATTTATTACAATAACTTTTATTAAACAAATAAAATAATCACAATAATAGAGGATTAACATATTTTATAATTAAAATAAAAATAATTGATTGCAAAAATATTCTAAAATTTTTTAATAAATTATTTTTGAAAATTTTGGAAAATTTTTGTTATATTTAATAGAAATTTGTAATATCCGGTATGATGTTTTGTTGGTATAGTTATTCAATACGTTTACAAAGTTTATCAGAATTTTGAATTTTTTGTTCTAATAAATTTATATATTGATCATTATCCTTATAATTTTTTAAATTAAAATATTGTAGTAATTTAATAATTGTGAATTATTTTATTTTTTAAAATTAAAATATTTTTATTTTAAGTTTTGCATTTCTCAGCAAACAATTCCAAAAGACGGCAGAATAAAATAAAACGTGTTTTTATATTTACAAATTTGTATGTGAATAAAAAAATTAATTTTTGTAATTTTATTTCAAAATCTTGAATATTCTTATTTAAATCTTCATTACAATAATTTAAAGATATTTTAATAATTGAATTAATTATTACAAACTTTGAACGTTATAGACTGGGTAAACTCTAAAATCTTAGTTTAAAAATTCCGATTAACTTTATGTAATTGTTTAATTCAAAAATATATTACTAATTTAATAATTTTAAATTCTTTAAAATAAAAAAAAATAATTTATTTTTCATTTAAAATCACTTTTAAAAAATTGACCACTTGAATGGACGTCAACGGTCAATGAAGCATTTAGATAGCTTAAATCATCAAAATAAATAAATAAATTGTTTGTGCACGTCCAAAATCCTCTCACTTTTAGTTTTCATTCTTCGTTGAACATTCATCGGCTAAATAATAAATAAATTCTTAAATATATCTTAAAAAGGTAGTATGTTGCCCTTTCACCTAATAATATATTTTTATTTTTAAAAATTTATTATTGTTTAGAAACTTATTTAAGAATATTTGAGAATTCAATCGTTTCATTCTAGATTTAAGCTGGCACAAACCAAAACAAAAATAAAACACATCCGGCTTTGACATATCCACATAGTAGATATTTAAATTTATCGAGAAATTATTTTTAATATTAAAAATATCTAAAAATGGATTAAAATAAACAAAATATTTATTTGGATCCACTTAAAAATTCATTGTTGCCACTTTTAGCAAAATTTCTTTTAAACATTTTCTCGCGTAATTTTCTTTACAAAAAGAAGCAAATATAATTATTTTGTAACAACTTCCTTCGCCTTCATTCTTTAACAAAACTTGGCCATAGTTGAAGGAGTCCAGTCAGTCACTAGTCAGTCACTAGTTAGTTAATAATTCGAGGGATTTGTCCATCAATCAATAATTGGCTAGTTTTTCTTCGGAGGTTAGCCACAATATATCTAGCAGCTTTTACAAAAATGTTTTGATGGACGCGCAAACAATGCATTGCGAGATTTTGTGGCCGAAGGTGTGTGTTTGTTTGAAAAAAGACTTTCTCCTAAATATTCTCCCTGTTCACTCTCTCATTCCTCCGATTTACCTATACTTTCCGTTGGAAAATAATAAAAAAATTCTTTGAATTCTCTATTCCAAATATATTAAATATTAATTTACAACTTTCTGATCTTTTTTTTATTTTTAGAATTTTATTTTTTTTAATTTTATTGATGACCTGTCTAATTTAAAATTAAATAATTAAAATAATAAAAACAAATTTTATTTACAATTTTTAAATATTTTTAGATTAATTAAATGTCAATCCAAAATATTCTTAATTTTATTTTTCAAAATCCATTAAATATTTATTTTTTATTAAATTATTATGAACAAATACAAATACTTAATTAATAATAAAATAACTTCATTAAAGGCAAATGCCTCAAAATTTAAATAAAAAATGCAATCAAATTCAAAATATTTTTTACCAAAAATACTTATTTTTATTTTTTATTTCTTGCCTTTTTTCACTTATTTAATTGCCTCACAATGGGCGGCAACATCTCAATTTACTCCCCAACATTCTTCACAATTTTCACCTCAACAACAATTATTGCTTCAACAACAACAACAATCTTTGCTAAATAATAGACCCTTTCAATATCAGCGTCATCAAATACGCCCATCATTTTACGATCCGGTACTTAAGGTAATTAATTGGATAATCTTTAATAATCTCATTTTAATAATCTCATATAATTACTATAATAATCTCATTTATTGTTTTAAAATTTCTTTATTATTTTTCAATACGTTGATTTGAATTTAATAAATTTGAAATAAAGTTTAAACAAAATCTAAGCAAAATTATCACTTAAAAGACTAGGATATTAATTATTTTTATGTTAAATAATTCCCATTATTTCAACCAATTAAATTTTTAAATTTTTAACAAAACAAAAAATAATTTAAAAGGTTAAATCACATGTTGGTTATTTACCTTCATCTGCTAGTACAGGAACATTTGTTAGAATTGGCACATCAGACCAATCACTTCCTCTACAGATTTTAGTTGAAGACAAAGATTTGGTTAGCTTCAATTCTTAAAAAAATTATATATTATCTTTGTAGCAACCAGGTACTCCCTCTGCTGTATATCAATATGTTTTAAGTGGATATGGAGCTGAACGTTTTGCTGTAGATCATCAAGGAAATCTTTATTTAGCTGATGCTACAAATCTTGGAATTTTAGAAACTCCAGAATCAGATAAGACAGAGAATACTCCTTTTGTATTGCATGTTATTGCTGTAAGCATTAATCATTTTGGATAGAGGTTGGGTAATTGGGGGAATCAAGAGATGGGGTAATTATTTGAGGCAAGGCAATTATTAGAGTAATTATTAGAGCTTTTGTATTATAGATTATTATTTTTTTAATTTTCAGAAGGAAATGGATACAGAACCTAAACGGAATAGCCTTCCAATTAGCATAATTATTCAATTAATTGATAATAATAATAATAAAGAACAAATGAAACAAAGAAATTATTATTCAGAAGAAACACATCCTTTAGAAGAAGAAATTAAACAGTCAATTTATATTGCTAATGTTTCTGCTTTAGCAATTGGTGAAAGGGCAATTGCACAAATAAAAGCAAGGGAAGAAGGGGATGGAAATGTTATGTTAGTTGGGGGGTTTTTGAAAAAATATAGTTTAATTTTTTTTTAAGTTATCGAATAATAGACGTAAGTGATGGGGCATTCTCTTCATTTAGATATGATGAGATTAGCAATGAATTACGTGCTGTTGGACCTTTATTGCCTGGACACAAATATAAAGTTTTGATTAAAACTTTCTGAAAAATCTTTATCTTTAGGTTGTAATTGAAGCTAGGGATTCTGATGGATTAGTTGGGCATGCTGTTGTTTTAGTCCAAGCACTCCCATCTTTCCCAACTAATTCTCAATTAGTTAATAATCAGTTGGTCTCTTCCCAACAACAACAAAATTTAAATAAAATACCCACTTCAGAGGAATTACTTGCTTCTCTCAATTCTTTGTCTCAAGGAAGACAAATTCCTGTTGAAGGACAACAACCGTCCTTGCCATCACAAAAACATTCTAATTTGGTTGGAAATTTGTGTTAGACAAGCAATTTAAAATTAATTTTTAGGAGCAATTTATTTCTGTTGATTTATCAGAATTAACACCAATTGGAACATTTGTAACAGCTTTAGGAGGAGGAATTACTTCTAATAATCAATTCGAGCAGCCAGAAAGACAATCTTCAAAATATTTTCGTTTAATTGGAGATGGGGATGAAGGAAAATTTATTTTAGAACCAGAAAATGGAATTTTATTTACTGGGGCTAATTTGGATAGAGAAAAGGATAAAATACATAGATTAAGAATTGAGGTAGAAAATTTAGAAAAAAATTTCTAAAAAATAATTTTTAAAAATTAAAAGACGAGGTCACGCATTCCAGTAGATCATTTACTTTATTTAACAAATGTAAAAGTTAATGTACTTGATGCGAATGATAATGCTCCACATTTTGTAGATCCCCAACCTTTAATTGTCCGTACACGTTTAGATGAGGTATTTTAATAATTAATAAATTTTTTAAATTAGCCGAGTCTCAATTATAAGATACCTCCCTAGAGGCTGAAAAAATGTGTCTTACATAGATTTATAGATAGACCGCCCTCTCTTATACTCAAATTTAAAAGCCAATCTTATTAAAACATTCTTAATCTGAACAGTATGTATATAGTTTTGGAGATATCTTATAGTGATATCCGACTATATTAGTGCATATTAAATATCTAATAAATTAATAGTTATCTCCATTTTCCTTTCCACAAACAACAAATTTACTTCTTGGCCGAATAAATGTTGCAGATGCAGATGAGGGAGAGAATGCTCATATAAGCCTTAAAGTACTTCCCCCACTTGATCGGTACTTAAATTATTTAGAAAATAAAATTATTTTTTAAAGTTTATTTATTGTTAATGATGAAGGTGAAATTCGAATAAATGGGCCTCTTACTGCTGCACATTTGGGAGAACATCATTTGTAATTTTAAAAAAATACTTTTAGAAAATATTTTTTAAAATCCCATTCAGAACATTAATGGCAATAGATCACGGCCAACAACCCTTAGAGGCACGTGCTGTAGTAAGTGTACGTATTGATGGACGTGTTGGATCTAATGTGCATGAAACATTAATTACTGGAGGTGAAATTACATCAAAATCTTTAAATTTACTTTTACCTTTTACAACTTCTGAGTCTCCAAAAATTTTTAGTAAGAGAAAAGAAATTTATAGAAAAATTTATTTTATTTTAGGCCAAACAAATAATAATAACAAACATTTACCTCCCCCACAAATTTCTTCTTCTTCAATTTCTTCCCAATCTTCTTCTGCAACAGACAATGAAAATATTAATTCTCGTCATTTATCCAATTCTAAACAAATTTCTGACGAATCTGCAGCTTTGGAAAGAAATTATGAAAGACAACTTTTTGGTGTACTTTCACGTGTTGGAATGGCAAAAGAAAAGAAAATTGAAGGTAAAAAAATTAAAATTAAAATTTTATTTAAAAATAAAAATATATCAAAAATAAAATTTCAAAAAATATAAAAATTAAATAAAAATTAATTTCTTTATTTATCCTTTTCCCTCCATTTTTTATCCTTTTCCTTCCACTTTTTATTGTTATTCTATTACAATCATCCCCTTTACATGAACGACATTTTGGGGGTAATTTAGCTTCTGGGTGAAACATTTTACAAATATTTTCTTTACTTTCACAATCAAAAGGAAAATTAGCCCCAGTACATCCACGTTCAGCTAAAAAAATAATTTTAAAAATAATTTAATATTCAAAAAATATCCAACTTTTTCCATCACATTTTAAAGTATAACAATAATCTAAATGACATTCTTCACGATTAAGTTTTCCATCAGGATGATCCACAAAACAATAAAATCCTTTAAAAACAAAATAAAATATTATTTTAAATTAATTATTCTGGGGTAATTAATTTATTCAAAATAAAGAAAATAATTACACTAAAAGGGGGTCTTGGCAAGGGTACACCTCAAACTACCGCGAGCCCACCTACCGCCGATGCTATAACTTTGTCAAAATTGACTAAGTTGTGCTTCCCTGGTATGGTTCGGATCAGCTCGTTAGGTTGCATCGAACCATTCCAGGTTGGCACTGATTCGACAAGTTTAAACAAAGTTATAGCCTCGGCGGTAGGTTGAGTTGCGGTAGGTTTGCCTGCCCCCACTTGGCAGTTAATTGAGTATTTACCTGAACACTTTTGAATAAAAAATAAACAAAAATACAAAATTAAATATATAATCATTTTTACCAATAAAAATATTTTTAATAAAGAAACTTTGAAATCTTGAGACTTTTAAAAATAAAAGAAATTGATTTAAACTTCTTTTAAAATAAATCCTTTTCTTTTCTTTTAATTTATTTTTAGTTTTTTAATGTTCAACAGATTTTTCTTTTTTATTTTATTTTATTTTAAGGCGAATCTCAACTCTTAAATCCTTTCCCAACAAGAAATCCCCCACCTTTTACACGTGTGGATATACCTCTTCCACCACCACTACCACAAGCAGCAATTGGCAAAGTTTCTTTAGTTACACCAAATAAACAAAAAACAAAAGAAAAAAATTTAGGGGAAAATATTGAAATTGATAAAGGTTAATTTTGGAATTTTAAAATAAATTAATTTTTAAAATTTAAATAGAAACAACAACAAAACCCTTTCAATATACTAATAATGTCCCCTTATCTTCTTATTCTATTCCTCCCCAATTATCTTCCTCCAACCAAACAATTTCGAAATATCCTTTAACAACGACAACTAATTCTATTATAAACTTAAATTATTTAAATTCAACCACTACTTTATCTTCAATTGTTTTACCAGTTTCTTCTTCTTCTCAATTAATTTACACATCTACTGGTTAATTTCTAAATATACAAATATATTTTAAATAAATTTCCAATAATGCTCTAATTTATAAAGAAAATTAATTTTTTTTAAATATTTTCCTCTAGATTCTCCCCAACTCCAAATTGAAGACAAAAAAGAGGAAAGTACTCGACTTGCTCCCATTTTTTCCTCAGCAGCTTTAAAAATATTTGTTGAAGAAAATGAAGAACAATTGGAGTTAGCTACACTTTCTGCTAATTACCCTGATGAAGGACCGGGTCCAATTAATTATGTTCTTTTGGCTGGGGATCAAAGTCTTTTTAGGTAAATTAATTTTTAATTTTTAAAAAGGTAATATTCAATTTCGTTCCCCCCCTTTTTTTTCCTTCCTCAAAGTATTACAAAATGGTCAGTCAATCTTAAGTTATAGAGCTCGTCGAGCTGTGTCGAATGACACCAAAATCGAAAAAATCGGACCTGATTTGACCGAAATACAGACCCCTGAAAATTGAACAACCATAGGGGCGAAAAGCCATAAGGACGTAAATTTTTACAAATAATAGCTCATTCGAAAGAGCTCGTCGAGTTGAGTCGAATGACACCGAAATCAACGTGATTGGACAAGATTTTACAAAATTATGACATAAGTCACCGACTCCGTTAGGTCTAATTCAGGTCATAACTTTGTCAAACCATGTCTAACCGCGTTGATTTATATGTTCTTCGACTCAACTCGAAGAGCTCTTTCGAATGTGCTGTCATTTGGATAAAATTTTTTTAGTCCAAAAAATTGCCCCTATGGTTGTTCAATTTTCAGGGGTCTGTATCTCGGTCAAATCAGGTCCGATTTTTTCGATTTTGGTGTCATTCGACACAGCTCGACGAGTTCTATAACTTAAGATTGACTGACCATTTTGTAATACTTTGAGGAAGGAAAAAAGGAGGGGGGAACGAAATTGAATATTACCTTTAAAAATACCGAAAATTTATTTTTATTTTTAAAATAATCCCAAATTTAATAAAAATTTAATTAAATCCCAAATTTAAATAATTCTTTCTCCCAAAATATTTTCCTTTCAATTTAATTTTCTTTTTATTAAATTCCCATTTATCTTCTTATTTGCTTCTTCATTATTTTACTTTCCATCATTTATTGGCCATCCATTATTTTTTTGTTGATTCAACATTTCATCAACTTTTGAAAATTGGCGTTTTTGTCTAGTTTTTTCAAATAATAAAACTTCATTCTTTTTTCCTCTTTCCTTATTTGCCAAAACAATTAACGAAGGATTTCCAATATTAATTATTACAATTATTAAAATAAAAATATTAAAAAATAAAAATTTCATTTTCTATTTAATTTATCTAAAAATTATTAAAATATTTTTAAATAATTTAAAAATTTATTTTTAAAAAGAAAAAATGTTTTAATGAGAATATTTTTTTATAAATATTAAACGGATAAATAATATTTTTAATTTATTTATTACTAATAATATTTCTAATAATAATATTTTTATTTAAATATACAAATATACTAACTACTATTTTTTAAATTTATTTTTTTATTTTTCATGTGATTTTTTTTAAATTTTATTTTGCATGTACATATATAATATTTTGGTATATTTCTGAAAATATTTTTATAGTTTGGATATTTTTGAGTAATTTATTTTTGATTTATTAAAAGCATCTCTTTTTATTAAATTCTATTTTTATTCTTTCAAAAAAGGCAAAATTAGCAAAAATATTTTGCTTCATGTGTATTTTATATTTGCATAAAGAAAAGATTTAATTTAATTATAAAAATAATAAAAAAAACTCCCCAAATATAGAAACAACTCTGCTTTTTAAATTAAAAATCGTTTATTGGCAACACGTGAATATATTCTTGCTAATTTTACTTTTTTTTAAAATTTTATTCTAAAAATAAATACATTCCAAAAATCCCAATTTATTTTTTTTTTGTTGATGTTTAAACTCCATTCTTCTTTTTTTTAATTTTTTTTATTTTCAGTATCAATGCCAGTAACGGAGTAATAACACTACTAAAAGCATTAGATGCCGAATCAACAAATATTCCTTCTCAGCCCCCAATTTATCATTTAAAAGTTGGCACAATCGAAGCTGTAGAGCTACAATATTTAGAAAATGGACAAAAAATAAATTTAGTAACAGATACTGGATTGGCACATTTTTGTGATATTCAAATAAATGTTGTTGATATTAATGATTGGATACCTAATTTTGAACAGGTAATGAACGAGAATTAATTTAGTTAAATATTCTACAAAAATTTCTTTGATTGAACGTTGGGGGTAGTACAGGTTTATCCATTCATTTCGGGGCGGTCCTCAAACAAGTTCGTGAAGGATGCACATAGTCGCGATGCAAATTTACTTTAAAGACTTTAAAGCTTTTTAAAAGGCTATAATGGAATAATTTATTTTATTTTAGAATTTATATGAATTCACTATACCAGCAACTGCAGAGCCCGGCACAATTATTGGCCAGGTACTAAGAATAAAATATAAATTATTAAATAAACATTATTTCAAGGTTCATGCTTTTGATCAAGACATTACTTCTCCAAATAATAAATTATTTTATTACATTATTCCAAAAAAGAATAATTCCTCAATTAACTCCATCAATGCGGAACAATTTTTTTCTTTAAATTCCCAAACTGGACAATTAAAAACAATTTCAAATTTAAAAAATTTTGCTGGAAGAATTTTAAGATTTAGAATTCAAGTTGTGGATGGAGGTGTTGATGGAAATAAATTAAATAGTACAGCTGAAATAGCTGTACACTTGGAGGGAATTAGAAGGTATTTTTTAATAAATTAATTATCCCTCATTATTTTGTTTAGAGGATTTAGGGGGGGAGGCTATAATTAAAACAAAATTTTTTCAAATTTTTAATTTAATTTTTAGGCATGAAGAAAAGAAAGTGTTACCAACAACAACAACAATATCTTGGCAAGGAGTTGAAGAGGTAGATGAGGAAGAAGAAGATGAGGAAAATGAAGAAGAGAAGGAAAAACAACAAGAAGAACAATTAAAAGAAAACCAACAAAATAATAATAAATTATTTTCTTCTACAGAAAAAACAACAAAAAAATATTTAAAAACAACAATAGAAGAATCAAATATTGAAAGTAAATAAATAAAATTAATTTTAATAAAAAATAATTATATTTCTTTTAAGATAAAAATACTTCTATTTCTTCTTCAACTTCTCCAAATCATCAAAACAAAATTAAATTTTCGAGTCATTATTTTAATTCTTCAATAATGGAAGGAACTCGCCCGCCTGTTTTTCTTACAATTTTACCTGTTATTAATAAACCGAGTGATACTCGTTTTACAATTTGTGCAATTAGAACAGGAAATTTAAGAGGGGCATTTAGGTTTGGAAAAGAGAGATATTTTGTTTTTAATTGAGATTCTTTTAAAGTGTTGCTCAAAATGGTGAAGGAAATTGTGAATTAAGAACACAAATGCAACTTGACCGTGAAGCTATTCCAAATTATTTATTAAATATTACTGTCGAAAATGGAGGTCAACAAGATTGGACATTGGCTAATATTTCTGTTTTGGATGTTAATGACAATAAACCAAAATTTGTTTTTAATAAAATTGGAGGAGAAAGAAAAAATGAAAAGTTGGGGACTGAAGAAAGCTTTTTTGCTGTTTTGCCTATTGAAACAATGGCTAATCAACGATTTTATAAAATAACTGTAAATATGTTTAATTTAAACAAAAATGATTATATTTTTAATTTCTTTTATTAAAAATTTAAAATCAAAAAAAATTATTTTTAACTCAGGCAGAGGACGGAGATGAACCTGGAAATGGAAATAGTTTAATTAATTATTCAATTGATACTGAAGAGGCAACACAAGGTGAAGCAGGGAATTTATTTGGTATTGATCCACAAAGTGGAGAGTTATGGCCAAAGAAGGGGGCTGACGAATTGGCACAAATTTCGAAGAAAAACTTTTTTAGGATTACGGTAATTTTTGAAAATTTAAGAATAAAATAATTAATTAGGTAATTGCTTGTGACAACCCTGGAGAACAAAAAAGACGTCTTTGTTCACGTGCCACTGTCTCAATTTCCATATTAGATGATCGGCATAGATTTGTCTTAATTTTTTCAGGAGAAAGTGCAGAACAGATTAAACATCAAGAAAAAGTAGAGAAAAGAAGAATATTTTTTAAACAAATTAATTTTTAAGGAAATTTTAAATTCTCTTCGGCCATTTACCTTTCCCTGTTCAAATCCAATAATTGAACGAATTGAAGTTGAAGAAGGGGAAGATGTTAAAAAATATTTAAAAAGATCAAAAGAAGGAAATGAATATTTGGTTAATGTTATTTTATATACAGCCAATTTAAAAGAGAAAAAGCTTTGTTTGAAACAAGAAATGAAGTAAGAAATAAATAATTTAAACACTTAAGGAACTGAAAGTTTAGTTGGCTAGTAAAATGATTAGGTCGGGATCTAAGAAAACAAAGGGGTCGAATTTTCGAATGAAGTATAAAGTATATAGCCATTTATTTCCTAAAGCTGTGCAGTAGGCGGCGTGATGTAATCCGGTCTATTGAAGATTCTGTTTCACTCCCAGCCACCGAATAACCTTTTGCACTAGCTGAAGGAGAGAAATAGCTATAATATATTCTTGCTAATTTTACTTTTTTTTAAAATTTTATTCTAAAAATAAATACATTCCAAAAATCCCAATTTATTTTTTTTTTGTTGATGTTTAAACTCCATTCTTCTTTTTTTTAATTTTTTTTATTTTCAGTATCAATGCCAGTAACGGAGTAATAACACTACTAAAAGCATTAGATGCCGAATCAACAAATATTCCTTCTCAGCCCCCAATTTATCATTTAAAAGTTGGCACAATCGAAGCTGTAGAGCTACAATATTTAGAAAATGGACAAAAAATAAATTTAGTAACAGATACTGGATTGGCACATTTTTGTGATATTCAAATAAATGTTGTTGATATTAATGATTGGATACCTAATTTTGAACAGGTAATGAACGAGAATTAATTTAGTTAAATATTCTACAAAAATTTCTTTGATTGAACGTTGGGGGTAGTACAGGTTTATCCATTCATTTCGGGGCGGTCCTCAAACAAGTTCGTGAAGGATGCACATAGTCGCGATGCAAATTTACTTTAAAGACTTTAAAGCTTTTTAAAAGGCTATAATGGAATAATTTATTTTATTTTAGAATTTATATGAATTCACTATACCAGCAACTGCAGAGCCCGGCACAATTATTGGCCAGGTACTAAGAATAAAATATAAATTATTAAATAAACATTATTTCAAGGTTCATGCTTTTGATCAAGACATTACTTCTCCAAATAATAAATTATTTTATTACATTATTCCAAAAAAGAATAATTCCTCAATTAACTCCATCAATGCGGAACAATTTTTTTCTTTAAATTCCCAAACTGGACAATTAAAAACAATTTCAAATTTAAAAAATTTTGCTGGAAGAATTTTAAGATTTAGAATTCAAGTTGTGGATGGAGGTGTTGATGGAAATAAATTAAATAGTACAGCTGAAATAGCTGTACACTTGGAGGGAATTAGAAGGTATTTTTTAATAAATTAATTATCCCTCATTATTTTGTTTAGAGGATTTAGGGGGGGAGGCTATAATTAAAACAAAATTTTTTCAAATTTTTAATTTAATTTTTAGGCATGAAGAAAAGAAAGTGTTACCAACAACAACAACAATATCTTGGCAAGGAGTTGAAGAGGTAGATGAGGAAGAAGAAGATGAGGAAAATGAAGAAGAGAAGGAAAAACAACAAGAAGAACAATTAAAAGAAAACCAACAAAATAATAATAAATTATTTTCTTCTACAGAAAAAACAACAAAAAAATATTTAAAAACAACAATAGAAGAATCAAATATTGAAAGTAAATAAATAAAATTAATTTTAATAAAAAATAATTATATTTCTTTTAAGATAAAAATACTTCTATTTCTTCTTCAACTTCTCCAAATCATCAAAACAAAATTAAATTTTCGAGTCATTATTTTAATTCTTCAATAATGGAAGGAACTCGCCCGCCTGTTTTTCTTACAATTTTACCTGTTATTAATAAACCGAGTGATACTCGTTTTACAATTTGTGCAATTAGAACAGGAAATTTAAGAGGGGCATTTAGGTTTGGAAAAGAGAGATATTTTGTTTTTAATTGAGATTCTTTTAAAGTGTTGCTCAAAATGGTGAAGGAAATTGTGAATTAAGAACACAAATGCAACTTGACCGTGAAGCTATTCCAAATTATTTATTAAATATTACTGTCGAAAATGGAGGTCAACAAGATTGGACATTGGCTAATATTTCTGTTTTGGATGTTAATGACAATAAACCAAAATTTGTTTTTAATAAAATTGGAGGAGAAAGAAAAAATGAAAAGTTGGGGACTGAAGAAAGCTTTTTTGCTGTTTTGCCTATTGAAACAATGGCTAATCAACGATTTTATAAAATAACTGTAAATATGTTTAATTTAAACAAAAATGATTATATTTTTAATTTCTTTTATTAAAAATTTAAAATCAAAAAAAATTATTTTTAACTCAGGCAGAGGACGGAGATGAACCTGGAAATGGAAATAGTTTAATTAATTATTCAATTGATACTGAAGAGGCAACACAAGGTGAAGCAGGGAATTTATTTGGTATTGATCCACAAAGTGGAGAGTTATGGCCAAAGAAGGGGGCTGACGAATTGGCACAAATTTCGAAGAAAAACTTTTTTAGGATTACGGTAATTTTTGAAAATTTAAGAATAAAATAATTAATTAGGTAATTGCTTGTGACAACCCTGGAGAACAAAAAAGACGTCTTTGTTCACGTGCCACTGTCTCAATTTCCATATTAGATGATCGGCATAGATTTGTCTTAATTTTTTCAGGAGAAAGTGCAGAACAGATTAAACATCAAGAAAAAGTAGAGAAAAGAAGAATATTTTTTAAACAAATTAATTTTTAAGGAAATTTTAAATTCTCTTCGGCCATTTACCTTTCCCTGTTCAAATCCAATAATTGAACGAATTGAAGTTGAAGAAGGGGAAGATGTTAAAAAATATTTAAAAAGATCAAAAGAAGGAAATGAATATTTGGTTAATGTTATTTTATATACAGCCAATTTAAAAGAGAAAAAGCTTTGTTTGAAACAAGAAATGAAGTAAGAAATAAATAATTTAAACACTTAAGGAACTGAAAGTTTAGTTGGCTAGTAAAATGATTAGGTCGGGATCTAAGAAAACAAAGGGGTCGAATTTTCGAATGAAGTATAAAGTATATAGCCATTTATTTCCTAAAGCTGTGCAGTAGGCGGCGTGATGTAATCCGGTCTATTGAAGATTCTGTTTCACTCCCAGCCACCGAATAACCTTTTGCACTAGCTGAAGGAGAGAAATAGCTATAGTCCAGCTGCTTTACTGAAGCTTACCTATTTTATTATTTATCTAATTAAACTTTTTAAAGGAAAATTTTCTTTCCTGACACTAAAGAAGCAATTACTGCTGCAATGCATCAATTAGATATTGAATTATTAGATATTCTCGAAAATGCTGTAAATAATGGAAGAATAAATTTAAATAAAAATAAATATAAAAATAATAATTCTGCACGTTCTCGACCTATTTATTCTGCTAAAACTCATGACAAGGAAGAAATTGATGAATTTTCTTCAGGGGTAACTGGATTTGCATCTCTTCTTTTTCCTATAGACTGGAGCAATAGCAATACTATTAATGGTAGATTCTTGATATTTTAAATTTATAAAAAATTATTTTAAAAATTAATACTAATGGAAGTGGTATTCTGTATACAGTCGGACTTATCCGAAGGAGTTTAACTTTTTAAAGAGTGATCAGACCTGACCTTTTAACCTAGAAAAAGGGTATCGCTTATCAAGGGCTTTCGAATAATATAAGATTTGTTCATGTTGGATAATGACTAGAATAGATATAGTCGATTGAAATAGCTATGGCACCCTTGTGCCGATACATTAATGACCCAATTCCAAATAAACTTTAATTTTCAAACTTTAAAGTCTTAATCGGAATTGCTGTTGTTGTTACTCTTATTGCATTGGTTGGATTAATAGCTCTATGCGTATTTCGATATAAACATCGAAGAATGAGAAGGCACCGAGCAGAGCAAATACGTCGTCGTCATCAACAGCATCAACAACAAGCTTATCGTATAGGAGGTGTTGGTGGAGGTTTTCACTCAGCAGCTGGATTACTTGCTGCCGTTAATGGAGCTAAAGCATCTTCTAAGTAATTAAAGGAAAAATTATTTTAAATAAATATTCCATTTAAGTTATTCAACACATTTCGATAATGGAGGTGCTTTAAATAGCAGTGGTGGAATATTTAATACAACGGGCCATTCTTGTTTATTTGGAAGCAATAATAATTTCTATATACCCTCTAATTCATCGGGGACATTATTGCGAGCTAGTCATTTTGAACGAGGAAGCAAATTATATGAATCACAGGCAAGCTTATTAATTTTTTGGCAAAACATTACTTGAATTTATTTTATATCCTTTGGGGAAGAATGAGATATAATGAATAATCTAAAAATTAAAAACATTAAATACGCTTTAGGAAATAAACGATGGCAGTAAATATTTACAATTTTAATCCATTATTTTTTCAGATGAGGGAATTGCCTGTTTGTGACGATAATGATTTTATCTCTCGAAATTGGCAAAACAATAAAAGAAATCAACATAATTGTAATATTCATCACCACCATAATGAACAACAATTAAATATGGGTTAATAATAAAGTTCAAATATTACATATTCCCATGTTTTCAGAATTTCATCCCTCATCTCCACCTTCATCCCCTCCATCATCATCAAATCAAAGGCTGAATGGCTCTAGCCTCCTCTTGTTACCTCCACCACCTGATCCTCCTCCACAACCGCCAGCACAAAAACGCAAAATTGGAAGGTAAATTAATAATGAATTTATTACTATTTCTGGCTGTACCACCGAATGGAAACCCCGAAGTATATATCATTCAACTCCTCTCATCGAGTTGCAGCTCGGCGAGATGGATCGACTGTTTCCCACTCGGTGGTCCTACACTATAACGATTCGCCTATTTCCTGATTTTTAAGGAGATTAACAAATAGCGAAAATACACCAACATCAGCTGTTAATAATTCATGCCTCCTTCCTCGACAGAATCCAAAACACTATTCTCCTCCAGCTACAATTGGTTTACAAAGAAATCATGAGGGCGACTTTTCCATTGACGAAAGTTTTTATGCCGCTAATGGGCAAGCAAGATACATTTATTAAAATATTTGTGGACGATCTAATAATTAATTTTTGTCATAATATAAAACAGGACATAGAAATATGGGATAGAAATGATACCAGCGAACAGCATTGGGATTATTTACGAATATCTAGCGAATAAAAATGTTTAGTATTTCGGTTTTTTATTATTATATTAAATGCATATCATTCTTGTTCCGTAGATATTTGTAAATAATCCCAATGGTGTAGGGTTAATTGTATCTATCCCATATCTATCGTAAATTAATAAATGCGTAAAATTTAAGCGAAAGCTAGAATGAATATAATTTAAATTTAGTTCAAAATTGTTTATTTTGGCATATATTGAAATTCAATTACATATCAGGAAATTCTAGAGTTTATATAATTTGTTGGGTGGGAAGCAGATTTTATGACAAATATTTCAGAAACGGGGGAGGGGGACATTTTCAGTAACGATGATTCAAATATTTCTTCAATCATCTATGAGGTCCTCTTCACAAATTTTTTGAGACGGTCATCAAGTGACTGTTGTTGCTTCTTTGGTGGTGGTGGCGGAGGTGGCATATCAACTGGCAAAGGAGGATGTAACTGTGTTTCTGCTAAAAATTAAATTATATATGAAATTTTGGGACGATTATCATAATATTATTTACCTAATTCTTCTCCCATTGATGATCCGGCACTACTGGAAAAGCTTGATTCACCATGGATTCTCTTTTTCAATTCGTCAAGTGACGGTGCGCTGAAAAGTTGTTTATGACGTACTCCAATTGCTGGAGGACTTTGTGCAAAATCCTCAAGTTGTTGGGGTGGCGACGAAGGCAAACTGCTAATAGCAGGAATGAAGGATCTGCGTGGAGAATGTCTAGTGGCCATTACAGACGAAGCTGAAAACATCGTTGAAGAGGAAGGTCGCGACGTCGAAGGTTCTTGAATAGCAAGCGTCCTGAAATAGAAAGTGTTTAAAAAATAAATCTGTATCAAAGATTACTCTTTATCTGTTGCATTATCTTCAGTATTTTGTTGTTTCGCTTCCATCTCCGCCTTCTTCTTTCGCTTGTATTCTTCCAAAGTTATTTTCTTATGTGCCTTTGTATTCGGTGGACGAATCGGTACCTCCGTGTCAACTTCCATATTAGCACCTTCTTTTTCAGTCTTTTCAATATCACTTGTATTGATGATTGTTGTTGGTGGAGCACTAGCCACTTTAATAGGTTCAGAAGAACATTCACTTATTTGTTCTTTTTCCCAAACACATCCATCACTCGCCGGAGAAACCAATTTTTGATTATAAGATGTCTCTTCATCCTTTGTTTGATCTTCTCTTGTTATTGATGCTTTTGATGTTGTTGCATAACCTAATGATCCACGAAGTGATTTCGATCTTTTCTCTGTCTTCTTTGAATGAATTTCTGTTTTTGAAGGACTAATTTCTCCTTTCGCTTGATATTCTTTCATCACTTCCGAACGCAAAGCATCATAGTCAGAAGGCAATTTAAACTCTTGCAACTTTCCAAGTTTCATTTTCGTAATTTTATTTAATTCTTCAAACAACTTTTTGCAACTAATATTAGTAGATTCATTTTGAACAGATTTGACAGATGAAGCCTTGGCATTAAAAGATTTCCGTTTCAATTTAGTAACGATGGGAGGTTCGGAAGGTGGCTAAATAGAAAATAAAAAAATTAAAATATGAAATTAAATTTTACATGTATTTTTTCAATTTGTTTGCGCTTTTTCTCTTGTGAGAGGTGTTCAGCACGTTCAATAGAAGCAATTGTAGCCTGCAATTTGCGCTCCTCACGAGACTAAATTTAAAAGCTTTAGATAAGGTAAAGCAGAAATAAAGAAAACAAAATTAAAACGCTCCTATTCTAAAATTCAGTTACCTATATGTACTATATAATTAAAAAAATACCATTATATGCTTATCATCAACTAAATTCGGTTCGGCATTTTCTTCCTTTTTCGGTTTCTTGGATATTGATGCTGCCAACCGTGGAGAAGTACCTGACAATCGTGTAGTAATAGTAATCTTTTTTGAAGGTGAACGTGAAGATTCATTGAGAGATTCTTTCCGTTTATTTGGCGGTGGTTTGTCACCCCACTTAATCTTCCCTAACATTGTCGAAGTGTTTGAACGTGAGCCTCTAGTTGGTGATACTAAAGTGCGTTTGGGAGATGAGGCAGCCGGTGAAGATGAAGAGAGCAATTTACGTGGCATAACCTGAGAGAAAAAGTTAGAAAGGGATTTCTTACATAATAATAAATCTTTGAACAATAATCTTTAAGAATTTTCAACAGTTTTGAGTAATGTTTAAATATAAAAATATTTTTTGTAAAGAAAAACCTTGGATTCTAAAATTGTTGATGCAGCACTACTTATAAATTTTGGATCATTTGGTGTTGGTGATTTTGCCAATTCAAGTTTTGGGGTTGTCGCGCCAATTGAATTGCTTGTCCTGGGAGTGCGTCTCTAAAAATAAAAAGTAAAAAAGGAGAAAAAAACAGAATACCTGAGGCCGAGTTGTTGAAAGAGGATCCCCAATTGAATCAACAGAAGGACTCTTATGTTCATCAATTACATGTTCTATTTTTAATGGAGATTTTTGCTTTTCAAGGGCTGGGGTTGTATCATTTTCGAATTTCACTGTAATTGGACTATTCAATGAATTACGCGTCAGCCTTGGTGAATAAGCCTGGCGCTGAGGTGAAAATGCAGGAGACTTTTTTAAAGTTGGAGGAGCAGTAGTTGATTTACCACTAATCGTTTTATTGTTTGCATTATCTTCGAGCAATTTGTTAAACGCATAAATAGGGCAATGATCAATGAAACTCACTCCCTATAAAAAATCCAAATAAAGAAAAAAATTACGAAAATTCCTTACCAACAAAGTGTTACATGCGCATTCAACAGGTTCTTTTGATTCACGATAATCATAATCAAACGGAATTGTCACCTTTAAATTTATAAAACTAAAAACATCCTTTAACTCAAGATCAAACCTCGGATGATCGGTCAATGTTCATTGCAGCATAAAGATATATTCGTAACTGACCATTGATGACTGCGTGTTGTAGCGTCGCATTAGATCGACATGAACGTCTAACCGAACGAGCAATGGAGCCACTTTTAGTTGCATCGATCATAACTTTGTTATTGTCACCCAAACCACTAAAAATTAAAAAATGTTAGAATTAAACGCAAATAGAAAATAACCTATAAATTAAAGTAAATTTGTCTCCAATCATTTTATTCAAGTTTTTTACTTCGTTAAGAAGAGAAATTGTGCCAGTATATTCAACAATCGGCATACCCAATGGAATGTTTGAATTCTTTAATATTAAAAAATATTTACTTTATTGCAAGAAGATAAACCTTTCCAGGCGTAGCAACAAGTCCTTCAATGTTAGGTGCAACAAGCATTGGTCTTGCCAACGGATTATGATCAAGCCGGCGTAGTAAACCAATCTCACCCTAAATTTAAAATTATGGCCGTTAAAATTTCAATGTAATAAAAATACCAAAACGTAAGGTGGCAAACTAATCATCAAAGACTGAACCCCACTCGAATATTGGTTATGCAAAGAACTCGAAGATTCATTTTGAATTTGTTTCTGTCGTTTGGTGACAGACTTCTTCTCCTTTGAGTTGACATTAATGAATGACTTATACTGCGGACGCATTCCATCTTTTCTTCTTGGAAGTTCTCGTCTTTTTGAAATTACACCAGACAACATCTTTGTACGCCGTATTTTGCCGGCAAATTTAAGAGCAGCCGAAAGTGCTGGGGTTTTAGAACGATATTTAATTGAAGAAGACTTCGATTTATTCATCTTCTTTTGCTTAGGCGCTTTCGTCGCTATTAAATTGCGTACTTGAATAGATTTTGCTTGTTTTGGAGTTAATTCAAGCTCCCGTGGCTGACACTGTTCACACAAATAAGTATCAGGCACTTTATCCTCCTTTATGTTCACGCAAACACCATGCTGCCAAACGCTAAACAAATGAGTATGAAATTATAAAATGAATAAAAAACGATTCTAAAAAAAGCTCAATACTTACTCGCACTTATCACATTGGATCATGAATGGATCATTATGCTTCATCCCACAAATACAACGACTAAATAGCAAAATAAGCAACGATAAAATAACAAATTATACGTTATATAGTCCAATCCTTCCTGTTGTTGTGTCTCATCCCGCTCCACATTACTACGACGCTTGTAAGGCCCACGGACTTGTGTATTTTTCGGCTTATCCTTCAAAAGAGATTCATTTGCATTCGAAGCTCGAACGGGAACAACAGAAGTTTTCTTTGCTTTAGCTTCGTCTGATGTCTGCTTGCGAAATGATCGTTGCCATTTCATCGGTTTTGTAAAATCTCCAGCTTGTTGGAGTTCAGGCTCTTCCGCTTCTAAGCCACTTGTAGGAGCAATTGGAACGGGGGAGAATTCCATACTAAGCCGTTGTCTGCGTCCGGAACCTCCACTACTACCCAATCGGGCTTCTCTTTGCCTAACCGGTGATGCCAAAGGTGAAAATTTATGCAAAGCTTCAGACCGAGGAAAATCCTTTGGAGCAAAATCATCTAAATTTAAGTAATAAACCGAGATTTACTAAAATAATAATTAAATTCTTGTTAATAAAACTAAATAACTTAATGAATGAATAATAAATGATAAATGTAGTATTTTGAGAACCTTTCAAATCAGAAAAATCTGAAAGGACTATGGAAAGACCATTTAATTTGTCCCCCATTATGCCGATAGTTTACTTTTTTAAAACTGATCGGGTTTTTAAGGGACTGTAAGAAAAGTCAAGGAGGTAAATTGTGAAAATCATTTTTAATAAAGAAACGATTTTGAAAATGATAGTCATATGACACGAACCAGGTCTTTGTCGCTGCTGTACTGTAAACACTTGTTGCATGTAGTTCTGATGTTGGGGAAACGATGACGGTTCATCTCGATGATTGGTCTGAACAACTTTAAAATGTAAAGTCTGTTGATGCTGTCCCGATTGAGATTGTTTTTGATGTCTTGGCTGAGAAACTAATGAGGGTTCTTGCTGATAAATATCTTCAATTCCATCACTATGTGTAGACATCGACTGCTCAAGTAGATTAGAACTAGCCTGAGCTAATTCATCTAGGCCATGATTAAATGTTGTTTGTGATGAAGTTGGACGCTGCTGCTGAATCATTGATGAATTAGAGGGAAATGTTTGAACATTTTGTTGTTGAGGTTGTTTGGGCGCATAAGACATGCTCGTCGATTCAGACATTTGCAAAGGTCCTTCAAAATTTGGAACTTGCTGACGGGGTTCAAATTGATGTTGTTGAAAATTAGATTTGCGCTCTAACGTTTCACCGATTGGCGGACCGAAATGTTGTTGCATGACAGAGGCATCCCCCCTTACAACAGCATTAATTGTCCCATCAATTGAGGAAGCATCAAATCCATGAGGATAATGACGCTGGTGATGTTGAAATTGCTGTTGCAATCCCAACCCTGGATATTGTGCAACTTGTTGAGGGGGCAAATATGGATCATCAGGCGGCTTGGAAGTATCAAACAAGTTAGGTGAAGTATTAACAGGTTGAACAGGATCACTTGGAGCTATAAATTAAAACGATTGTAAATAACATCGGGGAAAGTGGAAACAAAACCACTCAAAGAGCATTTTAATTTAACAATTTTATAAGATATTTAATTTAATGATTTAATTAATACCAAGGGTGTAGCTAGGGGTCGATTTCAGGGAGACTTTAGCCCAAAAGCCCCCCTGGCTACGCCCTTGCTTAATACTAAAAAGAATATTAAACTAACTTATTGTATCGTTTCGCACACGTCTCCCATCACTTTTTTCCATATCTGAAGACTGTTGCTGTTGCGAGTATTTTTGATGTTGTTGAGCAAAAAAATCACGATTAAGCATTTCTTCCTCTTCCAGGTAAATATCATGTCGTTGTTGGTCTTCAAATTGTTGTTGCTGATCATCAAAACGTTGTGTTTGCTGTTTATCGCCACGACCGCCCATAAGAGGTGAAGAGACATTACGCTTTTGTATATGGAAACGTTGTTGCTGACGTTGTTCTGGCAATTGCTTCCCTTGTTGTTGGATCGGAAGAATGTAGCCATTTTGTGAAGAATCTATTCCCAAATTTCTGCTCTAAAATATTTTAGTGTGATAAATAGAGAGGTAAAATAATCACGCAGAATCACAAAACATGCACAGAAAACGCATAACCTGAATAGGATGTGTCATGTCCTGCACAGCACGAGCAGTTTTGTTCCTCCCACTTGGAGGTCTACCACGCGTTGCTGTCACTATTGGTGCCGGCGACCCATCAAGCATGTATGATGAATCAAGACGAATATTTCCAAAACTTCGTTGAGGGGGAACAGAGCCACGATCGGAAGACATTATAGAATGTGGACTGTCATTTGTTGGAATAGTGCGGCTAAAGCCTGATTGACGCAATGTAAGGGGGAGTCGCTCACTAAATTAGATATTAAAATGTAAGGTAACTATAAAAAACTAGCTAAACCTTTCGGTGATTTGCTGACGTCTCTGAGAATTGGGCAAACCATATTGAAGTTTCTGTTGACCAAATTGAGGCTTATGCTGAGTAGGTCGCTCAGGAACTAAAAGAAAGAAAAAAATAGTTGTAATGGAAATCCGATAAAGAACTATTAAAGAGTAACAGATTCCGAGTTTGTTGTTTCAGAGTAGCCATACATTTTTTTGTTATCTTTCATCAATAATAAGAAAATTCTTGCTAATGTTAGAACTATTCTTATCAGTCAAAAATCAAAAGTCGGTTACTCTGAAACGTACAGTTAAAAAGCACTTTCAAAACTACCTTTAATTTGATTTCCATAATAACCAGAATTCCCACTGTAAAAAGTATTTCCTCCAGCATCACATGAATATGGAGCATATCTTTTACTTGGAGAGCGAAGTGTTTGTTGAGTTCTCGGCAAAAAGGATGTAGAAGTACTGTCCTCAATGCTGTCTAAAAAATAAATAATTCAATCCTTATCAGTCCATAAGTTAAAATAACCTAGATTAAGTCCTTCGATAACGGGAAAATTTGAATTAGTAGATTTAGGCCGTTGAACACCAAGAATGTAATTATGATCCTAAAAATAGAGTTGTACCCCGACCCCGTACCCCGACCCCGTTCCCGAACGATTTTTTCACGATTCTCCCCGACCCGAACCCCGCCCCGAAACATTTCGAAAACCCCGTACCCCGACCATAAAAGTTTCGGGGTTATCGGGGTTTTATACACCCAAAAAATGCCATTTTTGTGAGAATTTTAAGAGAAAAATTTTAAAAATTTCCTCCCAATTTACTTGCTTTTATTATTTTTGAAAGAAAAATGAATGAAATATCAAAATTTTCTTTCCTTCTTAATTAAGAGACTTGTGGTTGAGTGGCTTAGTTGTTGGTTTTAGCCTATATTTCCATTAATATAGGATTGGGTTCGGATCCATATAAGGCAACTCTTTTGTTTTTATATTTCTTTACAAAAACAAATTATTAACGAGTTAAATTTTAATTTTAAAATATTAATTTTATTTTTAACTGATATCCCTTGAACGACCCTTAATCCTTCAAACCCCTTGTATCACCAGTAAGGGGTTCCCAACCATAACAGTTGGAAAACTAGCGAGGTCCTGTTAACGGGAATCAGAGATATAAAGGAATTTGTAGTATATCGAAGAATTAAGGAGTTATAAAGAGATTTAAAGGGATATAAGGTTTAGATTAAAATGGATTTGAAAGAATTACGTGAATTTAACGGAATTAACAAGGATTTCGTGGGAGATTTAAGGATTAATCCAAGATATCTCCTGATATCGCTCCAAATACCCTTATCCGCAATACTTCAATATTCTTATTAATCACTGATATCCCTTGAAACAACAAAAATTACTCCAGATCACCTTGCACCCCTAGATATACCATTTAATCCCTAAAAATCCCGCTTAATCCTTCCATATCCACTTATATCCCAAGTTATACACTTTAATCCCTTCAAATCCCCTCTAATTTCTCCAAATCCTACTTAATTTTTGAATAAATTAGCGAAAATATACCGAGATCTGATTATTTTTGAGCATTTTTTTCTCTAAAAATTTTTTCCCTAAAACCCCGTACCCCGACCCGAACCCCGGCCATATTTTGCTCCCCCGACCCGAAACAATTGGAAAACCCCGTACCCCGACATACCCGCCCCCGAACGTTCGGGGTACAACCCTACCTAAAAATTATAAACTTTTAAATTTAAATGAAGGTAGACATACAGAAGATGAAGCAAGACTCTCATGAAAATCACTCTCAACAGGTGATTTAATTGATGTAAAAGATGTGCTCAAATCTAGAAAATTTGTAAGTTAAAAATGTTTTACTTTAACGGACCAGTGTCATATTCGTCGTCATCTATAAAAACAGAAATAGTTTTTCTATTATCACTGCTAGAGCTGACAACATTATGATCATTAATTTTGTTTTTATCTTGTTCATTTGTCTCGTCTTGCGAAGAAGTATCTTCCCTAGGATTTACTGTAGTTGATATTATAGTTCCAAAATCGTGATCCATTGTTAAGAATCTAAAAAATTAATTTTGAATAGTAGTGACAGCTGGACAATTGTGATAAACTGTTAAAATCACAAATACAAAACAAAAACGAAGATATCGCTCAAAGATTAAAAGATACAATAAATCTCGAAAACATTTAAGCTAAACAACAAACAAAGAAAAACGGTAGGGGACCATTGTGTACGGCCGTTTGTGTACCGCCGTTTGTGTACGGCCAGTTGTGTACCGCCAGTTGTGTACCTGGCCGTTTGTGTACCTGGCCGGTTGTGTACCGCAGTATATAGGAATATAATAAGGGAATATAGATTATATTCCCCGACTTAGAATCTTATTAGAAAATTCGAAAATCAAATTCGACCAAAATCACCGTGATTTAACAAATTTGGACAAAGTAAGAAGCAAAAATAAACCAAGCAAACCTATGGGCGTCGGCGAAACGCTTGTGCAAAACCCCGCGCGGCACGCGTTTCGAGGTAGTCAACGGTCGCTGGGTTCTGCTCCAGTAACATAAACCTATTCCTTTTAACGAGTTTCTGCATTGAAATGCCGACCTACCCTTCTTAGCAACACAAAAAGTTCTTTAAGTGAAGATATGGCATAAAATCCCCTGATAAAGTATACTTGGTCTAATATAATTCTGAATTGGGGAATATAATCTATACTCCCTTACTACCTTACCAGCAATACTTCCGTCTTGGGATATATAAAGACAAAAATTATTAAAAATGGGGATACACAAACGTCCCCATTTGGGTGGGTACACAACCGGCGGTACACAACTGGCCGGGTACACAAACGGCCAGGTACACAACCGGCCGTACACAACCGGCCGTACACAAACGGCGGTACACAAACGGCGGTACTCAATGGTCGCGTTCCGAAAGAAAAAAGTGTTAGAAAAATGGCTGAAAAATATTAATTTTTGGCATAATGTTTACAATAGAAAATTGGCACATTATCAAATATTTTTTAATAAGGCCATTTAAGTCCTGACGTCCGTATCTGGCTCATCTTTTTACAATCGAAGTCCTTAACATATTGTCAGTTTAATGAGCAGCACCAACTTTTTGTTTGCGGCACAACTGTTGGTAAAGTTGAAGCTGGGATTATCGTAATCGATGGAATTGGATCTTGATAGCAGGTTTTTTTAAATAAACAATGAATGTCATTTTTTAATTTTAGTTCTTCAATTGAAGTTTCCAGACTTTGTTTCAAGGATGCACTTCATTTGGCCGTTGGTTTGAGCAATGGATATGTAAGAATTATTTGGATTCTTATATTTTACACACATTTTTAAAGATTCTTCTCTATGATATCCGGTCATCACAACCTTATCTTACCAAAACTCATAATTTTGGATTGCCAATAACTCGTTTAGAATTTGCCTCAAATCAAGAGGTTGTTTTGAGTATGGATGGACGTGCTTCAAAAATATGGAATGAACACAATGGACAACCTTTTACAAGTATAGAACCAGGATCTGACCTCAATGATTTTACTCATTACCAAAATTCTGGTTTTTAAATTTTTGTAATTTTTTTTAGTTTTTAAAACAATTTTTAAATAAATTTAATCAGCAACAGATGGCGGTTCTTTTCTAGGAACGAGTTGTTCCCGAACACTATTTGAAGCTTCAACAAACATCTTTATTTGTTCACTTCCATCATTACTACGTCTCAAAAACTCTTTAGCTGAAACATCTTCGTTTGCTTTCATTAAATTCAGGTAGAAATGATCAATTTTTACTGGTCCATTCTAAAAATTAAAAAATTTATTTAGTACTTTATTACAACTAACTTTTCGAGTTATTCGAATTTCAAAAACTTGTCCAGCATTAAAAATCCATAAGATGGAGCAAACAAATAATCAATGTTGTTTGAGCAGGTAATGTTAAAAAAATATCTTGTCTAAAATAAAAAAAGTTGGCTAGATTTTCGTTTGGCAACTTTGATTATCTCCCGATGGGCTAACAAAAACGCGATCATGTATATTTCGAAGGTCATCTGAAATTTTATGTCGAAGCCATCGCCAAATACTACCTAACATTTTTAAAACAAGAACAATTTAATTATAGAATTTTAAAAAGTAGAAATGCAAAACCCAGTTGTTTCTAATTATTTAAATATTTTAAGTTAAAAATTGTTTTTTATTAAACGTTTTTTGCATTTCTACTTTTTTAAAATTCTATAATTAAATTGTTCTTGTTTTAAAAATGTTAGGGAGTATTTGGCGATGGCTTCGACATAAAATTTCAGATGACCTTCGAATTGAACATGATCGCGTTTTTGTTAGCCCATCGGGAGATAATCAAAGTATAAGAGTGCAAAACATCAGTCAGGTAAACAATATTACTTTTTAAAAACGTGGGTAAACTTGTTTATCAACACGACAAAAGTTAGTTTTTCTCATGTAATAATACATAACACTTTGTTGTGTTGCCAAACGAAAATCTAGCCAACTTTTTTTTATTTTAGACAAGATATTTTTTTAACATTATTTGCTCAAACAACATTGATTATTTGTTTGCTCCATCTTATGGATTTTTAATGCTGGACAAGTTTTTGAAATTCGAATAACTCGAAAAGTTAGTTGTAATAAAGTACTAAATAAATTTTTTAATTTTTAGAATGGACCAGTAAAAATTGATCATTTCTACCTGAATTTAATGAAAGCAAACGAAGATGTTTCAGCTAAAGAGTTTTTGAGACGTAGTAATGATGGAAGTGAACAAATAAAGATTTTTGTTGAAGCTCAAATAATGTTCGGGAACAACTTGTTCCCAACAAAGAACCGCCCTCCGTTGGTGATTAAATTGGTTTTAAAAATTGTTTAAAAAAGATTTTGATATAATTATTATTTATTTATTTAAAGTATTAAAAAATAAAGTGTTTAAAATAATAAAGTGCTTGTTAAATATTTTATTTGAAATATAACTAATAATATTTGAAAAAATAATTTTAATATTTTTGATTCTCTTAAATTTTTGATTCTCTAATTCTAATCTTCACCACAATGCAGCTTTCGTACTCCAATAACATTAAAGTTATTAATTTGAATAGTACTAAATTAATACCTGAGGTTATTTTTCTACTTTATTTCAAAAATTTAAAGCTTTTTTAGTGGATATCAGAAAAGAAACGTCGAAAATTAGAAAAGCAGGATGTCGACATTCGGAAGAGAGTTCAATTATTACAAAACCTTGAGATGCCTTCAGTTAGCCGAACAATTTCCTTTTCTGCCGATGGAAACTACCTGTTTACGACAGGTTTTACTATAATTTATGATGTTTTAATTTTTTAAACTTTTTTAGGATCTTACAAGCCAACTTTAAAGTGCTTTGATTTAAATGAACTATCACTTAAATTTGAACGCGGTCTGGATGCAGATGTTGTTAAATTTCAGTTATTGAGTGATGATTACACAAAAGTATTTTTATTTATTTTCATAAAATAAAAGTTATAAAATAGTTTATTTTACTTGAAGAAGAAAGATTTGTTGAATTCCACACGGGCTATGGACGATATTTTCGGTTGAGGATACCACATTTTGGCAGAGATATTTCATTTTGCCGAGAAATAAGTGAAGCATACATTGCTGGCTGTCGGTTCGTTTTAGAATTCGTCTCTCAATTTGTTATTCTTTTGTTTTAGAAACGAAATCTTTCGGCTTAACTTGGAGCTCGGACGTTTTCATGAACCTTTGTATAGTCAATCGGAGTCTTTAACATGTTGCCAGTTTAATGACCAACACCAACTTTTTGTTTGCGGGACAACGGATGGAAAAGTTGAAGCATGGGATTATCGTGATCGATCACGTGCTGCTGTTCTTGATTGTGTGTTAAATAAGGCTATAGCTATGGAATTGGATCTTGATAGCAGGTTTTCAATAAAAATTGGATACTCTTGTGTGATCCGCCCGCATTTTTTATGCCTCCCCCCTTTTCCTTCTTCTTTCTTTTTTATGCCTTCATTTCTAATTTCTATTTGGATTACAAAATTGTCAAAGACATATGTATCAAAGGAAAATATGACAATACACTATAAACATTATTTTGAAGTCTCAAACTTCACTTCATTTTATGATCATTTGTGCATTTTTTGCTAGAATGGTTTTTCTTGTAAAAATTCAATTGCACCTTCTTTACTTTGTGGAAGATTGAAAATATTGATATGAAATCAAATTTAGTAAACAAAAGCTGGAAAAATGACCCTTTACTCATAGTTTTCATTTCTAAATCCATTTTTAATCCTTGCCATCAATTGCCTTTAACCTTGCCCATCAATTGCCTTTAACCTTGCCCATCAATTGCCTTTAACCATTTATAATCCAAATAGAAATTAGAAATGAAGTATGAGACGGAAGGAGAAGGAAAAGTGTTGCATAAAAATTCGGGCTGATAACACAAGGGTACCAAATAATGGAATGTTATTTTTTAAGTTTTAGGTCGTCAATTGAGGTTTCCAGTCTTTGTTTCAAGGACGCACTTCATTTGGCCGTTGGGTTGAGCAATGGATATGTGAGAATTATTTGGATTCTTATATTTTACACACATTTTTAAAGATTCTTCTCTATGATATCCGGTCATCACAACCTTATCTTACCAAAACTCATAATTTTGGATTGCCAATAACTCGTTTAGAATTTGCCTCAAATCAAGAAGTTGTTTTGAGTATGGATGGACGTGCTTTAAAAATTTGGAATGAACACAATGGACAACCTTTTACAAGTATAGAACCTGGTTCTGACCTCAATGATTTTACTCATTACCAAAATTCTGGTTTTTAAAATTTTTGTAAATTTCATTAAATAATTTTAATTTAGGTATAATATTTTTCGCTAATGATGATCCAAAAATAAAACAATATTTTATTCCTGCACTCGGTCCAGCTCCAAAATGGTGTTCTCATTTGGAGTCGATATCGGAAGAATTGGAAATTGACAATAATTCTAATGGTATATTTTCTTTTTTAATTACTTTTTGCATGATTGTCTGTGGTTAAGTTGGGTATATCTTTGCCAATTAATGTAGAACTTGTTAAACTTTAATTGTTTAATTCGTGTGGAAGATTGGCACAAAATAAAAATTATAGACCGCCGCGGTGGTTATTTTAAAATATGTAAATATTCTACTGCCAGTATCTATAAAACATTTTAATTTTGGAAATAATTTTAAGAAATTTATTTATTTTTTTTAGTTTACGATGATTTTAAATTTGTAACAAGAACACAAATGGATGAATTTGGTCTGCAACACTTAATTGGAACTAATGCGGCAAGAGCATATATGCATGGCTATTTTATTGAAATGAAAGCTTATACAAAGGCGATAGGACAAAATAAATTAAGTGCTGTTGAGGAATACAGGGAACGAAAAGTAGAGTTTTTTGATTTTTAAATTAATTTTAAGAGAAATTAAAATATTTTTTTGATATTTTTAATCTAAAAATAACTAATTTCTGTTTAGAAAAAATTTTTTAATAAAATTTTTAGTTGAAAGAAAAATTGGAAAAAGAACGTCAAGTCTCGTTTGTGAAGCGTACAACTTCTGTTATATTACCTAAAGTCAATCGAGAGTTGGCAAGTAGATTACAATCAGATGTTGGTTTTATAGAAGAGGCTGGAGAGTCTTCAAAAATGGTTTTAAAAAACTTTTTTTCTTCCTTTTAAGAAAATATTTTATTTAAGAATAATTCATCGAATTATTTATTAACTGACCAACGATTTTCTGGATTATTTAATGACCCTGATTTTGAAATTGTTGAAGACAGTGAACAGTACAAGCAATTGGCTCCAATGATGAAAAAATTGGAAGTAAAAAAGAAGAAAAATGAAAAAAGAATCGAAGAAAAGGAAAGAAATATACAAAATGAAGAAATGGCCGAAATGGATGAGGATAATGAATTTTCAACTTAAAAGTTTTATATTTTTGTTTTAAAATTTGAGTTTAATAACATAATTAAAATTTTATTAGTTTTTAGTTTAGTAACTCTATGTTCCTTTGAAAACAAAATTAGGACTTAAACAATAGGGTCCAGTGAAAGGTTAGAAAAAAGAGGATATTGGTTTAATGGAGAAAAATGAAAAAGATGCCAAAATATGGCCGGCGGTCAATTTTTGTCAATAAAATTGTGGCAGAAAAACAAAATTCTTTCTCTTTTCAATGTTAGTATACTATATGAAAGTACTTTAGTTTTTTATCATCAACAGCTTCTGTTAAAATTTTTGTACCTCCAATCGAGTTTATCTTTAGAGATTTTTACATTTATGAGTTAGGTTAGCTTCCATTAATATACCTTTCCATTTATGCCTAATACTTTCCATTATGCCTAATATTTACTTATTGTTAGCGTATAAGGGATATCCTTTCGGTTTCAAATAAATGACATTTTCTATTTATTCAACAAATATGTATTTTATTAAGCAAAAGAAATAATAAAAATGTACATATAAAACAGAATATAAAAAAAGAATAAAAAACTGACAGCAGTAAAGTTAGCGAACAAGTATAAAAGCCAAATAGGGCAAAAAAACGAACACTTTGCGGCTGTCAATTGATTCGAGATATTCAAAAAAAGTCTCGTTTTTAAGACTCGAGAATTTTTACAAAAGAATGTGAAGCTTTAAAAAACCCACCAGCCACATCCCACTTTCTTCTTTTCAACTATTTTTGGGTTGGCAAAAGCCAGACTGGCACAACAACGACTTTTCTCCCTCTTTTCCTTTATATTTTTATTTTCTTTTTCTCTTTAAAATGCCACTCGTTGTGCCGTTATTTTTTAGTTAAATGGACGTGTTTTTCTTATTCATTTAGCTTCCAATTTTTTGTTATAAATACAAGAAAGATTCTTCTCACTTTCTTTTATTTTTAAATTTTTGTTAAATAATTTTATTTAAAATTGTGTTAATTAAATAATTATTAGATGAAAGAAAAGAAAAAAAAATAATTATTAATTAAAAATAGTTTTTTAAAATTTTATATTAAAAATATTTTTTATCGATAAATTCTGCAGCAATATAGTAATTGAAATATTTTTTCTATGAATTTTATTTAAATGTCTTCGTGGTTCTCTTATTTTCGGTTTGTTTCCAGTAGTAAACGTGTTCTTTATTCAAATTTATAGAAAGTAAAGGAATAAAAAACAGAAAATGAAATTCTCACACACAAATTCTGACATGAGACTAAAAAAATTTAAACTGATTAGTATTTTCGAATTTAAATTAAAAAGAAATTTAAAAGAATATTTAAAATAAAGTAAAAATGTACTAAAATTGTTCATTCAATATTAATAAACAATTAAATTTAATTTTAAAGTACATGAATTTCTTAAAAAAATATTCTCATTAGAAATTCAATTATTCGAGAAGAAGATCCAGAACAACAGCAGCAACCTGAATTTGACCAAGCTTCTACTTCTAATCTATCACAGGGAGATGTTTCTTCTGTTGCTTCAGAATATTCAATAAAGGATGATGAACAACAACAAATTAAAAAAATTCCTTTAGTGCCTTCATTAAGTCAAGAACAAAGAGAACATATACATGATGTAATTTAATTTAAATTTTAATATTCACTAAGTCAAGAAATAACCGCTAATAAAAATCCCTTCACTAATTTAATTTTCATTAATATTTTCCAAAAATTTAATAAATTATTTAAAAAAGGTTCTAAAACGAGCTGAACGTTCTGGACGTTATGCTCGTGTTGTTATGGACAAAAAACATTTGAAAGCTGTTCGGGGAGGGAGAGGGCAATCAGCCTTTACTTCTTCAAGTATTAACTCAGAAAGAGAGATTGAAGGTAGTGAAAGTGATGGAATTGACAAAACTGACATAATGGCATCAGAAATAATTCAAATGGATTCCCTACCTGAAGGCAAATTGAAATTAAAAATGTTTTTTATAAAAATTATTTAAAGATGTTGAGATTACTGTAGGGCCTTGTCCTTCTTCCTATTGTTCTTATGCAAGTTCTGAATTAATGTTTTCTGAAGAAGAAACAGAAACGAATAAAGAAAAAGGAGAAGGTAAGTGGAAAAATTTGAAAGAAAAAAATTTAGAAAATAAATTTAATAGAAGAGACAATGGAAAATAGAATTAGTATTGCTCAAAGAATGGCAAAAATGAGTAGGAAAATTGATAAATGGTTAAAAAGTTTGGATGTTGATGAAGAAGAGAAGGTGGAGGAGGAAGAAAATTTTGGTAATAAAAAAGTTGAAAAAAATTTTTGGAAAATTAATTTTTTTAGAGAAAATCCCCAAATCTCCATCATTTGTAGTTGAACAATCATTAAATGAAAATTCAATTCTCGCCGCTTATTTAGATACTTTATCTTTGTGTATTAGTGTTAGTGCTATAGAACAATGCTCGATAACATTTTCACAAATTGTTGAAAAATTTTCAAGAAATGAAGCAGCAGATATTGTTTATTTTGCAATAAAAGAGTTTATGACAAAAGAAAGGTAAAAGAAATATTTTTTGGGAAAAATTAATTATTGTGACAGATTCCTTCCACATTTTTCAACGGAAGATGATAACAGCAGCAGTTCCTTATCGGCGAATAATTGTTATATAATTTTGGTTGATGAAGAAAAACAAAAACAGAGGTTATTGGTTTTGCTAAGTAAGAAAAGGATTTTTTAAATTTTCAGTGAAAATCTCAATGATAATTATGAATCTACTAAAACAAATGACACGAATAATAAAAATGAAAAGTGTAGACCCTTAATTCCAATGATTACAATTGATTTACCAGAAGAGGAGGAAGAAGAAGAAATAATTGAGGAAAGCATCTTAAATGAAGATTTAAATAAGGAAGAACAGAATTATGAAGAAAATACTCAAGCAGTACTTACAGAAGTTGGGGAAGTACATGAAGAAAGCGATAATTCTGGTCAAACTTCTGGCGCAGATACGGAAGGACCTAGTTCTTTTGAAGAAGAAGAATATATCGAAAGACAAATTACTTTAGTTGAGGTTCATGAGGGAGAATATGATGATTTGAAAGAAGAAATGAGTGAAACTTTGGCTGAAAATAAAGCAATAGAAATATCGGGTTGTTTATCTAGTGAAGAAAGTCGGCATTCTTTAAAGGATAAAAAATTTGACGAAATTGGGGAAAATCAAAAAGAAGAAAAACAATCTTGTTCAACACCAACCACAAGTTCAAGCAGTACATCCCTCGCAGATACACCCGTTTCTTCACTTTCTATTCAAGATATCATCGAAAAAGTAATTAAAGAAGAGATTGGAGATGAAAAAATTAAAGAAGAAGAAGAAGGGCATCTTCCATTTAAAGGTGTTGATGACTTAGAAGAGGAAATTAAACAAAACCAAAAGAATTTACCTTGTATTTCTTTAATTTCTGAAAATATTTTTGAATTTAAAAATCAGAAAGAATGTGAATGTAATTTTGTATTAAAAAAAGAAGAAAAAGAGGAAATAATTGGAGAATTTATAAAAGAAAAAGAATTAATATTTGAAGAGAAACAAGAATTAAAAGAAATTGAACAAAAACAGCAAACAAATAAAGAAGATGATTTAACTGATTGGTTAAGTCAATTAGTTGCTGAAGGAACTGAAAATTGTGTTGAAACATCTAAAGTAGAAGAATTTGTTATTGAAGACGGAGAAAATGATTTGTGGAGTATGGACAATAACAAAAGTAATTTAAATATTAAAATAATTAAGTATTGGTTCATAGGACAAAGTATAATGCCTAAAAGAAGCCCATCTCAAATAGAAGCCCATGCCCAATTAGAAGCCCACTCAATGAGGGGTATTGAAAAATAGAAGCCCAGGGCTTTTATTAGGACACTTACGGTAACTAAGAATTGTTTACAAAGCCGGATTTCCTTTATCACAATTTTAGTCTAACAATAAGTCTAAAATTTTGTTTGCATGATACGCCTTTAAACGTTTTAGATTTTCAAAAGAAAATGAGGGCAAATGAAACGCTGGGAGTTATTGTGATAAAGTCGACTGTATTTTCTAAAATAAAGAATAATATTAGTTCATTAAATCTGATACTTAAAAATTTCATTAAAATTATTTTAGTAATTTTTGAAAATTTCAGTTGAGCATTTAGTTAAAGAAAACGAAATTGATGAAACGACAAACATTTTTCCAACAGAATTAAAACAAATAGAAGGGGATGCATTGGAAAATTCTTTTTCTTCATCTTCTAGCGTTGATACTTCTCTTAATTTAAAGTCAAAAGAACAATTAAATGAAGGAGACGACAATATACTATCCTTAAAAGAAGAAGAAAAAGAAGAAGATTCTTTTAAAGAAAAAGAAGAGGATTTAATTCCATTTAATATAAATCAGGTTGTTTCTGTTGTAATACAACCACCTTCCCCTCCACCACGACCTCCACTACCTAATTTAATGTTAAAACAACAAACTGAAGAAATTTTTGAAGAAAATGAATGGCAAGAAAAGGAAAAGGTTTTAAGCAATATATCAAATATAGAAACTGAAATTTCTGGAAATATTGAGGAGGATAGAATAGAAGAACAAATTAATAAACATAATGACAATAAAATTGAAACTGAAGAAGGGAAAGGAAGAAATAATTCATTAACGAGAAGTTCAAGCAGTACATCCAGTGCAGATACACACATTTCTTTAAATGAAAGTGTAGATGAAGATAATAAAATATTAGATGATGATAAGCTGATAAAAAATGAAGAATTTGTAAATGAAGAGATGAAATCTGAAATTGAAGAGTCCCCCATTTCTTCTTCAAAAGAGGAAAGAGAAGAAATTAAAATAAATGAAAAAAAAAATTCAACCCCTTCTTCTGGAAGAACGTCAGAGGCGGACAATAATAGTTTATTACTTTCTTCTGAAAAAAATTTGGAAGAAGAAAACAAAAATAATAGTTCTAGTATATCTTCTGGCAAAACATCCTCTGCAGATTCTTTGTCTTCTTTAAATTCCATTTCATCTGCCACTTCTAAGGAATTAATTAAAGTTAAATTAAACGAGGAAATTGAGGGCGGACCTTTAACTTCTACCAATTTTGAGGGTAATTTAACTAAAGAAGAAATTGAACATATTGAAAGAATTAATAAATTAGCTGAAATGGAAGGGGGTAAAATTGAATTTATGGAAATTGGTACGAATAAGTCTGATCAACAATTTAATAAAAACAATGAGAATACTTTAATAACTGAAACTAATAAATTAATTTCTGATGAAAAGGAAGAATTAAAATTTCCAAAATTTCCTTTTCAACAATTTAATGAAGATTTAAATAAATTAACTGAAGAAGAAAGTAAACAAATAAATTTATTAGAAAATCAAGATAACAAACAAAAAGATGAAAATATACTATTAGATGAATTAACAATTGAAGAAAAAGAACATATTAGAAGAATAGAATTATTGGCAGCTAAAGAATTTAATAAGCAAGAATTTTTAGAAGAAGACAAGCAAAATTCTAAAGAATTTTTTCAAATTGAAGAAAATCCTCAAAATTTTCAAGAAACTATTTTTGACCCTTCAATAGATCAAAATAAAGACCAAACAGTTGTTGGTTTAACTTTTGAAGAATTAGAACATATTCAAAATGTTCTTCGTTTGGCTGAAGAAAGTGGCTCTTTTGATGTAAATTTAAATATTACTGGAAGGAATGGAAAGGAAATAAATTCAAAAATGGAGTCAAAACCTCCTCAACAAAGCCCTTCGTCTCATAAAACCTCATCTTCTAGTGAAACTTCTGGAGCAGATGACAAAAGTCTTGAAAAACAATTTTCTGAGACTGTAGAGGAAGAAAATAATTTAAATGGAAGAGTAGAGGAAGAAGGAGGGGAAGAAGGGAATAATCAAAAAGATGAGGAAAATGTTAATGATGAAATTAATGAAGAAGAGGAAGAAAAATTACAGAAATTAAAAATTAATGAATTATTTGCAATAAAACAAAAAGAAAAAATATTTTATCCATCATTTTTTGTTGATCAACAAGAAATTCATGAAAAACAAGAAGAAATTGCTGTTCAAAGGGAATGGAGTAAAATAAGGCAATTAACTTTAGATTCTGATGAAAAACCAGAAATTCCTTTTTGGGCAAAAAATATAATGGAAAAAATTATTGAAAAACAAAAAATGAAGAAAAGCAATGAAATTATTGAAAATATTAAAGAAAATGAAGGGGAGGATGAGGAAAGGAAGGAAAAAATAAATAAATATGAAGAAGAAAAAATTGAAGAATTTAAAGAGGAAAAAATTGAGGGTTTTAAAGAAAAGGTAGATAAATTATAATTACTAAAGATTATTATCAATTTCATTTAAGAAAATAAATTTAAATATATTATTTTTCAGGACATATCCGAAGCAGAAAAACAACACTCATCACATTCTTCTCCTTCTACCTCCAGCGGAAGAACATCATTGGCTGATTCTTCCGTTTCTGTATCATCAAAATGGGAGGGTAATAGAATTACTTTAAAATAAAGTCTATTCCATAAAAACCTCATCCACACCAATTTCTAACATAATTTTTTTCAAATTTTTATATTTCCATGAAATTTGGCAACAGTGTAGAAAAATAAATGTATAAAATTTTTATTTTGAATCCAAATTTTATACCAGAAACCCTATCCATTTTGTAAAATCAACAAAAATCGTGTTTTAAATAAAATGCAAAAAATCCACAAATTAATAAAAAAAATTTAGTTTTTTTTCTTAAAGGAGAACCATTTAGTGGAGATTTACCTGAAAAAGAAGAATCAGAATCTTTTGAAAATTTAAATATAGAAGAAAAAGAAACAAATAAAAATAATAATTTGCAATTAACTAAAGAAGAATTAGAACATATTGCTGCTATAGAAAAACTCGCTAATGAAGAAGGAAATTTACAAGAATATTTAATTAATAAAGAAAATGAAAATTCTAATTTTGATGAAATTAACCGTGAAATGTCAGTTAATACATTGGCAACATCTGGTTCGGTTTTTGAAATTTATTTTACTTTTTTTTTAATTTAGATGCAGATACAGTTTTGACAATTTCAAGTATTTCCAATAAACAACCAGAACAAATTGAAAGTGAGGAGGATATTGGAATTGAGAATTTTACTGCCCAAAAAATATGTGAAGATACTAAAGTTTTTACTCAGATTAAAGAGAAGATAAATGTAGTTGAGGAAGAAGAAAAACAATTGGATGAACAATTGGATTTGAACATTTTTCCTCAAGAGTATTCCGATGGGATAAATCAAATAGGAGAGGACAATAATAATTTGGATTATTTTGATTGGAATAAAGTAATTGATGGAAGTGAACTTTCTGAATTTAATCAAAATGAAGAGATTACAGGACAAGAAATTGTTGAAGAGGGGATGGGAAATTTGGAAAAAGAATTTGTTGAAGAGAAAAGCGAGAATGGAAGGAATGAGTTTGTTGGAGAGGAAATAGAGAATATTAAATTGGGAGGAATGATGGAGAAGGAAGATAAAATGATCGAAGAAAGGAATGAAGAGGAGGGATTTAAAGACGATACTTTAAATGAAATTGATGAGCAAAATATAATTAAATTAATTGATGGAATTGAAACAAAAATAATTAAACAATCTACTAAATTATTTGATAAGCCTCAATTTAGCGATTCTTCATCAAGTAGTACAACATCTGGGGCTGATTCAACACATTCATTTGCTGAACTTTATACAACAAATCAAGCTCTTTCAATGATGGATTCCCCTCCACAATTTGGAAAAGTTTCGGCACCACAACTTGATGAATTTAAGGAAATATTTAAGGAAGAGGAATTTAAATTAAAGGAAAATGATAATGAGAAATTGAATGAGAAGTTTAATAAATCAAATACAAGTAGTAGTAGTACAACAACATCTGAGGCAGATTCAATTAATTCCTCTAGAATATTTAATGAAGACAACGAAAAAATAAATTTAGAAAAGGAAGAAATAAAAGAAGAAGAAAAATCAGAATCCCCAAAGTCCTTAACTAGCAGCACTCCAACATCTGGAGCAGATTCATTACGTTCATCAATATTTTCTAAAAATGAACATATTGAATCTATAGAAATTCAATCTTCTGGAATAAATAAAAATTTACCAAAAGAATTTGAAGGCCAAGAATTTCTGTTAAAATACCAAATCCCCAAACAAAAATCAGTTGGCCGTTGTTCGCTTCAATATGGCTCTAAAGCTGTTGATGAAGTTTATTTGGCAGGTAAACGTGCACGTCAATCATCATTAACTTATATACCAAAAACAATGGTTAACTACACAAATATGTTGGGTGGAAGCCGATTTATTTCTAAAACAACAAGTATTTCTGATCAAAGTTTGGAAAAGGAAGAAGAAAAAGGGGGAATTAAAATTGAAGAAAATAAAAAAGAAAAGAAAAAATTTTCTAAAATAAAAATTGTTTTTACTGATCAAAAATTGAGAGAATCATTTTGTGAATCATATCTAGAAGAGAAGAGTAAGGAAGAAAGAGTGAAAGAAAATGTTGAAGAAGAAGGAAGTGAACAAATTTTGATGGAAAATAAAAAGAAATTTGATAATGTTGATTTTTTGATTAAATTAGATTTTTATGCTCAACGATTGAGTGAAGAAATAGCCGAAGAAGCTGTAAAAGATATTAAAGAAATTGAACTTATTAGAAAAAATCCAAGAGCAGTTTATTTTGATGATCAATTTAAAGAATATTTGCTACAAGAATGTGAAGAAGAGCAAGAGGAGGAGGAGGAAGAGGAGGAAGGATTAGAGAAGAAAAATAATGAAAAAGAAAAATTAATTGAAGAAATAGGAGATTCTGTTGAAAATGATGATTGGTGAGTGAAAATGCCTTTTTAAAATAAATCTCAATCCTTTTTATTAAAATTTTAGGAAATCAAAAGAAAATATGATGAGTGAATTCTTTGTTGAACCTATAAACAATGGAAATAAGGAAAGGAGGAATACTTTTGCTAATTCACTTGCAATGCTTTCCTCAACATTTTTGGGACGTAAGAAGAGTTTTGTTTCTTCTGATAAACCGAGGCTCAAAAGAAATACAAGTGAAATTTATGGAAAGGGGGCAGAGTCAACACAAACATCTTCATTTATGGGATTGTTGAGGTAAAAGAATTTCAAGTTTAGGCGATCTTTGGTAATTATTAATTAATTATTGTTCTTTTAAGAATTCTAATTTAAATCCAATCAAAAATTTATTAATTTAAAGAAAATCATCTATAATTGCAAATCAATCTGCCCTTTTCCGCTCCTCATCAACGTGTGAAGAAGACACAAACATTGATTTGCCAGAAGAAGCACTGGCTGGATTAACTGAAGAAGAGCGTTCTCATATTTTTAAAGTTATGGCTGAATCACGTCAACGAACAAATTTAATTCAAAAAATAAATGTTGAGGAGCAAATACCTTTGCAACTAAATCCTTTAGAAATGGAAATCTCTCTTTCAATGGGAGAATTTAATGAAAAACAAGTGGAAAAGTTGGATGAAGGGGAAATGATGAAGGGTGATGAATTTATAGTAGAAGAATTGTTTGGTGATGAATTGAATAGGGAGAATGAAGAATTAGAAGTAAATGATTCGAATGAAGAATTAAATGAAGAGAAGGAGGAGGTGATTGAAGTTGAAGATTATTTAGATAAATTTAAAAAGGAGGAGGAAGAGGAAGAATTATTAAAGAAACTAATTAAGAAAGAAACAAAAGAAGATTTAAAAACATCAAAATTTGGATTTGGAGGGTTTTTATCATTTTCACAACGTTTAGCAACTAAAGTATCAGATACATTTACAGTTAGTAATGTTGATGATGAAGAATTAAATAAAGATAACCAAATAGAAGATCAGTCATTAACTGAAATACTTTTAACAGAAAAATCAAAAGAGACCCCAAAACATGAATTAACAGAAGAAGAATTAGAACATATTCGAAGAGTAACAGAATTGGCAGCTTTAAGTTTAGAAAATAATTTTGAAGAATTAAAAGAAAGAAATAATCAAAAATCATTAATAAATAAAGAAATAATAATTTTAAAAGAAAATAAAAAAGAAATTTTGGTTGAAGAAAATAAAGAAATAAATGAAGTAGAAGAAATTTTAGAAGACAAAAAAATAATAAAAGAAAAAGAATCTAGTAGTAGTAATTCTTCACCTTTTTGTCCAGAATTTTGGCTTCAAAATAATCAAACAAAGTCTGAAAAAGAAATTTTTGAAATGGCTAATAATAATCAGAATATTATTGATAGTAGAAGTAGTAGTGGAATTGGTGATTCTGAAGGTGAACAAAGTGGAATTGAATGTGTTGGGGAAAGTAGTATATTACGGTGATTTTTAATTTAAATTAATTTAAAATTCTCTTTAAATTCTCTTGCTCTTCTCTTTTTATTTAATTAAATTATTTTTTAAATAAATTGGTTAATGGATAAAATTAAAAATTAAATTACATCTCCACCCTCTCAAATGCTTTTTTACCCTTATTCAGAGATTGTTGGAATTTAAGATTTTTTTCAAATTAAACAATTTAATCATATTAAAATATTTATTAATCTTCTCTTTTTGTTAAAAATAATTTAAAAATAAATAAATAATTAAATATTTATTTTAAAAAATAATCTTTTTTTTTCAGTTTTAACCAATTTTCTGGCACATCATCAACTTCTTATCCACCCCCTCGACCTCCACCCCCACCAATAATGTGGAGAAGTAAAAGCATTGAACAAAACCAAATAAATAATTCATTAACTTCTTCATTTAATCATTCAAACGAGACAGAAGAAAATAAAGAAGAAAAGGAAGAATCTCAACGTGTTCTTGATGAAATATGTTGGTTTAAAAATGAATTAGAACGTATGAATGTTGCTTTAATGTCTGTTGATGATGATAATGATAATATAGAACAACAACAAAATAAAAATAATGATGAATGTTTAGAAAAAGTTTTTGAAGAAGAAGGTAATTTATATTTAGTTTTGGGAGTAAATGAAGCAAAAATATTTAATAATAATTTTAAAATATTATTTTTTATTTAAAATTTTCTAATAAATTTCCTTTATTTTTTCTTTCCTTTTAGACCCTCTTTTTGTTGAAACTTCAAATATTACAAAAACAGAATTGGCTAGTACTTTTGCAACAAAAAGTGAAGAAAAAGAGGAAAATTTGTTTGTTGATTCATGGTCAATTTGTCAGGAAAAACAATTGCAACAAAATTTAGAGGACCAAAAAAGGAATTTTGAGGGTTATTTAATGGAGCAAAAAAGTTTTGAAAGAAAAGAGGAATTTAATAGAAATGAAAATATTTTTGATATTGAAAGTGCTAACGATGATTTTGTTGTGGAAATTGCTGCCAGACAGGAAAGCAACATCGATTGGCCTGAAATTGCTCCGCAGAAAGCTTTTTCGGACTTTAATAAATTTTTATTTGACGAAATACGAGGTGGACAAGAGCGGTGGAATTCCCAACACTATTGGGAAACACAGACAGGAGGGCTACAGGAAGGGCCAAGTGACTGGACAATGAGAGAGGAAATGAAAAGCATGGATGAGGAAAATGCCAATAATGGGAGAGATAGGTTGGAGGTAGAAGAAGGTAACGAGACGGAAAAAAGGGAATATTTAGTGGAAGGAGAAAGAGAAGCTAAAGAAGAGTTAGTGGCAGCTATTGACAGCCGGCAAGAGTGGTTGTCTCGAGAATGTGAAACTAGAGGGGAAGAAAATGAAGAATATTTAAGAGAAGAGTCTGAAAAAGGGAATGGGACAGATGAAGATGAAGAAATATTTATTAAAAATATAGCCGTTGATAGCATAAACAGCGTTATGAGAGAAGAAAACAATTTACAAAATACTGCAAGTTTAGACAAAATGGAAGAGAATATAGAAAATATAATGGCCACACAAAGTGCTGCCAATATCGAAACTTTGCCTTTATATGACCAGCAAGAAAGGTTAGAAGCTGGCAGCAAGCAAGAGCCATTGCCCTCTGTCCTAACTTCCTCTCGAATTTCGTATTTTCCCACGTCAGATGAGTTGCCTATAGAACCAAATTTAACTACAGAATTTACTTTTCCGCCCTCTTTCATTGACCCGGCAGCTTCTTCAATCTTCCCACGCATTATCGAAAAAGACGATAATTTTGGTAGTAATATTTTGTTGGATGAAAGGCAACAAAAACAAATTTTGGCGGAACTAATTGGAAGCCAATATTTAGAGAAAAAACAACAAAAAGTAGAAGCAAAAGACTTTAATGAAAGAATAAACGTTTTAGAAGAAGAAAAAATAGAAGAAGAAAGCCAAAAATATTTTAGGCGAGTATTTACTTATAAAAAAACTTTAAAGTAAATATTTAAAAATAAATGGCCAAAAATATTTATATTATTTTTGTGTATAATATAGTCAATACCAAAGGAGCTTTTCCTTTTCCCCTTTATTTTTTTTTATTTTTTTCTTTCCAAACAAATAGGGCCCCCTTTCCATTACCCAAAACAACCATTGAGTAATTCCCCAAGGGAATAACGCGCACATTGTCCATTTTTCCAATTTCAGACTTTTAGCTAACGCCTTTACTTTTTTTTAGATTTTTTGTTTAAACTTTTATTTTATTTTGGAAGTTTAATTATTAATTAATTTCTAAATAAATAATTAGCTGTAAATTATTAATTTATTTTTTAGTTATGGCCTTACAGAAAATAAAGATTTTGAGGTAAATAATGTAAAATTACTCAAAAATGATGAACAACAATTTAATATTTCCACCATTCACCGAGTGCCAACACCAATCAGTGGCCCTTTACTAGCTGATTTTCCCGAGTCCCCAAGTATGGTTGTATTATTTGTTTGTTAACAATTAATTGTTCATTATAATTTAATTAAATATTTTTAAATTTCAGTCCCATTAATTACAACTCAAAGCAAACTCGATTCTTCACAAAAATCAACTACAAATACTTCTCCTTCCATCCCCGTACCTCCACCACCCTCAAATTTTAATACATCAAATTCCTCGTTTGGCTCAATGTTTGGTCAAAAAACTTCTTCAACTAGTAGCGGTTTTAGTAATATGTTTGGGGGAAAATTCAGTAAATTAACAACGGGAAAGTTGAAGGATGCAATGCAAGCAGCGGGTGAACAGTTAAGTGCTAAAGCAGCGAGTGCTGTGGAGAAAGCTAATCAGGCTATGGCTGAGGCTGTAAGTGCTTTTTTAAAATTAATTTTATCAATAAAAAATCCTTTATGTTTATATGTTTGTATGAATTTCAGATTTTTTTTCAGAAATTTCAGAAAAATTTCAATTTCAGAATTTCAGATTTTCCATACATTTATTTTCTGTCCAATTGTTAATAATTAAAATTTATAAAAATTAATTTAAGACTTCTAAGCAGACATCTTCTTCTACAACCACCTCTTCGCCTAGTAAACGACCACATTCTTCATTAGGTTTTCTAACTACAGAAGAGGATTTATCACAACCATCAACATCAAGTCGATCTTTATCACTTGCTCAAATAGATAATAATGCTATTGAACTTCCGCCTGGTGCCGAATTGCTGTCAGAGGAAGAACAGTTAAAGCTTATTGCTGTTATGCAATGTGCGCAATTGGATGAAGAAATGACAAGAAGAGGAAGTATTTTTGAAGTGAAAGAAGAACAGAAGAAAGTAAAGGAAAGAAGAGAGGAACAGCAAAGAAGAGAAGAAGAACAAAGAAGGGAGGAAGAACAGAGAAGAGAAGAACGGAAGAGAGAAGAAGAAAGAATGGAAGAATTGAGAAGAGAAGAAGAAAGGAGAGAAGAAGAGAGAAAAGAAGAACAAAGGAGAGAGGAACTAAGGAGAGAAGAAGAAAAGAGAAGTGAAGACAAGCAAAAGCTTCCCTCTCCAGATATGAGCGGTCTTTCTCTTGAAGAACAAAATAAAATTTTGGAAGTAATGAGGGCTGCAGAAGAACATGAAAGAATTGAAGAGGAAAGACAAAAGTCTATTGATATATTAAAATTGAAAGAAAAGGAGGAAGATTTAGCTAAAAGGCAACCTGAATGGGAAAATAAAATTGAAGAGATTGTTGATGTTAATACAACTTTACAACCTTCCCTTTCATTTTTAGAAGTGAGATTTTAATTGAAATTTAACAAAATTTAATTAATTTTCTTCCAAAATATTTTTAAAAAATCATCCAAAATTTTTTAAAGGATTTGTCAAAATATGGACAGCCAATATTACCCTCTCCAACAACTTTACATCAACAAATTAATGATTTGCCTTCTTCAGAGACACCACCAAAAATTAGTCAAATTGAAGATGATGAGAAAGAGGAAGAGGAAGATCTTTGGATGCAACCTCCACGACAAGAATTTATTGTTAATTAAATAAATTAAAATATTTAAGCAATTAATTTATTTTTAGGCTCCACCAGAAGCTTGGGAAAATGTTGTTGTTAATTCTTCTGCTAAGAAGCTTTGGACTACAGACTTTACAGAGGAGTTTATTGATAATGTTAATGAAGAAATGAAAAAAAGTAGTGAACTGGAAATTAACGATGAAGTGGAAATTATTGGTGAAGATGAAATTAGTGTGGATACTGTTAGGGGTTGTTGGGAGACAGCGCCAAAAAATGCTGAAGCAATTCTTCATTTTAAAGAAGAATTGTCTAAACAACAATTTGCTGATCAACAAGAGGTAATTTGGGGGTTAATTATTTCTAATTTATTAGAGAATCTCTCCTCATAGTCACCTCAAAAGTCAGCTTTGAGAATGGGATATTTTGGAGCTTCTGCTAGGAAGCTTTGGATGTTCTGAAATAAGAGGACAAATTTTAGAACATATTTATATTGGAGATATTAAAAAATTATAAATTAGATATGCTCAATTATTCAATATAGAAATCTCCAATGTCTACAGTTGCTGAGGTTGAAGAGGAAATGGCAGCTATTGCTAGAAGTATTTATACTAGCAGTTTTGTTCCTAAAACAGAAGGACAAGAAATGACAGAGGATGAAGATACTGTACAGTTGGCTGATATTGGTGATAAAAGACTCCAAAAAAGTGATAGTGGTGGTGGGTATTTTGAGGTGAAAATAAATATATATTTTTGCTTAAAGTTTTTTAAATCCCTATCACTTTCAAGGTTGAAATGGAAGATCCTTGGTCCCCTACATCCCCCACCTTTAATCCCTCTTCTAAATCAATTTCCTCTTTTACCCAACAACAAAGACCGCAACAAATTCACCCTCCTCCAACAATTACTGTTACTGAAGAAAAAACACCGACGGAGGAAGAATCTGAAGAAGAGGGGGAGGATGGAGGTGGAGAAATAGTTAGTAGTCATGTAAAAAGAAGTCGTGTTTATTCTCAACCAAGGCCTGGAAGTTCTAGTTCAGAAGAAGGAGATGAAGATGATTATCCTGATCAGGTAACCGAACCTCACTTTTAGGATAACCTCTATTGACTGGAAGATCTGTCTTTATGTATAATGAGTATTTTTAAACAAGAAGTATTTACTAATTGGAATCCGCTAAATTATATCTTAAATTAAAAAAAAACTAATTTTGGGGGTATCTAAAATTGAGTTCCCCTGTAATTTACTTTTCTTAACCATTTTTCAACCAACTTTTTCTTTTTAACAGGTCATCAAGGCCCCAACAATTTCCCCAGCCTCAATCGCCGCATTTCAAGAAGAAAATGAAACTGAAAAACAAAAATTGGCTGCCGAAGTTCTCCAACAAATACAATCTTTTGGGGAGGCTGCAGATGATGAATTTGATGTTAAATGGGCAAAACCTGCACAACAATTAAAGGCTGGAAGAACAAAAATAATTTAAAAATAATTTATTGTCTTTACAGATTTTACCAAAAGATTCTTCAAATATTAACCAATTAGAAGATAATTTTTTTATGGAGGATCCAGCAAATGTTTATTCTCCAACAGAATTAATATCAAAACAAACAACAGAAACAAAATCTTTTATTCAACAAAAACCTCCTCTTCCGCCGCCTTCAACAATTTTATATAGACAAAGAACAAATCCTTTTCTGGTTGAAGCTGTTGCTGTTAATGAAGAAGAATTATTACATTCTGGAGAAGAAGATGGGGAACAAGAGGAGGAGGAAGATGAAGGGGAGGAGGTTATTGTTAGACAGGAGGTTGGTTTGGAATTTAGTAGTAAATTGATTTATAAATGAAAATTTTTTTAATTATTCTAAATATACAAACTAGTCAATACTAATTTAAAAAATAATTTAAAATTCTTCTCTTATTTTTTACTTAATAATTTAATTATTTCCTATTCTTCTAATTACTCTTAAATTTTATTAACTTTTCTCTGTTCAAGCAACTTTCTTCAACTTTCTCCCGCGGCGTTGTTCCTTTTCTGCAATTTTTAGAGCACTTTCCGCATCTATATTATTTGTTGTAGTATTCTGATGATAAGGGATATCATTAAAACGACAATGGGTTGTTAATCTAAGAAAAAATTTTTTGGAAAATATTTTAAAAACTAACTTTGCTACACAAGGTTCTGTTAACCATAAATACCATTCTCCTTCCTTTTGGTCACGATATTTCCCATAACTTTAAAATAATTTTTACTTTCTAGATTTATAAGTAAATTAATAAAAATAATTACGAACGTGTAATATTTTTGACAATTTTTGTTATCAATAGGCTTTTTCTGTATTACCTTAAAATAATATTATTTTTTCATCTATATTATTATTTTTCTATCTCCCCACCGAGGCGAGTCGGAAATGACGAAGGTGTCGGAACTCGGAAATCAGCCTAAATTTTCGGAAATCGGATTTCAGACCCACCTTTGCTCCCCAGCCCCATTTCTATCCCTTTTTTATTTTCTTATATCTCCATTCAATTCTCCATCACTTTATCCCCATCCCCATTTTATTCTCTCAACTCTTACTGAAAGATCTGCATCTTGCTCACAACCAATTGGGCAAGCAATTCGAGCTTTAAATTTAAATATTTAATTAATTTTTATTAAACTAACTTTTTGAATTTCTCGCCAATAAATTCCAATCTGTTTGGGGCATTGGCTCTCTCCGGCATTTATAACGATTAGGATCTCTCTTTACTTTAGCATTTGGAGCTATTAAAATACAATCACCTTCACGGCTACTACAATCCAGAGTTCTCTCTTCTGTTTTTTAAAATTTATATACTTAATTTATTTTTTTAATTTTACAAACCCCATCTTGGGAATTGTCCATTTATTAATAATGCTTTTAATATTAATATTGTTGCAAAAAAATTAAATATTATTAATTTCATTCTAAAAATTTCTTTAAAAATTATTTTTTAATTTTAACAGAAGGATTTTTATTTTTTTAATATTATAAAGCCATTTAAAATTTCTTTTAATAATTACATAAATGATTTAAAAGAAATGATTAACTAACTAACGAATAATTTTTTGAAGATCCATTTTATATACCCACAATAATTATTAATTTTAAAATCTTGTTTCCAAGGAACATGAAAAGCATTCGCAAAATATAAAATTATTTTTTTGTTATTATCCATACTTCTAATCTTTATTTATTATCTTTTTATTTCCTCGATTAATATCTTTTTTTATTTTTTATTTAAAAATAAATATAAATTAATTTTTATTTTTTTCCTTTTTAGCGTTTGGAATCTGATGATCGAGAGACAAATTCAAATAGAACAGATTTTTCTTCGTCTCAATTTGATCATCAAATTTATTTTGCCCACCGTCCAGGTCCTGTTTATACAATTACTGAAAGTCCTGCCGAGGCAGAAGGTCCGGGTGATCGTGAAGGAATATATCATGCAGAGAGGATAGAAAGGAAGCCTTTACATTCTGATGTTTTGCCAACTTTAATTTCGCCTGAAATGGCAGCTGACAGTGCCAGAAGGCGTTCTCGGTGAGATTTTATTTTATACGAAATATTCAAAAATATTTTATCGCTTAAATCAAAAGTATGATGCTTATTTGTTTTCAAAAAGATAATTCCAAACAATTTAACTTTTTAATAGTTTTATTTTTTATTTTTCAGTTCAAAATCCAAATCTTCAGAACAACAAATACCAATAATAACTCCAATCCGAACTGCCCCACAACCCCCATCAACTACACAAAATGAAATAAAAGATTTCGAAAAGGAAAATATTCCTTCTTCTGTTCCCCATTTAATTGAAAATAAAGATCAGTCTGAATTAAATAATAATTTAATTGAAGAAATAAAATTGGTAGAGACTAGTGAAAATGTTGAATTAGTAGAGGATAATGCTCCTCCTCAATCACCTAGGTAATTAATTTAAATAAACATTTCTCAAAATTTATTTTATTAAAAGGCTTAAACGTTCACCAGCAATGAATTTAACAACTTTCACTAGTGACACTACTTCTGCTACAACTTTCTCTATGCCCTCCTCTTCTTCTGTTGAAGATAAAAGGATTGTGACGGTGGGTGATTTTTTAAAGTGTGTGTGTGGATTCTTGTTTTGTGATTGTCTAAATAAAATTAATATTTCGTGTAGTATATTTTTTAGACTTTTTAAAATTTTCTTAGAATTTTCTCAAGACATTCTACTATATTTTTATTGAATTAAATATTTTCTTTAAGTTTGAACTTTTTAAATTTTTCTTTTCCTTATTTCACTTAATTTTATAATAATAATGTTTTAATTAATGATTAAATGTATTATAATCGAGTTGCGAGATTAAACTTAATTAATTTCTAAAATTATCAGAATTAAAAAGTTTTTCTTTCAATGTTATTTTTTTATTTATCTCTATAATTTTTTATTTTATAATTGACTATTTAAATTTTAATTCCCTTAAACTCCAATTTATTTTAAAAATATATTATATAATTACTATTTTTCTAACATTATTTTACTCATTTTTCTAGTATTTCTTTATTTAGAGATTTATCTTATTCTAAAAATATATTTTTAACAAAAATTCTCTCAATTTATTTATACTTTTTTTCATTTCAACTTCTCCACCCTCACAAATATATTCTTTTCACTCGCCTCACTTCCTTCATTTACAGATGCCAACTCTTCACGCCAATACCGGAAACATTGCCCCAGGCAATGAAAGCAGGGTTTTTTAGTTATTTTCTTTATGTTAGTCTAGGCCATTTATGTCCTTTTTCTGTCTATATTTGCAAGCATTTTAGAGTATTTTAGTGATTATTAAGCAAAAATAGCTTTTATTAGACTCTAAATTTTTAGCAAATCCCGCTGCGGCAATCCTTCTCTCATCTCTCCCTCCACTCAATCAAACACGCACGCCAAAGTATACTCTCGTAGGCAATCCAATACTTAGCAGTACTTTATATATTTTTCAGTTCATTTCTCATTTTTCTCGTCAATGCCAAAAAAGGGGGAAGAGAGGGGAGGTGTAAAACCAAATAGAGCTACTACAAACATTCCTCATTTTTATTTTGCTTTTCCTTTGTCTTCTTTTTATTTTTTTTCTTGCTTTTACTTTTACTTTAATGTAGAAATAAAAAGCCGATAAAAATATTTTTTTAGTAATAAAGGAATTCCATTAAATATTGAAGGTCTAACAATAAATTTTTATTTTATCGTTCATTTTAAATGCTAAAATATTTCATCAATATTTTTTAAAATACATTATTTATTTTTCTATTTTAGAAAATTATTTTAAATTCTCTCCATTATTTGGAGAACAAATTATTAATTCTATACATATTATCGAGATTATTTTTTAAATGGATTATTTTATTGTTGCACTTACAGTCAACAGCTTAAACAAAAAAAAATATTAAATAATAGTAAGATTCAATTTAAAATTTCTCTTAATGAATTTTTCTCGCAACTCGGTTTTCCCGTTAAAGTAAATCTTTGTAGTTTACATTATAATATTTAATCGAAATGGAAATCATTTTTTCTCATTAAATTAGATTAGTAATACTTTCTGGTTATAATTTAGTTAAATATCCACATAAATTATCCTCGAATCTTATAGGATGATGCAAGTGTCCAACCTCTTAGCACTACAATCACCACTGCCATTTATTCAAAACCAGAACTACCACCAACAACAACTGGTATTACTTCAACAACTTCAATTTCAAATAATTTTACTGCTCAACAATTCCAATATCCACCTTTACCGGTTGTTTGTGCTGAGATGGGCCGTCGAAGATTACCTTCATTGCCATCTTCGGCTGTCCAACAACAAATTCTTCAACAAAATTATTTTCAAGGCCTTACATTTGCTTCAACCTCTGCACAACAAAGACAACAACCAATTATCCCAAGTCTTTCTTATCAAGCGCCTCAAACATCATCCTCTGCCATTTTCGATGGAATATCCCAAGACAATTTAAATCTTATTAACCGTCGTCATTCTTCTTTCATAACAACACCTAGCACATCCACACCTCATCCAATAACCTACTATACTTCTTATGCGCCCGAAAAGTGCGATGCAGCTGTTGGTACAAATGGCCAAGAACCTGATTATTTTTCGGAAATTCAACAAAAGAAAGACGAAACACTTCTCATTGATCTTCAACAAAATCAACAAACTTTATTAAATAAATCCGCACAAATTTATGGAAGAAGTTATCCAGGAAGTACTTTGGACCATTTATCGTTAACAGCTTCAATCATTCCTGGAGCTACTTTTCGATCTCAAGACGAAGTATCTCCAAAATTTCAAAAGAAACAATCGAGTTATTCAAGATCATTAGGCTCTTTGTTAATGCAACCTCTAAATATTCCTACATCTTCTGCATCAACATCTCCTTCATCTTCCATTCTTAAATCTGTTAAACCTTTACTATCCTCTTCACTTTCATCATCTCCCTGGAAAAATACTGCAACAACGACAAAGGTTGCTCAAAAACAACAAAAAACTATTATCAACAATGCTGAACAACGAGCCACCCAAGAAACAATTTGCCAATTAATGTTTAAAAAAGAATTGAGAGAAGCATTGACGAAAAGACGCGAAGAATTAGATACTTGTGAGATTGAAGCTCGCCATAGACAATACCTTATTGACCGTTGGTTGCGAAATGGTGGTGATTTGTTACTTTCTTCTACTGGTGCATCTTCATTGCCTATTCGTCCATCTGAACTAGATTCAATACCAAACGTTGTAAAATGTTCTCTACCTAAAGATTTAATTGCTGGTGCTAGAGTTGTTCCTTCAACATTAAAAACACATCAAAAAACTGCCATTCCTCATTATGGTTTACCTTCAACATCAGAACAACATCAAAGGATAGGTATTGCTCATTCAGTTGCATGCCAAGCTAATGTTGAGGACTCACCTTCACTTCCAATTTTTTCAACTACTACATTACCTAATCAAACTCATAAGAAATTTCTTCCAAAAGATTATGGATCAAATACAAAACGAGAAGAAATTAATAAAAGATTACAACAACAAATGATAAAAAGACCAATTGATGCCAGAGATGCTTGTACCCAGACCGCTCTCTGTGCCGAAACCCAAACAGATCCATCTGTAGAAATTGATGATGCTGTTAATGGCTTATCTGGACAGGAACGGATGTGGACATCTGAGGAAAAACTTCGCCGGTATTCTAATTTTCTCTCTTTGTTCCTTGAATTTACAAAATACCCCCTTCTTTTGATTTCCTTATTTATTAGACAATTATTATTAAGGGTCTGGCCTCCACCCTACTCTGGTGCCCATAAACTACAACAACCAATGTCAGATGATCCCTCATCTCGGCGTTACTTATCTTCCACAAGTATTGACTTGTCTCAACAACGTTCTCACCCTTATCATCCTTGGCAACGATATAGAGAAAATAATAGGCTTGGCCGTTTCCATCTGACAGATTCCGACACCCAAAGCGAAAGAGGTCGGAAAGAACGTTGTGTACGTGCTGAGTTAGAACAACGAAGAAAACAATACTTCAATTCGCTAGGCGATCTACGTTACAACGATTTAACGACAACCAAACAAAGATACTGGCCTCAATATCAACAAGAATTTATACCTAAATTTCCTTCGCACCCGGCTTCTCAGCCTTTTCCTCAACAACAATTCCAACCTTCGTTTAACAGCACCAACTCTTTGCCTAGAGGCTGGCCAGAAAATGGAGGTCTTTTATCAATGCCTTCTTATCAGCGTCCCCTTCATGATCGTTCTCGATACACTTATGGTTCATTACCGAGAGATTATGAGCGACGATTGACTTCCTCATTTGCTCCAAAAGAACAACAACAATTGCAAAAACAATATTTACTACAACAACAACAACCGTCTTCAGTTTATGGTTCCTATTCTCTTCAAGATCTTGATAGTTCCAATAATTATCCTGGAGAGTTTTCTGACAGTTTTGGAAGAGAACAACTTTACGGCCAACGACCTGATAGTCAATTTGATGCTATGCAAAATATTGGAAGACAACAAAGACCTCCCTATTGGCAACCAAGTCGTTCACTAAACCAATTGAATCACTCGTTTGTTGATGATTTTCAAATGAGCGGTTTTCAAAGACCTCCAAAAAAACAAACAGATTTTCTTGATATTCAACCATCTACCAGTCAATTTATTGATGGAAACTTTTCACATATTCGAAAATCTCCAGCTCCAAACGAATTATTATCAGAATATGCCAACTTTTTGAATAATCGTTTCATTGAACAGCAACGACAACAGAGAATAGCTGATGAGAGGGAAAGAGAACGACAACAACCTTTACAACGACCTTTTGGTACTACTAAAATAATCAAAAATTGCATTTTTGTTATTGCAAAATCGTTATTAATTTCTGATTTTATAATACTAGTTTTTATTTCTGATATTTTTCCTTCGTTTCCCATTCTCTATATATAGAAAATCTCTTGATTTTGCATTAACAATAAATGGGATAGATTTTCACATAATAATGAAATTCTTCAAAAGGTGGCCAAGATTATGCTGGAATTCCCGGATATAGAGACAACCTACCTCCATATAATGACTATTTTGATGTTCAACGACAAATGCAATACTTCCCTGATACTCAACAACAATATCATCAACGTAAACCAAATTTATGGCAAATCCCTTCAGGATTTGCATATGATGATCAACAACAACAACCTTTTGTTTATAGCAGAAATGAGACTAATTATGGAGCAAGGCCTCCACCTACACCAGAATATGGAAATTTTGGTTGGCGAGAACAACCTTTTTCTTATCGCCAACCTTATGGAGTAGATAATAGTTACTATAGTGGATACCCTTCACATCAACAAGTACTGCAACCACAACAACAGCAGCAACAGTTTAGCACAAATTGGCTGAATAATGATTTAATGTCAAACAGAATAATGCCGCCAAATTATAGAATCCCACAAACTCAACAATATACCCAACAACAATTTCCATCTTCTTCACTTTCACAACCTTTTAATAAACACCATCAACAACATCAAAGTCGTAGTTTACCTCCAAGTATTTTAAGAAAAAGGCAACCTCCTTTGCGCAGTGCTGATGAAAGTTGGCCAAATGAATTATCAAATGAATGGCCACAAAATATTAGGGAAATTAATAAAATGACAACAGGTAGATAGCAGACAATTGATAAAATTAAAATTGATGGATTTTCTGAATTTAAAAGATATTAAATATAAGAGCTCATCCAAATTTATTCTTTAAAATTGAATAATAAATGTTCAAGTCTTTTCACATTTTCTTTATACATATAACCCGAGTAACAATATTTTTATTTTCATAAATCATTTTTAAAAATTTATTCACTTGTATTATTTTATCATTCATTAAATAAAATAAATTTTCTTGTATTTGAGATTTTTTAATTTAAATTTATGTGTTGATTTGAAAAGAATTGTACTTATTTTAAGAGATTTGATTGATTAAAATTGGTTTAAAAATATTAAGTTGATAAAAAAGATTAATTATTATTTTATAAAATTGACACAAATAAGAAGAATGATAAGCAAATTGTTTCTCTCATTTATCAGTCAGCTGCTGTTTACATGAAATAAAGTAAGTTTTGTTATAAATGCATATGCAGGAGAATCCCGCAAGTTCATCTCTCTAAATGTAGCTCTACTTGATAATCGGCTCAGGTGTGTTTTAGCCTACACCAGGATTGCACGATTAATTTATCTGTGTTTTTTAAATATTGTTAATTTTGATTTTTAATCTAATATTTATTTACACTTTTTTGACTGTTTTTTATGAGTGTTGAAATATCATTTTAATTTCTTTTTTGAATCGGCATTTTAAGACTACAAATATCTTCAAATAAATTTCTATTTCTTTTATCTGATCATGATATTTAAAAAAATATTTTTATTCCTCTTTTCTCTAATTTGGATGAGCTCTTATAAAATAACAAAATTAATATAAAATTATTTTTTTATAATTTTTTCTTTCAATTATTTTATTCTAAACAGAAAAAAATATTTTCCCTACAAATAAAAATAACAACAATTATTCTACACAAAAAATAACAAAACGTTCATCAAAAATTAAACGTTTATTATTAACTAGAAAATATAAATATGATAATGTTTTTAAAGGTAAAAATTATCTTTTAAAGATTAATTTTTAAATTTTTTAAAGATTTGGGTATTCGAGTCGTTGGGGGGAAAAGAATGCCAAATGGTGATTTGGGTGCTTTTATTAGTTCTGTTGACAAAAGTTGTGCTCAAGAAATGTTAGGGGAATTAGTTGAAGGAGATCAAGTTTGCTTCTGAAAAATAATTTTTCCAAAAAATTTATTTTAAAAGGTTCTTGAATGGAATGGTGTTTTATTAAGTGGAAAGACTTATGAAGAAGTTGAAAGAATTATTCAGGCGGGAACTGGAGAAATTGAAATGATTGTCTCTTGTAAAAATGGGCAAAAAAGGATTAATAATTGTGATGATTATTTAAATGGATGTGAAGAGAAGAAGGGAAGTGGGGGAAAAATAGGGAGAGATGTTAAAATTGCTTTTGCTAATTCTCGACTTAAAAATAAACAAGAATGTTAGTTATTCTTCTAATAAAATTTGTTAATATGATGATCCTTTTATTTAGTTGATTCTTCATGTTGGCATTCTCCCAATGAACCCCCACCCGTTCCTGCACACCAAAGCAGCAATAGCATTAGTGATGAGGAGGAGAATGAAAGGAAATCTAGTTTACCACAACAAAATTTAAATAATAAAGAATATTCGATTAATGATTTAAAAGAATATCCATTTAATACTAATGGAAAAGTATCAAATTTTTGATTAATTAATTAATTAAAAATAAATTTAGAGTGCCAGATTAAATGGTTCTCACGGTTATTTACAATTAGCACTTGCATATACTCCCCAAGAAGAATTACTTCAAGTTTATGTTTTGGCAGCTAGAGCTTTGCCTTGTAGAGAAGGGGGAATACCTCCAAATGCTTATGTTAAAATATATTTACTTCCAGGCAGAAAGTAAAATTAAAAAGAATTTTTTCCTTTAAATTAAAATATTTTTAAAAAGAGTTTCAAATAAACGCCGAACAAAATATCAACCAAAAAATTCAAATCCAATTTGGGATCAATTATTAGAATATTCAATTAGTGTAGACAGACTTGCTAGTCATTTCCTAGAGTTTACCGTTTATAATTATGATAGGGATAGAAGAAGCGAAAATCAGCCTTTAGGTCAATGTTTGGTTAGTCTTGGAGGTAGTTTTTAATTTTAAAAATTATTTTAAAAAGAAAATCCTTTTCTTTTTAGATACTTCAATTGTTTTTAGCGGCACTCCCCGCTGGTTTGCACTTCAACCCCTTTCATTTTCTTATTCTTCAACAAACGAAGAAATGACAGATTTTGATTTAATAAATAATCAACAACAAAATGAAAGATATTTAGATTATAATCCAAGTAGTTATTTATTAAAATTAAATTAATTAATTTAAATTTTAGTTGCTTTAGATATGTTAGATGGATATCCAGCAATTGCTTAGAAAAATTAAATAAAAATATAGGTATTTCTATTACAAATTTAGTTGAATTATTTAGAAAATAAAAATACTATATTTTGTATTTAATTTTAATTTGTTTTTAATTTAAAATATTTAAATAAAAACATATTTTTCACTAGGAATTTAATTCTGATTCATAATTTATACTAGAGGTCTGCAAAATTGTACTTCCGGGATCCCGAGTCGGGATTTTTTTCTTAACCGATGCCGGGACGGGGTCCCGAGGGATAAATCCCGGATCCCGAAAATCAAAAAAATCCGGGAGTTCGGGAACGGGATCCCGGAAAATCCCGTCGGGATCCCGTCCTGCGCCGACCTCTAATTTATTCATACATACATTATCTAAAATAAAAAATGAAAGTGGATTTTACCGTATCATTTAAATTTTAAAATATATTTTTAAATATTTAACAATTTTATTTTTTTGGCATTTTGTATTTTTATAAATCTTTATTTCCGTGCCCGCTCAACTCATCTAATACTTAACTCATCCACACGCCCAAAAACGCTCAACTCATCTAAACGGCTAAAATTCCTTAACTCATCCACACGGCCAAAAACGCTCAACTCATCCAATCCTCAACTCATCTAATGCTTAACTCATCCACATGCCCAAAAACGCTCAACTCATCCAATCCTCAACTCATCTAATGCTTAACTCATCTACACGGCCTAAAACGCTCAACTCATCCAATCCTTTGGATGAGTTGGAACGAGACTATTGAGTACCAGTCGTTTGAGTCCCTGGCCGTCTGAGTCCATGACCAGTTGAGTCTCTGGCCGTCTGAGTCTCTGGCCATCTGAGTCCATGACAAGTTGAGTCCCTGGCCGTTTGAGTCATGACCAGTTGAGTCTCTGGCCGTCTGAGTCTCTGGCCGTCTGAGTCCATGACAAGTTGAGTCCCTGGCCGTTTGAGTCCATGACCAGTTGAGTCTCTAGCCGGTTAAGTCCCTGGTCAGTTGAGTCCCGGCCGTTTGAGTGGTTGATTACCGCCGGTTGAGTCTTGGGCCGGTTGAGTCTTGGGCCGGTTGAGACTCAACTGACCAGGGACTCAACCGGCTAGGGACTCAACCGGCCGATATTTCAAGGATTGGATGAGTTGAGCGTTTTTGGGGGTGTGGATGAGTTAAGCATTAGATGAGTTGAGGATTGGATGAGTTGAGCGTTTTTGGGCATGTGGATGAGTTAAGCATTAGATGAGTTGAGGATTGGATGAGTTGAGCGTTTTTGGCCGTGTGGATGAGTTAAGTGTTAGATGAGTTAAGGATTGGATGAGTTGTAGGGTAGCCTTTATTTCTCTATTTTTTTAAGCATTCTATCTCATTCGAACTTTTTTGTTTTTAATTTTGTTAAAAATAATTTTATTTTTAAAGTCAATAAAAAAAATAAAAATGCCTTCTTTGAAAGAATATTTTATGCTTGATAGGCTTGGAAAATTCCGCGATACTTTAAAACAAGTTGGAGGGTTTAAGGCTGCTTTTAAGCAGATGTATTTGTAAGTTTTTAATATTTTTAAATTTTTAATGCTTATTTTAATTTTAAAGGACTGATGATTTGAAAAAAGGAAATTTCGTTGGAGAAGACCAATTTGGAAATAGATATTTTGAGGTTCTTAATTAGTTTTCTAATTTTTAAGGATTATTTTTAGAAATTTCTGAATTTTGGTTTTGGGTAATGTTCGAGCTGGGTCTGGACCAAGGCCTGGGTCTTTCCTGTACTCAGAGTTCAGGCTCAGTCATTTTTTGTTTTTTGACCTTCCTGTGTTTTTCCTAAGCTTGGGTTTTTCTTAGACTACAGGATCCGGCCAAGGTCAATAAATCAAACCTAGTACAAGCCCAGGCTTTTCTAAAATCTCGATCACTAGTTTAGGGATATCTTTTTTACATTTTTGTCTTTTATAATAACTTTAAACTTTTTAAGGACAATTCACAATTTATGCCTCGCAATCGTTGGGTAATTTATACAGAAAAGAAATGGTTGGAATATGATGGATCACAAATTCCTCCAGAATGGCATAGATGGATTCATCATATTTGTGTATTTTTTTAAAATTATTTAAAATTTTTTTAAAATTTAAATTTTAGGATAAACCACCAACTATTGAGAAATTATCTAATCCAAAATGGCAACTGGAACATCAGGAGAATTTAAGCGTTGAATTGTTTGTTTTTTAAATATTTTTTAATTAAAATAAAATTTCTAAAAATTCGGTCAGACCTCTAGTTTACTTATATTAAAAATTATATTATCAATTTTATATACGTTTTTTATGATTTGTTTGGCTATTAATGGGGAGCTGCCTAAGCGATATCCTCTTTTAGATACCTCGCATTTTTCGAATGACACCCACTATGCTTTGCCTGATTCGAATGGTCATATAAATGAAGATTTCCTATAAATTTAAGGTTCGACTGTATTTCTTAATCAAAAATCTTAATCTCCAAAAAAAGATTTTTTACTTTGAATTATTTATTTTATAAATAATTTATTCTATAAAAGTTAAAATTTTACAGAAGTAAGAAATATGTTCCCTATTCGACAACTCGGCCAAAGGTACAAGGATGGACAGGACCTGGTCGTAAAGATATTGGGGTTTGAAAAGATTTTAAATTATAGATTATAGAAAATAAAAATTTTTTGATTGTAATTAAATAGATTTTTTGAAAATAAATGTTTTTCTTTAAATTTTTTAAAATATCGAATCCTAATATGAGGAGTCTTTTTAGGTTTTTCTTTTCAAAAATTAATGATTTTAAAATTATTATTAAATATAATTGCGAAAAGATAATGCAAAATCTCCACTCTCCTCCCACGTTACTTACCTTTTTCAGGCAAAACAACATGAGAGGTGAAATATCTATACATACATAGATATTTGTCTAACTTATATTTTTCGATTTAACTAATAAATAAATTTAAATTTTATAAACAAACACAATAAATCTGACTTTAGTTTAATGTTAATATATTTTAATTTTTAATGGAATTGTAAATAAATAATATAAAATTAGAATTATTTTTATATTTTCATAAAATATTATTAATTTAAATGACTAATATTAAATGAGGGAGAAATAAAGTTGTTAAAAATATATAAAATAATCTTTAAATAAAGCTTTTAAAATTATTTAAACATTGTAAACAATTTAGCGCTAGCACCTTCCACCATTGAAACAGCTTGAGAAGCAGCTGAACTACTTAATCTATTAAAATATGTATAATTATTGTTTACTGGTTAATTAAAAAAACAAACAAAGCAGACTGCCCCAATTGATTTGTAAACCCTCCAAGTGCCCCCCTTCCAGGTCCAGAAGAGTGGTGGATTCGATTAGAAGATTCATTTAAAGCCGAATTTGTTTCTTCTAATTGAAGGCGACGTTGAACTGATTGATATATTTTACTATTTAATTGTTCTTCGTCTATTCCGTGTAATTCAAAATCTGAGTAAATTTTCTTAAAAAAATAAATTTTTATAAAGGATTTTCTAAATTTAAAAACTTTAAACATAAAGGAGAGACATGTTAATTGATAGGGAGATAATGATTGTTGGAGTCTTTCTGTTAACCATTCATTTAACATTCGCATTTGCCCGGCATACCACTCCTAAAAACATATTAAAATTAGAGACTGGACTTGGAGTTCGTACGACGGGCAGGATTCGAACCTGCAATCATCTTACAAGTTAACCTCTGAAACGGAGAAAAAAGTTGGAGAATTATCAAAAAAAAATTTTTGGAGTCTGAAAATCTAAAAATTTTCGTCTAAACATCCAACAATAGTCACCGAAATTTCGAATTCGGGATACACCTTTGACTATTTAGGTAAGTATATTAAACAATGAGAAAGTAAATTAATTTATCCAAAATTTATTTAATTTAAAATTAAAACATACCTGTAACAATCTATTAACCCAAACTTCATCAGCAACAACTTGTTGAATTTGTTCAGAAGATCCACGCATAAAATGTACATAAGATTGCCCCAAATGTGCAGATGAAGCACCCCCAGCAGAATTATTTTGATTTAAATTTTGTTGATTTAAGGGAAGTGAATGTTGTTGTGGTTGATTAGTTGGGGAAGAACCTTCTCCAACCAAATTTCTCATTTTATTAAATATTGTATTTGGTTTTGGGGCCATTGACAATAATGCACCAATTGGATTACCCTTAATTATTATTTTGAAACACCCATAAGAAAATCTCAATTTTCTCTCCTTAAATTACCTCATCATATCTAGCCAATCTTGAAAGAGTAAATTCAAGAATTGAAAGCAATTTCTCTTCAATTATTGTCCCCATATCTGCCAACATTGTATCAAGAGTATCATCTAATGCAAAAAGAGCATGTTCACCCCCATTTAATTTAGCAGCTCTAGCTTTAGAAGCAAAAACAACGTTAACCATAACACAAACTTCTGAGGGTAAAATCCAATCCAAAGATTTCTTTACTCTTTGCATAAATTGGTCGAAACATTGATAAGTGCTGGGAAAATGAGAAATATTAATTAGCTAGAAAATTCCTTTTAGACAAAACTTACCAACAAGCACAACGAGAAATCATTTCAGATGATAAACTTCTCATTCTTCCCTGTAACTCCATTGCAAATATTTCTGCTGGCCAATTCAAATCTTGAATAAAACCATGTAAGGCATCAAGTTTCCAATAAATATCTTCTGATGTTGAACAACCATCTCTTAATTTTTTTTTAATTTAATTAAAATATAAATAGGGTTTGAGATAAATGAAATAAGGCAATTATCCAGTAAATTAATTATTATTCCTCATTTATTGGGATTTGAAGGTTATTACTGCTAGAATAAATTAATATGTATAAACTCATTACTTTCTAACTTCCCATCTTTCTCTTTGAAAGTTTTTATCAATTGAAGAAGCAATACTATTCTCCATTAAATTAATATAATGTTTGACCATCGGCTCGAATTGTTCTACCAAATTTCTATGGAAAGGTCCCATTCTTAAGTTTGGATCTGTACATAAATAATCGTTGAGCAATTGAAAAAGGGGGAAAGCATCCCAAGAATCTGGTGGTTGCATTTTTAAAGCAGCATCCAAATCAACAGAATATAAAGTCCAAAATATTTCTGAATGGTCAACCAAAAGATCAGAGAACCAGGCAAAAGCCTAAAAAATTAAATTTAAATAAATTTTTTAAAAATAAAAAGGATTGTGGCAAATAAAAAAAGCAATGAGATAAGCAAAAAAGAAAAGCAAAAAAATAAGCAAAAAAGCAAAAATCCTTAAATTAATTTTTAAAACTTAACTCGCCAGCACCACGTAATTGCTGAAATGGAAAATATAGGGAAAAGAAATGTTTTGGAAAATTTTAAGAAATATATTGAAAGAAAATAAGAAAATTGCAGAAAATATATTAAAAATAGTTTAAATAATTTTATTAATTCTCGGCACACAATTTATTATTTGTATAGCAACTCGTTCATAAAATAACCCTTATTTAATATAAACTTCTCTATTACTTGGTACCAGGGATCGCACCGAGAGAAAACCAAATTCACGATTTTCGGGAATCATGTCGGAGCAATCCCTGTTTGGTACCAATAAGTTTCTTATAAATGGTTGTGCAAGTATGGATATAAAAAAGTATTAACAATTAATTCGAGTTAAAACGAGCTATACTAAAAAATTGCGTGCCGAATTTACGCATCCAGCATTTGAAACAATTTAATATAAAGCAAGAGGATAATTCAGAAAGTAGAAAATAAGTTAGGGATTTGATCAAAATAAGCTAAGATAAATTTACCTCTCCATGATGTTCTTCATTTTCTTTGAGCAAGTCTATACATAATTCAGTTATTCTAATCATATCTTCTATTCTTTGCTGTGGACTTATATCAACACCCATTCTTTCTAAATTCAAGGAATATAATTAATATTTAATTAAAATTTTACGTTCAATTTTAGCTTCATTACAAATTCTTGTATAATTAATTAATGCCGCTTCTTCCAAACATTTTTTAATTACTGAACGAACCTTTTAAAATAATTTAATTATTAAATTAAATTTTAATTATTTTACTTCTTCAGGGGGGACAGGAGAAACAACATCTTTCATTAAAACCCTTTCTAACAAAGAAAGTGTCCCTTTAAGTGCTCCTTCTGGCCTTCCAAAAGGAAAACAATAACTTTAAATTAAAAAAATATTTTTTTTAATAAAATTTTTATTACCGAAAATTGGTTATTTGTTTTTCTAATAAAACTTTTAAACGTTCTTTTACTTCTTGAAAGTGTTCTTTTTCTTCTAATGTAACTGTACCTACACCATCTGGTCTAGAAAATAATTTTAATTATTTTTAATTATTTGGGAGCAGGCCACCTTACCGCTAGCCCAACTTACCGCAGAGCTATAACTTCGTTCAGAATTGTCGGATCTGGGCCGCCCTGGTATGGTTCGATGCGCAACGACGAACTGAATCGAACCATACCAGTGCATCCCGGATCTGACCATTTTGAACGAAGTTATAGCTCTGCGGTAAGTTTGGCTCGCGGTATGTTGGGGTGTACACTAATTATTTGTTATTTAAATAAAAAAATTTTTCTAAGAAATTCCACCATTAATAATTAATTAAAAATTATTTTTTAATTAAATTTAGGAGAGAAATTTTTTTTGTTTTTCCCAGTTAAACTTCTAGTACCGAGTTAATTAACCTTTACTTTCTAAAATTCTAATTCTTTGAAAAAAAGTCTTAAACTTTTATTTCATATAAGCCACAAATTTGACTTAATTTTCAATTAAAAATTAAATAATTTTCTTTACCTATTTCCATGTACATGAGAAGCACAAAAAGCAAAAGAATAATGTATTAAAGTTGGTTCTATTAAATGCCCATCATCTGCTTTATTTAATAAATCATTTAACAGAGACACATGTCTATGACATCCTCTAACCATATATCTAGCACAATACTCGTCTAATACAAAAACTTGACCGGGAGAAAACCAACCCTTTAATTTTTGTAAAAAATAAATTTTAAAAATTAATTTTCTAACCAAAGAACAGATTGGGTCATTTAATCTATAATCTAAGGCCATACTCTGCAATTTAGCAAATAAATGGTCATGAGCCATTTGAACTGGATCTGCTTGGATTAATTCATCCAAACCTTTAAATTATTTTATTATTTTTAATTGAGAATAATTTAGGGAAAAATTTTTTTTGTTCAACATTCCCTAAAATAAATCTAAAATATTTCCTCTAAAAGCATATATTTTTTAAACTTTTTCACAAAATTATTATCTACAAATAGATCCCTTAAATTCCTTTATGTGTATCATTTTCCCCTTGCTTTTAGACCAAAAATAACTTGTAATGCCTAAACTCTTATATTCACCATGTTTTGAAGCTTTATCTTGTAGTCCTTGTGTTTTTGAGGCTAATACAGATTGCTTTGGAGGCACAGGTTTATAAGCTTGTCCCGTTGCGCGGTACAAAGCTTGTACCCAAAGATTTCTTTCATTTTCATCATCCGTTGCAAATTTTAATTCGTCTCCTTCTCTGATAGCACTGAAAAATTAAAAGGAAAAATACAGTTGAAGTTTAATAATTAAATTTAAAAACTAACGTAAAGAAATATTTCCCGCCTTGATTGTAAAGCTCTAAAGATTACAATGAATTTATTTTAAAAATAAGTAAAAATTTATTAATTTACCAGGATCTGGTTCAGGTACATAATCTATAGTAAAGCCATCTAATTGCACAAATTCTGTAGGTTCAGACTTTTTCTCACGGTAACTGCACATAGCGAAGGCATATTGTGATACCTAATTTAATTAATTGAATTTATTTTAATAAGTTAAAAAATATTAGAGACAAATACATATTACAACAGATAATCTTAAAAATAATTTTAGGTAACTCCGTTACTTCCAAACATTTTATTTTTCAGCTTTTATTCCTTTCCCCTTCAAAAATTTACAAATAGGGCATATCATAATTGTGGGATTTATCTAATTTTTACTTCCTTAATTTCAATTTTTAGATTTAATAATTAAAATATAAATTTCTAAATAAATAATAATTTAATACTTGAACAAGGCAATAAAACCGTCTTTTCCATTTTTTCCAAGCTACTCTCCCAATTCCATAACAATATCCACAAGTTTTTAAATTTGGAGGTTTTTCAACACGAATTGCAATTCTAATTCTTTAAATTAAAATTTTCTTAGAAAAAATTTTCCTTTTTCCAAAATTTTTACCCCAAATTTTTATCGGAACTATTTTTTGGAACAGTCATTTTATACCATTCAGGTTGTCTAGAGCAATTAGGTGTTGGCTGTATTACAACTTTTCCAAGTTCTCTTTAAAAAATAATTATGTTAAATAATTTATTTTTTCAAAAACTTGTCTTCAAAGGCTACAATGTTTTTTACTTCGGCATATAATTTAACTTTAATTGTTGGTAACGGATGTTTTGTACAAAAATCTCCTTGAGTATCCCACCTTTAAAAAAATAATTTCATAAATTATTTATGAAAATTTTTCTACGAAGGTTTAGAAGCTTCGGCATGGTCTGTTTGAAGTTTTGGACATCCATCAACTTCCATTGTACAATAAACTACTCGATTTGGTTGTAAAGATTTAAGTCCTTGAACTTCCATTACAACAACCTTTTTAAATAATTTTCTTAATTTAAATTTATATCAAATACCTCCATATTAAATGAAAGGACTACATCGTTTTTACTTAAATGAACTTCATCATCACCCTCTCCATTTTTATTAAGACTCATTGCACTTGTTCTTCTTTTTAAACTAAAAAAAGGGGGGAATATTCTTGTTATTTTATTAAAATCCAGACTTTTTTTTAATTGTTTTTAAAAATTTGGGAGGGGGTGAAACTTTTACAATTACTTTTTCTTTATACATATTTTCCTAAATAATTTTCAAAAAAATGTTCTTTATTGAAAAAAATGTTTGCTATTTATAACAATTTCTAAATGTTTGTTTGTTTTATTTCTTAATTTTGTTAGTAAAATAATTTTAAAAGAAAAAATAAGGATAAAAAAACAACTTTTTCACACAAATTCTTTCTAATTTTTAATTTAAACAAATTTAGAATTTAAAAAAGAATTTAAAAAACAAATAAAAATGTTGGGGGACCTGTTGAAGAGAGAAAGATCCTCAATGCTGCGAGACCTGCAACGAAACAATTGACAAAATTGATAAAAAAATTTAAACATAGGAGAGAACAGTTAGAAAAAATTTAATAATTAAAAATAAAGGAATTTAAAACATCAGAAAAATATTTGGAAAATAAGGAGAGAAAAATTGGATTTACAAACAAAAAATTTAAATTTCTCTGATGAAAGGTGTATTGTTAAAATCTTTTGTTTCAAATTTATTTCCAATAACTTATTAATTTAAAATTTGTTTTAAACTCTGCTTTGTTAAATTTAAAATACCCTCTGGTTTAAGACATGCGTTTCATTGGAATCTAAAGATGACCTATGACCTATGAAATGCCTAATTATTAATACACTAATCATTACAATTACAAAAAATTTTACAACATTTATTTGAAAAAATATGAGATTATTGCTCTGATATTTACTTTCATTATTTGGACGCATAAATTCTCATAGGTCGCATAGATCGTTTGAGACACTTGTCTTAAACCAGAACCAAAAATTAAAAATTACCTAGAACTTTTATTCTTTTCCTTTTTCCTCCCCAAAGTTTGCCTTGGTGCTACAGGCACAGACTCTAGATTTGAGATGAGCAAATTAATAGACTGGCGAACTTCGTCAATAAAAAGTGTATCCATATCTTTTACGACGAATTTAGGCATTACCCGTTTTAACTTTAAAAATTGAAAATAAATTTATATTTTACGGGAAATACCCTTGGAATATCCCTCAAAGTTTCTTCTCTCGTTGCTACCTCCCTTCGAATGGCCGCAGCCTGTTCATCAGGATTATCCAATTGAAGGGCGTTATCTTTAATTTATTTTCTAGATAAAAAACAAAAAATAAAAACTTACAAATAATTTGATGCTCAAATTTCTTAACCTCTAAACAAATTTAAATTATTTAATTAAATTTCTAAATAAATGTTTTACTTAAAATTTGCTGAAACATATCATAAAGTTGCTCTTTACTCATTATAACGTCTGCAATAACTTGATTTGCCCCTCTCAATCTACCTCTAAAAATTATTTAAATTATTTTTAAAAAGAATAATTTATTTTTAACCTATTTTGTTTTGTCTGTACAGTATCATCATCACATTTCATTATTAAATCAAATTTGGCCATCCAAGAAGCCAAAACCTTTAATTAATTAATTTTAACATTATTGTTACCTTAGAGGGAAATTCTAAAATATTATTAAATAACCAAACTGTATCTTTACTCAATCCATCAATTTCAGGCAAAGATCTAATCCTTCTTTCAACATTACATCTAAAAACTTCTCTAAAATCATTTGCGGCAAATCCCCCAGCTTGGACTACTTTAGCAACTCTTTCCGATTTTAGAAAGACTTCAAAATAAGATTCAATAGCTTTAGTAAATGCTTCGTCTGCTGGAATTTGTATATCTCCTTTTAAGAAGCCGTTAAAACGATCTTTTATTCTTGACAATTCTGATTTTGTTATCTAAAAATAAATTTTAATTAAAGTTTCTCTAGATTATCAATAATTTATTAAAAACACAGACTTTAAGTCTTCTTCTAGCCATATCCGTAGGTTGTTTAGCATTAAAGTGATAAGCTATACATTTAGCTACAAATACATAAAGTTGAAGGCATCTTAATTTTAATAATAATTTTAAATTTTATTTAAAAAATCTTTTTTAACCTTTTCCTGTCTTCCTCCTCTTCCTCAGCTTTAAGCCTTTCCTCTTCTTCTTTAGTAAGCATTCCACTACCTCCATTTAAAATATGTGGATCATCTTCCCCTTCTCCCAAATCCTCTTCATCCGTAAACAAATCTTGAGAACTTTGATGTCCAAATGCTGGAGAATAAGCTGAATCAGGCCCACCACCGCCACCACCAAAACCCTCTCTCCCACCAAGTACAGACCTTCCATGTGTTGAACGAAAACTTCCTTGCTTTAAAAATTATTTTTATTAAAATCATAATTTCTAACGAGAAACCTTTCTAGGAGTTGTGGGTCTACCCAAAGCACTTACTCCGCCTGCTCTAAAAGAACCTTTGGGTTGTGGAGTTGAACCTCCAGTCGTTCTTCTCCCAACATTTGAGCTTTCACTTCTTCTAATACTTGTTGCAAAAGAAGATTGGTCTGAGGAGGCTGGGGATTCTGTTCTAAATGCCGGACTAGCTGTACGAAGGCCACCAGAATATTGCTGTTGTTGTTGGTTAATAAAATGGTTTTGTTGGATTGTACGAAATTGACCGCCAACTCCTGATGTGATCTAATAATATTTTAATGAGTAAAAGCTATAAAGTATTGTATTAAACAATGGAGTAATATTTTAAGTATAACTCCTCATTAAGTAATGATGGTGGAATGAATTGAGAGAAGGGTTAACCATACTACTTGAATACAAGTTCTGGCATTTCTCTCAATAAATATACTAAAGTGAGTTAAATATAAAATCAAACTTCAGAAGCATTATCATTAGCAACAAAATCGTCTTCCTCTTCGCTACTTGATGATGCCCCAAGCATCCGACGTTTTTAAAAATTTAAGTAAAATTGTATATCTTTCTTCTTTAACTTATTTTTAATAAATAATATTTTAATAATGCCAATAAATTTATATAGTAATAAATATTTATATTTATTTATTATATAATAATTTCTTTTTATTTTATTATTAATTATATATAAAATATATCCAAGTTGGACGTATTTAGAAAATAAATTATATTAACAAAAAATTAAGTAAAAGCTTTTAAATTCTGAAAATAGTAACAAATAAATATTTATTTATAGTAATAAAATTAAGTTTGGAAATTAAGCAAAAATAAGAATACGAAGGAAGGTGTGTCTAAATTAATTATTATTTAATTTCCAGTCATTAATTAGAATATTTTATATACATAAATTGAATTGTGTTAAAGAGAGGCAAACTTTTAATAACTACCCTGGGTTTCGACCTTCCGTTGGAGGAAGTAATTAATCGGGGGAGGGCAATTAACGAGGGGCAATTTTTGTTTCAACTGGAAGGGGTAATTAATAGAAATGGGGTAACTATTTAAAGGGGGAGGGGTCAATTAATACAGGTTATACGGTAAATTACAAAATATATTTTAAAAAGTTAAAATTTAATTTTTAAATCAAAAAAGAATTGGACAAAACAATTTAAAATTAAAGTTTTAAAAAATTTATTTAAATTAACTTGCAAAAAAAAAGAACACGTTGCCTTTTTTCTTTTGTTCGCCATGACAAACGCCGAAGGGTGATGGCTGTCGGAAATTGTAAAAACTACTAAAAACGGCATGGAAAAATAAAAAAAAGAGAAAGCAAGGCTTAGACTTTAGCGAAGAAGTAAAAGACAAAAAATTCAATATTTCGAGACAGTCTCGAGGGCAGAATATTTTAGAGAGGGCTGGTTGGAAAGATAAAAGAAATAAGCATATCCATTGAAAAATAAATAAGAGGGAAAAAATTTACAGACAAAAAATGGAAAATTTGTGAACAAATTGTTGGTTGGTATATTAATAATGAGTGAAATATGAGTTGGATAAATAAATAAATATTAAAGTTTTTATACATAAGTATAAATGTTGAAATATTCTCTTTAATTCTATAAATATACAGTCAATACCTTGTTTCTTTTTTTAATTAGTTAGCTTGTTAGCAAGGAAATTCTCAAAAGCAATCGGTACTTTTCCGTTATCCCTACCCCCTTCTTGCGGACTTTTTTGCGGACTGCCTTACTACTGAAAAATTGAAGGAGGAAGGAGACTGACCATTCTTTACATAAGGCAGTCCGCAAAAAAGTCCGCAAGAAGGGGGTATGGATAACGGAAAAGTACTACATATATAATCAAATAAAATGATTATAGAATTGTTAATTCCACAAAGAATTGCCTCATACATACATTGAGAGAAACTGTTAGTTTTTAGAAAAAAAATCAAAAAATATTCCAAAGAAGCTTTAAATTTTGTTTAAAAAATATTTCTTTTCTCCAAATTTTAAATAAATTTATTCAAATAAATTCCCTTTCTATACCAAGTTTGTCAATAGAGAATTGTGTAATATTTAAAGACGTCTATAGAAGAAGATATAGAAAAAGTACTATTTTTTCCCTCCAAAAAAATTTTTTTCTCCCGTTCCCTCCACAAAAATATTCCAATAAAAAATGAATGAGTAAAATGAATTAAGCAAAAATGTGAATATAAAAATGAAAGGAAGTGAATTGAGGTAGAAAATAAAAACAAATAAAAAAAATACATAAAACAAGTAAATAATTATTAATATTAAAAGAAAAATTTATTTTTTTTTTGGAAATTCTCAAATATTTTTTTAAAAATTTTTCATAAAAAATAAATAAACTGTTGAATTGTTTTATATTAAAGATAAGAAATTTAAAAAAAAAGATAAGAAAATTAGAATTTACTTGGGACAAATATCTAAAAAAACAGCCTGAATTGATATTCTATTAAAACAATTAATACATAAATTTATTTGTAATAAAAAGGCTTGACGTGAACACCAGAGGTGGGTCGGAACAGTCAGAGGTATCGGAAATCGGAACTTCTGTTGAACACTAATTAAATTGCCATTATTAGTGTTTTTCGATAATTGAAATCGATAATATCGAAAAAAATCTCGCAAATTTATCATTGAGGAATGTACTAAATCAGATCAGAAACAGGAAATACTAGGTTTTATTCTTTATTTAGAAAAAAAACTATGGCATTTTATATTGGAAAAGTATATTTTATTGTAAATTAAAAATTTAAATATTTTTTATCAAGATAAAATTAAAAAAATAAAATATAAGTATAAATTTAAAGTTTATTTTAAAGTGTATGAAATTCGAGAATAATTTTTAAAGGAAAATTTTTAAAAAGGAAAAGAGCAATTTTAATACTTTAAAATGAGTGAATAAAAATTTTAAAATAAATTTTATAAAAATACATATTAAATAATCATTTTATAGGAAAAAAAGAGAAAGAAAATTCTTTTAATTTTTGACTTTATTTTTATTTTAAAATCTCCCTCTTGGGAAATTACTCTCTACCCTTTAATTAATATTTCGTTATAAAAGTATATTTCTCTTAAAAATAAATAAATAAAAATATTTTTTTGATAAAAATTAAATGTTTAATTATCAAAAAGGTTAAAAATAAATTATTCAAAAATTTTTTGAAATAAAAACATGTAAGAAGATACAAAATTAAATAGTAGTGGAAGAGTTGCCATAGAAATTTAAAAAAACTTTGTCATAAATTTAAAAGTTTCAGAAAGAAAAAAAAAGATTTTTTAAAAAATAAATATTCAAAAAAAAACTAATTTAAATTTATTTTCATCTAAAAATTATTTAAAATAAAAAAATAAATGACGAACGTTTTCCTTCTCTAGGGAACACTTTGGTGGTCTCGATTTCTTTTTAAAAATTATTCTAAACCAGCATTTCCTTAAAAATCTCAACGCGTCATTTTTGGGGATTTTTAAAGAAAAATAGTAAATCTGTCATTTATTTCTTTTTGTTTCTCTCCTTTCCTTTAATGGCTGGCAGTAGTTTTAAATAAATAAATAAAATCTACTACTATTTACTTCATTCAATACAAATACTCTAAATATGTGCAAAAGGAAAGGAGGCCACAAAGCTTTGGCACAAATGGAGGAATCGATAAAAGGGGAATTGGCAAAGTGCGAATTTTATTAAATAAAAAGAATTGAGGAAAATTTATAAAATTAAAATAAATTATGTAGTTAAATAATTTATTTGGAGAGGGAGCATTTCTTTAAAAAATCTCAATTTCTGATTGTGTGCTATATTAGAGGAATAACGCTGGTCTAATTTATAAGTCCTGGAAAAATACATATTTTATACTATAGAGGTGTATCTCAAACTGAGTTACTTTAAAACGAGTGTTTTCTGATAAGAAAATCTCTCGACTAACAAACATATTTAGTAAATCTTTGCAATATTTTTTTCAAAAACAATAAGAAACGTAAGTTGAAATAAAAAAAAAGTTTGGCAACTTCTGATTATTCAATTTTTATATTTTTTAGAAACTCTACCAAAATCTCCAAATTAAATTAAGGGAGGGGAGGGGGTTTAACTCTTTTAATTTTTCTTATTTTCTTAATTTTTCTAATTCTTTTCTGAATTAAAAAAGATATATGTACCTTCATGTGAGAAATTATTCAAATATTTTTATTTATTATTTTATTTATATATATACAAACATGTACCATTACACACTAATTATCTAAACATTATTTATCTATTTACTTATTATTATCTATTTACTTATTATCTTTATATTCATTTCGAATCTTCTTCCGAAGGCCCATCCCGTTCAACATCCGTTCCACGTTCACTAAAATAAAAAGTTTTCTCAAAAAAAAACAAATATGTAACTACCTGTCTGTTGTAGCTGCCGAATCATTTAAATCACTTTCATAATCACCCCTTTTAATTTTTGCTTCGTATGTTTTGAACCACTTGGTACGAGGACTGTCTTTGACTGGCCTTTCGAATTCATCAACAACATATTCCTTTAAAATTAAAAATTATTTCTCCAAATTTTCTCACTTTCTCAACCCCCCCCCCTCAATTTAACAATTTAATAAACACCAACAATTTCACTGCCAACTTCATAAACAGCACACAATTTCCTGGTGTAGTTAATTCTTACATCATTAAGATCTGCAGGCAATACTTGATTATCCGTTGGAGTTTCTGGAATCTTTAAACAAAACTTTAAAGGCTACTTTCAAAAAAACTACCTTCATCTGTTTTTGAATTATTATCGCTCCTTTTCCTTTAAAGTTTCTTGGTTTAAAAAACGGATATTTGGGATCATAATCAACAATATCAAATTGTTGTTGTTTAACCCGTTTTTTAGTCACTTTAGAGAAAAGACGACAAATACAGGAACATAATCCACAACAATAACACAACCACAAAACTAAGACAAGAACAATTACTCCCACAACACTGCCGCTAATAATGATCATTTTTGTCGTTGGATCCATTTCACCTTTATCTGGATTTTCATCTACGAAGTTTCCCTGTTTCTGAAGAGAAATTATTAAAATCTTTTTGATATTTGAAAATGATTAAAGGAAAAATAAAAAAAATCTTTCTAATCAACATTTCTAATTCTCAATTTATCATTCTCAATTAAACTTACACCAAAAAAGTGGAGGATGGAGGAGGAAGACTAAATGGAGGAAAGGACCAAAACTATTTTTAATATTTTGTCAAAAACCAAATTAAACTGCTTTACCGTGGTGCCCGTTTCATTAATTGCGGCCGAAGTTGTTGAAGTTTCATTCTTTGTCATTGTGGTCGTCTTTGTTGTAGTTGTAGTCTCTGAGACATTCTTTGTAGTGTTTGTCATTTCCTGTGTTGTTGAATTCCCCGTGGACGTTGTTGTGGTAATTGCTGTTGAATCAGAATTGGCAGCAACAGAAGATGATGTTTCTGTCTCCTTATTGTTATCGTTCTCATTATTTGAATCGTCTTGATTTTGCTCAATTTGAGGATCCCAAATACTTTTAAAGAAAAATTAAAATTAATTTTTAAAAAGTTGAGAGAATAATTTACTTATCCGCAACATCATTATAGTCTTCCTGTTGAGTTGTAACACAAAGAAAAGTCCCGCTGAAGGCGCCAAACAAGAGAAGGAATGAAACAAATGTTTTCAGTTTCATAATCCTTTTGTGTTGTTATGAAAAGGGAGTTGACAATGATCTAAAACGTAAAAGAAGTTTAATTAAAATTATGGAACTTACTTGAATAATAATTAGAGGAGATAAAAGTTTAAAGTTTTAAGTAGGTTTTTATAGTAAATTAATTTAATATTCACATAAATTATTTATGAAGAGCTGACTGACAATGAGTCTTCAACTTATAATTTAACTGTCAGCAGGATAGCAGGAATCTGATCGGGAAATTTGTACTAAATACCTTGTGATTTCCTACATTATCTTTGTAAATGTATCCATTTGTTAAAAGAAAAAAGTTTTTTCATTGCCATATACCTATACTCTATTAATTAATCTCCCTCAAATAATCACCCCGCCTCTATTAGTTACCCCCTCAGCAGGCGAAAGTTTGACAAAACAATTATCCCTTTGAAAATAGTTTTATTAACTTTCATAAAATAACCTCTATTAATTACCCAGACTTTATTAATTACTCCCTCCATAGAGAGGTTGAAATATAAGTACCCAGATTAATTAATAGAGATCCATTTGTTAAAAGAAAGAAAGAAAAAAGTTTACGATATTTGAGGAAATTAGGAGGAAATTATTAAATTAAACAATAAAACTTAAGTGTAAATATTTGTTAAATTTACTATATTTTTGGTAATTTTTGAAAATTTATTTATGTATATATAGATTTGAAAATGAACATTAAAAAATTAATTATTTATTTTTTAAATTTAAATTTTCTAAGATAATTATTTTCTCCTTCTTTTCTTTCTATCATCTAACCATTGAAATTCCCTATCTACATTTTTTCCATTTATGTTAATAATCCCTCGAGGCACTCCCGGCGGTTGTGCTCTGTGTGATCCAACAAATTGTGGAATTAATTGTCCAGTATCTGAATTTCTAATTTCCACAGCTTGTTGTTGCTCCATTTCTATAGCATCTTCCATAAATCTTTAATAATAAATTTTAAACATTTTTTTCCCAAAAGAATTCTTTTACCCTCCACTTCGTTGAATGACTGGTTGAATTGGAATAATTGATGTCCCATTTGATTTTTGTGAATTTGGAACAGAACCAAAAACAACAGAAAGAACTATTCCAACAGATATACACAAAATAACCATGCACCAAACACCCAAAATGCAACTTTAAAAAAATTCTATTTTCTAAAAATTAATTTTAAAAAAACCAACCATCTATAATGCCGTGAAAGAAAATGTGCAAAACGTAAACGAAATTTTGTTGTAATTACAGGCAATGAATAACGATAAATTGATACTTTATCAACTGATAAATGCCGCCATTTAACACGCCGAATGTGTTCACTTTTGAAGTGGTTTTGAAGGAAAGTTAGCGATAATATATTTGTCTAAATAAAAAAAGAATAATTGTTGGTATCGGTGACTGGTTGAGTCATGTTTGAGGGACACTTCTTGTAGCTAGGATTTGGACAGACAAAGATTTGAACTCGTATTACGGGGCTAAAAATAAGGATGGTACTAAGTAAAAAGGATGATAATATGGAGGAAAATCTATAATTACTTTAATATTTCCCCCAAAGAACTGGATGATAGGATTGGTGCTATATGTAGTCTGGGTATTATATTAAAACACAAGTATAAAATTTAGTTTCCCCTAAGCTCTTTAAATAATTATTAAAGCAATTCCTACCTTCATATTAACATCATCACGTACCCATAAATAACATTCCCCGTCATCTGGAGATTCTTTTTCCAAAAATTTTCTTATAGATTCACGACATTTCTCACTCAGAGATTGAATAAATTGGTCAGCCTAAATTACCATAATTTTATTCAATACCGATTTTTACTTTAATTTCAGATAATTACCCCCTCTAATAAAAGATTAAAACAGTAATTATCCAGGGTAATTATTTGAGTAAATAAAGTATTTTTCTCCTGCCTGTGCTCCTTGCGGTCTATAACAATAAACAGGCAAAATTCGTTGATCGGGCTGTCGAAGCAAAAATAGTGCCATTGGTTGATTATTAATACCATTATTATGTTTTCGAGTATATATTCCTCCATTAGAATTTCCATTTTGTTTCCCCCTATAAGGAGTTGGAGATGTTGAAGGAAAGGGGGAAGAGGATTGTGAAGACGGAGATAATAAAATAATATTTCTTTCCTCTACTCCATTCTGTAATGGTAAGGAAGATGGATTTAATAAAGAAGATGATGACAATTGAGATAATGCACTATTATTATTGTTGTTATTTAATTTGTTTCCACCATTCATTAAATTGTTATCTAATTTTAAATTATTTTTATCTGTTTCATCTTCGTTAATATAACGTTGTTGAGTAGGCGTATTTGAAAGACATTCTTAATTTGTTTAAATTATGAAGCTTTTTTTTAATTTTTTTGGTTAATCGACATTTTATACAAAATGGTTGGGAACATGAATTAATTTTTATTTACCTTCATCTCCTTCAGCATCAACTGAATGGGATGTAGATGGTCTCCTTTCCTCATCTTCATCATTATCATCGACACAAACGTCAAAATCAAATTCTTCTAACCATTCTTCATCATTCGGCCCTCTCCTAATATAAAATCCAGCAGAAGCATATCCATAACTTATTGGCCTAGATTGTCTTCGTTTAGCTACTAAAGAGCCAATTGAATAATGAGAGGAGCCAGCCAAAGACGGGGAAGTAAATGATGGATTTAATCGAGCTGAGGATGTTCGTTGAGGGCGGAGTGGGCAATGCTTAATAAATAAAAATTAATGTAAATTTAAAAAATATTTTCTAATTAATTACCGTTATAACGCTATTTCCCTCAGAATTTAAAGGTGGATTAAGTACACGTACATCATAAGATTGCCTCCGAAGTCTTTCATGTACTAACCGAATTGTTGTCTTTCCCGAAACTAAAGGTAAAGGAGGTCTGGTATTTATTAGAGGACTTGGAATTATTTTAATAGAAGAATGAGAATTTTGTTTTGTTGTTAAAAGATTGTGATTATTTTGGTGTTGTTGTGGTTGTTTTTGATTTTGTTTAGCTTCATCACAAGATAAAGAAGATGTTGGGGGAAATAAATTAATATTTGTTAAACTTGTATTTATTGATGTTGTAGACATTTTAATAAAATAAAATTATTTATTTATTAGTTTATAATATTTAGTAATATTTTTATAGAATGATGAATATATAGAAATAATGCTGAAAAATTTTTTTTGTTAAAGTTAATGTATGTATAAGTGATTAAATGCTAAATAATTTTTATTTAATTGTTATTAAAAATATAAATAAATTTAATAAAAATTTAAAAAATAAATCTGACTTGATTAAATTACCTAAATAATTTTTGTGTATGAAATAAAAATTAAATCCTTAAAAATATTTTCAAATATTTAAATTTATTAAGAATAATTTTAAGAGTTTTTAAAATCTCAAATTTTGTTTTAAATAAAAAAATTTGAAACAAATAAATAATTTTATGTTTATTTTAAAATTTAAAAAAGTAGAAATGCGCAATACTTTGTATGTATTTATTTTAAATAATTATATACATAAAAGATTGAAGAAGAGAAAGTACGTATTTGGTAATCTTGAAAAAAAAAGATAAGCATTTAAATAAGTAGTTGAGAGACTTGTGAAGGATGGCGTGTAGTTCTTATCTTTTTAAATTTTGTGTGAGAATTAATTTTAAAAAAATAGATAAAATATTTAAATGTTATTTATTAATTAAATTAATTTAATTAAATTCAATAAATTATTTTCTGTACATATATCGGGGCTGGGCGAAATCTAAAAATAAAAAGCGAAACTTGCGAAACGCAAAATGCGAAATTAGCCCAGCCATGGCATATACCCTTATTTAGAAGATTATTTAATACTTAGTATTTTATTTTTGGATGTTTAATTATATTAAAAGACAAGTTAAACATGACAAATTCATTAGACAACCAAATAAATATTTTCTTTATAAAAGGCAAACAAATATTTAATTTAATTAAATTAAAATAAAAAATTATTTCAATTTCCTTTTATTTTTATTAAATGAATTATGGTATAATATTATTGTCCACAAATATTTAATTGAAAGTTCAAATTTAATAAAAGAAATTAAATAAATGAAATTAAATTTTAATAAAAAAATATTTAAATAATTATTTAAAGAATATATTTTAGTTTTGTGATAGGATTCCCTTTTAGATTTTATGAAAAGGGGATTAATTATTTTTTTATAATTAGCGTGCAAATACAGACAATTTTTCAAAAGATAAAATAAAAATATAATTCAAAACTTTTTTTTCTTTACAAAATTTATTAAAATTATTAACTTTGTTAGGGAAGATCTCTGTATATTTTTTAAAGTTTTATATATTTTCTTTATTCTCTTTGTTTACTTTAAATGGCATTTAAAGGAAAATAAATTTATTTAAAAATTAATGGAGAATTGTGTGACATTAATAAATAACAAAAAAATACAAAAAATATTAATAATGACAGTTTGTGTAAATAAATTAGTTTTTATATAAGTTTTAGAAAGATGGATTGACTGAAAATTATAAAAAAATATTTAATAAATAAATTATTATTATTTTATTTTTTACAGACTTTTTTTTGTTATTTAAAGTTATTCAGAAATGCCAAAGTTGTCGGAACTAGGAAATTAGTCATTAGAAATGCCAAAATTCCTACAGATTCAGAAAATAAAGTTTAAAAGAAATAAAATATTTTAATGCCTTTTTGATACTTCTTCTATCCCAAATATATACAAATAAACTAGTGACTAGACATAATTAATCCAAAACTATTTATTTAATTTCTTGTATTTTCAATTTAAATTCCAAAAATTAATCCTCCTTTGACGCATTTTGATAAAAGAATGTTTGAAAGTTATTGATAAAAAGTTTAAAACTTTTTAAAATTTTATTTTTCTTGGATAAAAACATTAAAAATTACTACCTTAATCATATTGTAATTTATTTATAAAAATCGTGTTTTAATAGATAAAACAATAATTTGAATGATTAAGGGCGTATTAAAAGTTATTTTAGATTAATTATTTAATTTTAAGTAAATCTTGAAATTAGAGGGGAGCTAAATAATTAATATTTTTTATATATAATGTTACGTATTATTTGGAAGAAACACTTCAATACTTTTTTTTAATTTTATTAATTAGAAGAGAAATAGATGACTAAAAAGATTTAAAAAAATTTTTTAAAGATTAAATAAAATATTTTAAATTTATTATTTAAATAGCAAAATAAAACATCAAAACAACAATATCGAAACAACAATAAAGTTAATCTGCTTCATTTATTTTAAATTTTAATAGAACAATTTTAATTTAAAAAATCATAAAATTATTTTAAATAAATAAATTAGTTTAATTAAATAAATAAAATATCAAAAGTTTATTTTATAAAAGGAGCTAAGGTATTAAATTATTTTAAAAGAAAAATAAATTATTTTGTCAAGAAAAGTAAGGCATTAAATGCATTTGGCTGTTTATTTATTATTTATTTATTCAGCCTTATTTTAGAAGCAAGCAAGAATTGTGAAGTAGGCGAAATGAGTATGTTGGTTAGATTAAGGGCATTATTATATTTAAAAAATAAAAATATATTCAAAAAGAAAGCTTAAGGATGTTACCAAATTTGTGGAGACTAATTCAAATAAAAAAAGAATAATTATAATTATAGTATATTTTCTAAAATAAAGAAACTTTTACATACATATGTACTCTACTTTTCACTATGTAATTATTGTTAAATTATAGTAGTAGACTGCCAGCGAAAAATGATTATAAACAGAAATTAAAAAAAACTTTCAGAATTAAATAGATAATTAAAATTAAAAAATATGAAAGCAACAAAAGAATATTTTGTAGTTAGTTTTGACTTTAAAAAATTAGTTTTGACTTAAGTAAATCTGGTTAAACACTCGTAAATTTGTTTTAATTCAATGTCCAAGAAGGATTAAAATGAAATAACTCCAAATTCTAACAAAAATATATTTAATGTCAACAATATCCACGTTTCTAAGTCAATACCAAGTTCTATACCAAGTTCAAAAGTAAATATTAAAATTAATAAAAAAATAAAAGTTTTTGATGAATTAGTTCATGGTTAAAAGTACAACAGAAACTCCATGCACTTTCGAGACTATTTTTAATCTTAGTCCGCAAAAATTTTGCCTAAATACTACACAAAATTGTCAAAAGGCACTTTGATAAGTTGCTACTCCACAGGCTGGCACAATTCTGACAGGCTGCCTTTTGGCTTTGCCTGAGGAAAGGAGGGGGTTTTCTTTCCCTTTTTTAGTTAAAAGGGGAAATGAAAGAAAAGCTGAATTCAATTAACGATTGCCTGTCCTCATGCCATAGACATCTTATTCTTCCCCCCTTTCTTTCTCTTTTTTTGAAGATAAAAGTAAAATGTCAAGACGAGAAATGTGGAGAGAGGAAAGGAGGGAATGAGGGGGAAGGGGGGGGGGGGGAAAGGGAGGAGGGGGAAGAGGGGAAGGATATTTATTTTTATTAAAGAAGCTAAAAACATAAGAAATAAAATATTTATGTAAACGGAATTGATGGCAAATTGAAAGTGAGGATGGGCAAAAAAAGAGTTAATTTGCGTTAAAAGGAAGGATGGCGGAAATTTCGGGAAAAAAATTTTTAAAAAAATAAAATTAAGAAAAACAAGGAACAAAAATAATAAAAATATTTAAGAAAAAAACAGAAGAACTACTTTAAATATATTATTTATTTATTTAATCCTTAAAATATATTTTTCTAAAAGTCTTCTCGAATGTCAGACAAAAAATATTTCTTTAGTTAAAAAGGTGTGGGGGGAGGGGAGGATATCTTGCTTTTAAAGGGCTAATGTAGAAAAGGACTTTAAGGTAGGTAGTTTGTTTTGGAATAAAATATAAAGTTGTTTTTAGTGTTTTTAATTTTTAATGAGAAAATAGGAAAAATATTTTTATAAAAAATTAAAAGCTTTTAAATATTTAATAATTTTTTGATATTTTATAAGTTTAAATTTAATTCTCGCTAGTTATAAACTAAAATATTTTTCTGTCAAAAATATTGTCTGTATTGAATTAAAAAGTATTTATTTTTTTATTATAGAAAATGTTAAAGTTTTGAAATATTAAATTTAAAAAATTTAAGGTAGTCTTCAATCAAAAACATAAATTACTAACAAAAATCCTAAAGGATGTTGTAATAAATTTTTAATGGAAACTTTTAAGCCAAAAAAACTTTTAAAAATATTATAAACTTAATAGTAACATTTACATATTTAAATATTTTTTAGTATAAATATAGGGTAAATAAAATAAATATTTTATTACATAAGTAACATAATTTATTTTTAGATATCGGCAAAAAGAACAAAATTTATTCGATAATCGAAGTTTATGAATTTTTATAAAAAAATATAAAAGAAAATAAATTTATATAAAAATACTCATTCCAAATTAATTAAACAAAAAAGTACTTTTTAAAAAAAAATTTCAGAAAAATTAACAAAAAAAATTAAGAATATTTTGTCTCAATTTTCTCCTCTTTTATTTATTTAAAAGAATTTCCTGTCTTGGCAAAAGAATTCCTTTCTCCTTTCTTTTCTTTTTTTACTACAACTTAGATAAATGCAAAATTATGTAGACAAATACCCTAACAATAATAAGCTTCTTTATCTCAAAATCCCTTATAACATTTCAATACTTCCTGTTATTTTTTTTCTTTTTTAAGCAAATTTAAAATAAAAATAAATAAAAAAATATTTTAAATAAATTATTTAATTAAAAAATAAAATAAAATTTATTAGTTTTTCTAAAAGTACAGGAAGTTACTAATTAATAGTAGTTGTCTTAGTTATTCAATTAGTTTATTAAATCATGCAATAAATATTTTATTATAAAAAATAGCTATATTTTTAAACAAAAATATTTAAAAATATTATGCTGTCAAAAGAAAGAAATAAACTAAACAGGGAGAACGATATATAAAATCAACAGTTGCGTAATATGGAAAATAGATACTAACAATAAGTATATCATTTTATAATAGTTTCAGTTAGGTTTACTTTGACATCATACTTAAACTCGATAATTCGGAGTAGAGTTATAGTTATGAAGCAGAGCCTATTGTCATAATTAAAAACATTTTAAATTAGAAAGGGATTTCCAAGTTTATTTAATTTTTAAGTTTATTTCTGGACAAATGTGTGGAAAAATTAAATATCAATTTTATTTCAAATTTTGAGTATTTTTAAACATCCATTCTAAGATCAGGTTACTTCCCAGCAATGAGAAAATAATATGTACATATTTTTATAAAAAAAGAAAATGCTAAAAATAAGAAAAACGTGTGACAAAAAAAAATAAAAATATTTTAAATTTTGTTTAAAAGATATATTTACGTATTTCTTAACATTTAAAAGATTCAAGTAAAATTAATTAGATACATCTAGATAAAAAAAAACCTTTAAGCAATTATTTTTAAATAAACACATTTATAAAAACACTTCTTCATTCTTGTCCCTTTTAATAATTTTTTTTAATTTAAATAAATCTCTTCAGTTTTGATTTCCAGTGTTTCCGACCGCCCCGCAACAAAATCACACTTACAAAACAAGACAACAATAAAAATAAACTATAGACTAAAAACTAGAATCGAGGATGGATTTAGATACCGAAATTTTTAAACTAAATTTCGTCCTCGCAAAGCACCATCTTCCAAGTGGAGTTTTTAAAGGAAGTTTTATCCAAAACAAACTAAAATTCAAAGAAAAAAAATATTTTTAATTTTTATTTATTTAAAATTATACAATTTTTACAAACAAAAAAAATAAAAAAAATATATAGTACATATTTAGCAGTAGAATTAATTTAAAAAAAATATTTAAATTAAATTAATTAAAAAATAATCGCCGGATATATTTTACTAATCATTAAATAATTATGAGAATATATTTAAAAAATAATTAAAATAATTGTTTAAACAAATTAATTTAAATAAATAATGTGTAAAATTAAATATAATTACAATTTTGTTTTAATAAAATGTTTATATTCAGTTTGTCTAAAAGAAAAAGTCACGCAACCAAAATATTTTTATGAAAGCAATGTTTGTATTTTAATTAAGTGAACTTTTTAATTTCTGATTAATTAGAAATAAAGGAAATAAATTTATTCGCCATTCCTTTAAGTAAATAATCACCAAATATTTTTTTTATTTTCACTATTTATTTTTAAAAAATTAGTAAATATCTAAATAATCCTTTAGATATATTTTGATATCATTTTCTCATCATTTCTACAAAATTATATCCCCAACAAAGCTTTCAAAACAAAAATTATTTTGATGATATCTTTAAAAAAGATTTAAATTTTGAATATTTTTCTTGATGTTTTTTTCTCATCTCCAAAGCTATCAAAAATCCTCTTAATAATGATGTATATATTTGACGCACAGGGTATTTTAAACGACTGATTTAACATAAGTAAATTATATACAAATCTAGAGTTTTACAAAAATTTGAAGTTTAGTTAGTTAAAAAATTAATGTAAAATAAATAACCATGTACTAATAAATTTTTCTGACAAATTCAAGAATAAAATTGATAAAAAATATGTCTTTTAAAATTCTTTACTTAATCAAAGTCAAAATTGTTTTCATATAATAAAGTTACTAGAATATTAGTAAAACTCTTGAAATAAAGCTTCGAATTAAAATTTTTCTAATAAATTTAAAATTTAAATCCAAAAATTATATTTTTTTAAATACTATCAGTTTAGAAAACAATTTAAAAACCATTTAAAATTTTTACCAAAAATTTGTTGCCCAAAAATTTTAAAAAAATCCGAAATTAAAATATACATAAATTTACCTTTTTAATAATAAAATTACTTAAAAACAACATTAAAAATACACAATTTTTACGTAAAGTGATAAATTAAATACATAATAATATTTATATATAATAGAAATGAGTTCGTTCTTAATATTTTTATATGCGGGGGTAGAAGAGAAAAATATATAGAATATTTATAAAATTTTTGTCATAAAATTGAAGAACAGACACACAAACAGGGTTGCAAATAGAAATACCAAAAACCCCCAAAAATTCTTTTAAATTTATCCACATCCAACCACCCTCCCCCCTTTTTTTCCCAATTTCTTTAAGCAACCCTGAATTAAAAATAAATAAAATAAAAATAATATTAAGGAAATATAATTAAATTTTATATATGAGGCGATATCAAAAATCCAAAAAAGAAACATGCGCTACGCGAATAGTAAATGGAAAAATTGTACAATTCACAACTTGTATATATAAAAAGGAAATTGAGAGAAAGTAATCGTTTGAGTAGATGGAAATTTAATTTCATTTAACATTTAATTTAAAAAATCGAAATAAACTTTAAATCGTAATCCAATTTTGCAACAGTAAATCATTTAAAATTATTTTAGAAAAACTCAAACGATCAAAGCCCCAATAGATATCCGAAAAATATCAAAAAATAAAAAAGGTTTGGCTTTCCAAGAATTTTCTAGAAGATGTCAAAATTCTTTATAGCCAAACCCTTTTTTTATTTTTTTTATAAAACTTAGAAAGTGAACAACATGTAAAGTACATAAATATATACGAAATTATTGTGAAAGCAATGCAACACCATACAAGATCAGTCAATAGATCCAAAGATAGTGAGAATTTGTGTCATTTTTTTGTTGTGAACATGAAGGCGATGGAAGTAAAATAAATTAAATGAAGTGCATGCAATCAATCAAACGATGAAACCAAAAAAACTTTTCTCTCATACCATCTAAAAAGAAATTTTAATTAATCAAAAAATTAATGTTTGTCATAGCCTAAAACCAGAAAAGAATTTTTTTCGCTTTTGGCTAATGTTATAATCTCCTCATTCCCTCTAACATTTTTAAATTAAATTTTTTACCAATTTTTCCAAATATCCAAAATTTAAAGCACTGCAGTAAGAACACCATGATTTGACGGAAGAGGAGTAGAAGCTGCACTCGGAGTTGGCGGAGTAGCCAAAACATTAGTCACCGGAAGACGTTGAATTTTAACAAGGCCAAGAGCGATTGCTTTGTCAACGGGAAGCTAAAAAATATCAAAAATTTAATTTAAAAATTTATAAATTACCTGTTTATGTGGAAATACTGGAACATGACATTTGATACAACTCTGCGCTTCATTTGCAATTGAATTTTGCGAAGTCCATTTGCGCTTGCACTAAAAAATATTTAAAAAATACTCAAACAAATTTAAAAATGTAAAAATACCTGTTCGCATTGGAATTCACCATAACATTTCTTACGACCCTGGTAAGGGGTGAGCTCTTCATATGGACTGTTGAAACGCTAAAAAATAAATAAAAATTAAGAAATGCCCTAAAAAGTGCAAAATTCTACCTGAGGACAATCCCCAATATAATGTCCAGGTTGGTAACAAATGTGACAGATATAGCGAGGAGGCGGCATTCGTTTAGGACTGCTAAGTAACTGAGTAAATTCAGCAATTTCAACTTGATCAAAGCCATCCTCAGCTAAAAAATTATTTTTACAAAATAATTTTTCTATTTAATTAAACTCACAAGCAACAATATTTTCCGGTCCTGGACTTGTACTTCCTCCACTACCACCGCAAACGCTGCTTAATTTGCGTTTATTGCTGTTTTTGTTAGTCCCTGTAGTTGTTGTCGTTGCTTTCAAAAGTACTGGGGCTGTTGCTGGAGAGAAGGCAACAGCTTGAACTCCGAAAGATTTTCCATTTGAAACACAATTTCCATTTCCGTTGAGGTAAATGTGTTGCTGTTTTCGCTGTTCTGGACAGGTTTGACGATGAGTATAGATTGCTCCATTTCCTATAAAAAAATTTTTTTTGTCTGATTGTAAATAATCGAAGACGAAAATTTTTTACCATTATGTGCAGGGCATTCACAAAAACACGCGCGGTCAACAAATAACTTTTGAAGTTGATTTGCAATATATTGAACAGCATGAGAATTTGCCCCTTTAGTTGCAGCACTTGGACTTGCCAGAGGCGTTCGGCCAGGACTTCCATAACCAGAACTGGCACCGCAATCATAAAGCATTTCAGACGAAGTGAGGCAACAACCACCTGCACCGCCAACCATTGCCGAGTCATCGCTGAGGCGGCGATTCTAAAAAGGGAAAAATTAAATAAAAGGTTAATGCAAAAGGAGAATTAATGAACAAGAATGAAGAGTCCGAAAAAGACAAGCAAACCCCCAAAATTAAATTTAAAAAATTCCAACCATTGCCGCAAATCGATCCATTCCATAACCGCCAAAATCCATAGGACGTCGTTCCCGTTGATGATGCGCAACATTACGATTTGGTGTCGAAAGTCCATAAACTTGGTCAGTGCTGCTAACTGTAGCTGAACGATGACGCTGTAAATGTTGAGCTGCCCCAATACATCCACTTCCAAATTCATCAGCAGACATTCGATGTTCGCGTTCAAAACAGCAATTTCCAGTGTTTGTACACGGAGATGAGCGACGACGAAGTAATTCGGAAAGGCTATGAACAATGCTGAAAGAAGCTCTGATTTCTTCAAAAAACATTCCAAATTTACCTATTTTCCTCAGTTTCCCCCTCTCCCTCAAAAGGAGATGGACTGTTATCCCAACCATTTCCAAATATTTGAGATTCGCTACTTCCATTACTTAAAATTCCATCATCCCCAAAATGTGCAGACACAGATTTATCGTTGTCACTGCCATTTTTTGTTTTGGGAGACGAGAATTGTTGCGCAACATTCAAAGAGAGGCGGTCGTAGTCAAACATTTTTGTTGTTTATTTTTTATAAGACACAAATAGTAAATAAATTGGTCGTTTTTTAGTAGTTTTTTTAAATATGGAATGTTGCGTGAATAAATATATTCGCAATAGTTGCAATTTAAATTATTTTAGGCAGTTGCTAAATTAAAAAAAAATTATTTTTCAAAATTAAAAAGAAAACAAATTTCCTAATCTTATTTTAAAAATATAAACAAAAATAAATACTTTCAATGAAAGCAAAATTAATTAAAAACGTCGGGGTTTTCAAAGAAAAAGAAATTTTTTAGTATCGATCTAAAGAAATGCATTAAAAAATCAAAAAAGATAAAAATAAATTCAATATTTGTTTACGTAATTTCTAAAACTGAAGCTTTCTAACTCAAGATTTAAATTTAGAATTTAACAGAAAATAACAGAACGCCAAAAAACAAAAAGGAAGGGGAAATTTAAATTCGGGCAAACTGAATTACGCAGAATTGTGATAATTCCGAAAATATTTACAAGTGATTCAGGAAAATCTACAAAAAAAACATTGAATAACCAAAAAAATCAATTATTCAATGTTAATTTCTAGAAAAATTTTTGCATTCAGTAATGTACATAGAATAAAATGCTCCTCTTAATTTACATATGTAAAAAATAATCCTTTTTTTAGTCGGGCAATAAATGCAAAAGTAATTTTCTGTTGTAATAAATAAATAGGGGAAATTTAGTAGGGAATTATTGAAAGGTATATAAGCAAGGAAAAGTTAAAAACAAAAATTGAATGAGTTAAGAAAAGGTCAAAAAAGAAAGATTAATTTTCTTTTGCTTGAGGAAAAATTGATTGAAAGAAGAATTGCCCCCCCCCCCGCCCCCCTAATGAATGAATCAAAGCAAAAGCAAAAGTAAAAAATTTTTCTGTCAGCTTTTTAAGGGTATTAAAAATTAATTTTAAAAAGAATGATTAAAAAATTAAAATTTTTAAATTAATAAAATTAAAATTAAGAAAATTTAATATAAAATGATTTTTAATCGAAAATAAAATAATTTTATTTAATATTTGGGGGCTTATAAATAATTGAGAGAGAATAATTATTAATTATTTGAACAGGGCCCTATTTCAATTGTCCACAGATTCTGCGGTCTGCGTTCTGTGCACAGACCACAGAACCACAGAAATTCTGTTTCAATTATTCCACAGATTCTGCGGAAAAAGAAGTCCGCAGATTCTGTGGAAACATGCACAGAATCTGTGGAAACATCCACAGATTCTGCAAAACATCCAAAAACATGCAAAAACCACAGAATTCTATTTCAATTATTTTTCTGTGCACAGAAAAAAATCCACAGATCTGTGGCTTTTTTAGTCGATTCTGTGCATTTCTGTTTCAATTATTTCTGTGGTCTGCGGAAAATACACAGAATTCTTTAAAAAATCCACCCTAAAATTTTTTCTGCGAACTTTCTGTGGAAAAACTTTAACAATTTTTTTCTAGGCCTAGGCTTAACCAAATTTCAAAATTTTTAAAGATTATTAAAGTTTGAATCATTCTCTATTTTTTGATATAAAAATTATAATTTTATTACCTAAAATTATTGCTTAAAATTAATTTTGAAAAAGGTACATCTTTTTTACGCAGTTTTTGTTATATTCAAGCAATAAAAAAATAAAAAACGTGAGAGATTCTGAAATTTAGAGCTATGATGTTCTAATCATCATGGATATCTCTAATGAGGGGATGTTTACCAGGATCTATAGAATATATCTGTATAGCGTATACTGGGATATCTCCCATGATCTCTCATTGATATCCGTCATAATCTCTCCTCCTATTTAATGATAGATTTCCTCCTTAATCACTCCAATATATTAAACCTCAAAATCAATGGATATCCCACTTAATCACTCCTCTACGATTTTAAAGTTCCGATTTGACTATAATTTTGGATTCCAGGCATTTTCGATTTCCAGGAACCTCAATTTCTGACTAAACAATCCCCAAACATTTCCCTCCCTTGCAACAACTTCTATCGTAGTTTGAAAAAGCCACATGTCGGATCGACATCTCCTGATTTTTCCGATCCGAACCCTGCTTTAGGACATTAATTTAATTGGAGATTTAAGGATATTGGATGAACAAGAAAATTAAGCGGTATATCAGCGGTTTTAAAGTGATATCAAAGAGATTTAAAGGGATGTTATGTGATTTGGAGGGAAAATTTTTAAATCTTTACAATATTTTTCAGTTTAATTTAAGAATTTTTAAAGTTTTACTTCAAAAAATCAGGTACCATTAATACTGCGGTAGTACCGAACTGTCCAAACCATTTTTCGTTTCAATAAAACTGTTATTTTCAAAAACGCGGAAATAAAAAATTTGAATTTAGAAGAAAAAATACACAGAACCACAGAAAAATAATTGAAATACAAATTCTGTGGATCAGTGGAAAAAATCCACAGATTTTTATATTTTCCACAGAAATTTTCATCCACAGAATCTGCGGAATGTTTCCACAGAATCATTGGATGTTTCCGCAGAATCTGCGGGCACCACAGATTCTGTGCACACAGAATTTAATTGAAACAGAATTTCCACAGAATCTGTGTTCTGTGCACAGAATGCAGAATCTGTGGACAATTGAAATAGGCCCCAGATGGGGAAAGAGAGAGAGAAAATTATTTTTTATTAAAATCTGGCAAGAATTGTTGATGCTATTTTAGTTTTGCAATTATTTGTATAAACATATACATTTAAGTAATATACGTAATTAATGACAAAATTAAGTAACGTATATTTAAAAATTAAAAAAAACTTTTTTTGCAATTTAAATTTTAAAATTAAAAAAAAAATTAATTTTATACAATATTTTTAAAAAATATTTTTATGTAGAAAAAGCTTTAAGAGAAAGAAAAGCCAATTTTTCCCTTTGACGGCCTTCGCCCTCTCTTCGCACATTCAATTTAAAGATTGCAAAACAAACAAACAAATACCAAGAAAAACAAAAACAAAAAAATATTTTTAAAAGAAAATCTAAAAATAAGCATGCGCGAGATGTTGAGAGTGATTTGTAGTAAATATATGTAGGTAGGTAGGTAGAGGAGCGGAAAAAATAAAAAAGAAAAAATAAATATTAAAATAAAAATATACGTATAATGATGAGAAAAAAGTATAAAAAAAAGAACATTTAAAAATATCGTCCTTCAAGTCGCGCGTTACAAAGATAAAGAACCTCTAAAATAATATTATGTAATGGGACAACAAATATTAGAGAAATACCTACATAGCTTTTATTTCAATTTTTTAAAAATTAAAATAAAAAAATCTATAAAATTCAATCAAGTGTGAAAAATCTTTTTTTATTTCCCCTTCACATCTTCCTACACACTTTCCTTTGTTTCCTTGATATTTTTTATAGTCATTATTATATATTAGTCATCCTTCCAAATTTTTAAATTTTTAATTAATAAGTAAGGCTGTGATTTATAGGCAAATGCCTATTTTTTCTGCAAGCTTGGGATGATGTAATACGTTCAAAAAACGTGTTTTTAGCTTGGTCCGAAGAGTCTAGCATGACTTTTAATATGCCTATTTTGGCCTATTTTGGACTTTTTGAGCCTTTTTGCCTATTTTGAAATTTTTGGTACTATTTTTGCCTATTTTAGCGATTTTTCCTAAAATTTGCCCAAAAATCGGTGCAAAATCTAAAAAAATCAGCCCCAGATTTAAAAAAATTACGCCCACTCCCATTTATAACTTATAATTCGATGAAATAAGTATTTTTACTCTGTGGACATTTTGAGATAAGACGTTTTGGTGTTGGGACATTTTGGGGTGGGACGTTTTGAGGGCTGGGCAAGATGTCCCTTTTGTCAATCATCGACATTTTTAAACAGTTTTTTACAAAAAATGACTCAAAATGACAAATAAATGGCAAAAGAGTTTAATAATTAGTTTATAATTTAAAAAATAATGAATAAATGGGTATTTTATTGTTTTTGTTTTAATTTTATAGGTCTGATAACCCTTTTTTCATGCCTATTTTTGTGCCTTTTTCGGCTTTTTGGTGCCTATTTTAGGCGCCTATTTCACTGATTTTACGTGCCTAACTATCACAGCTTTATTAATAAGAGTGGCATTTAAAAAAAAGAAAAATTATTCAAGAATTAACACAATTCCTCAAAACATCAAAAATCTCCTTATAATTTTAATAATATTTGGGCGTTTTTCATTTAATATATTGTACCTAATAATCAATCATTTCAAGTTAAAAAAAATTTTTTTAAATTTAACAACCCGGCAATAATGTATACCGTATTTACTCGATTAATTCCCCTGGGGAATTAATATTTCAATCCATCCGCAGCATGGGGAATTATTCGAGGGAGGGGAATTATTCAAGGGAGGGGGATTATTATTTCAACTCATTCCTGAATTTGAAAAACTGTATGAAGTTATGGCGTTCTGCCTTCTTTCCTTTCTATATACTATTGTATATAGCTATATAAGCATGGATATATCTCTCAGCATTGAACCATATAAATTATGGGTGTAGTTGAACCTTTATCCACCCCAATATGAGAGTATTAGGATTATAGTGCCACATGAGGAGTCATTGTATGATACGATACTAAGGGATATATATTTTATATCCTTCAGCATGGAACATATAAGCATGGAACACCCAGTCTGGATCATTTTGAAACCCGATCATCGTATTGGCGGAAAGGTATTTAACGGTTTATGAACTGTGTACAAAATCAAGTTTTTGAATGACGAGGAAAGTGCTGCATATTGTGGAGATAATACTGTATCTCGATTGTATTGGGGAAGAAATCGATTTGTTCATTAGAACGAGTTTTAATAGTCGATTATTTTAATAATCACCAATTTTATTATTTTGATAAATATATTATAGATATGGGGAATTATTTGAGGGGGGAATTATTTAAGGGAGGGGAATTATTGTTTCAATCCATCCGCAGCATGGGGGATTATTCGAGGGAGGGGAATTATTCAAGGGAG